ACTTATACAAATTAAAAATTATATTAATTTTCTTGGACAAGTAACAATGACTATATATGTTACATATCGAATTCTGATTTTTTAATTAGAGAAATAAAAACCCAATAAAAAATTAAATTTATGTTTCCAAAAAGTAAAATACTTCAAGTAAATTCTTTTGATAGTAATAATAAAATATTTATACGAAATAAGGAGGGTTCAGGTATCTTTGATCTAATATCTTCAAAATTTGAAGTTTTTAAAGAATTATTTTAGGAATCTGCAATATCTTATGATGGATAGTTAATAGCTTGTAATTATAAATATGATAGATATAGTTACTCATAAAACTTTAAATTTTATGACATTCAAAATGATAAAAATTATCCAGATAATAATTCTGGTCAGATAGTTCCAATCTAAATTTGTAGGAGCGGCAATTTATTGCATTACTATAACAAGCGTAACTAGGCTATGGTAAGTTCGATTGACGAAAATAAATAACTAAAACTTCTCTGTTCTTTCGAGTGTGGATCTGATGTAGATGAAGTGTCAGTTACACCTTCTTTTGGTTTTATATCTATTAAGTAATCAAATAGACTTAAATTAATGAATTTGAATTGGATGTTATAATCATAAATAGTAAGTATAAGTTAATCGAATGAAAAGGGTGACAATAATTATTCTTTTGTAATATCTTCTGACAATTCATAAATAATTTGTGGGTATTCTTCATGGATTAAGTCATATAGTTTAGATCCTAATGAAAAGTAAAATATTGATCTAAGTGCTCCTGGGAAAATAAATTGTTTAGTATAAATCGAGTTAAATACTGTTAGTATTGGTTGTGATAACAAGATATATCTTATAAATGTTAATTAAAATGAAAAACCACTACCACTAGGAGATCACAATGACAATGTTATAAGTCTCAGATACTCATACACAACATCATTACTAGCATCTGGTAGTAAAGATGAAAAGATATTTTTATGGAATGTGAATGCTAAAAAGAAAATAGCAGTATTAGAAGGTCATAGAGGGTGGATTAATTAATTATCTTTTTCTCCTGATGGATAATGTTTGGCCTCTGCAAGTGATGACTAATAAATTAAATTATGGAATATTGAATAAAGTGAATAATCAAATGTTTCAAAAGGACATTAACAATGTGTAAACTAAGTTGCCTTCTCAAAAGATGGTCTTATTATTGCTTCATGTAGTGGGGATTGCTCAATTATTTTATGGGATTTATTAGAAAAAAACTTTATTATTATGTTAAAAGAACATACTGCATATGTGAGTTGTTTAGAATTCTCTTTTTGTTCTAAATGGTTAGCATCAGGAAGTTATGATGGATCCATATGTTTGTGGGATGTTAAATTTCCACAGGAGACAACTTTATTCTATAAAATAAATGAGCTATATTTATTTCCAGATTTCTTACGTTTTTCTCCATCAGGTTGTTTTGCTACTATTTCAAATGATGGAGGCAAATAAAAAGATAGTAAATAAAAAATAGTGACGAAAATTTAAGTTTGGAGTTTGAATTTAATAGATAAAAAAGATGATAAAAAATTGGAAATCTAAAAATATTGGATCAATCCTATTTGTTTATAAGATGATGTTATATTTTAAGGTTATGATAATCTAATTAGGGTTCATAATTTATCAACTGATTAAAGTGAATAGCTTAAAGGACATTAGTCTGAAGTTGTAATAATTAGATCATTGGATGGACATTTATTATCAATAGATAATAAAAATAATATGATTATTTGGTAATATACAAAAGATAGTTGGGAAAAGCAATCACAAATTTAATTAGAACCAGGTACTGTTTAAGTTGATATAATTTATTATCAATTTCAATATTACTTTGTATCAATAAATAGTAATGCTAATGCTATTATCATATCAAATCTTAATTAAATGTAAAAGTAGATGCCTTTTATTGATTTAAAATTTGAATTTAATAGTAGTTATCTATCAAACAGTTAAAAATTATTTATAGCAATGGATTAATATTAAATAACAGTGATAGATAGCTGTTCTGGAGAAATTAAATTTAAAATTGAGAATCTTAGCAATCCAAATCAGCCAATTATATCCAATGATGATGGATTTTTAGCTATTTTAGAATAATATTCAAATAAGATCATTATTGTTGATATTTCTTAAAAATTAGAAGATGTATTTTTAGAAGTTGAAGAAACTCCTACACTTTTTTAATTTAGCAAGGATGATTCAAATATTCTATACACAGCATCAGGAAGATGTACTATTATAAAGTGGAACATAAAAAATAAATAAAACGAAATTGTTGTTAATTTAGAATTTACATATTCAGATGATATTTTATAGATTTCTAATTCATGCAATTATATAATTTATTATAAAAATAAAATGCAACTTTTCTTAGTTAATCTCAATAGTTAATAACAGTATTAAAAAGATATTCAAAATTTGAATGGTATAGCAGTCATTTCTTAAAATGAAATTTTAGTAGCTTTGATTATTAGTGATTATACAATTTAGTTATGGAATTATGAGAAATCAATTACTTCAGAAATTAATTTGTTTCAAAAACAATCAATTCAAAATTTATAATTTATAAATGATGATACTGAACTGGTTTGTTGTTAAAAAGAAACAATTTGTATTTTTTCTGTTTAAGAAGATTTTCAATTAAAATTAAAGAATATTTGGTAGGTGGAATATTGTTATAATTATAATTTTTGTCCTAAGCATTTATCCTTTTTAAGTTATAGAGTTGGTTGGGATGGACACAGAAGGATCAGCTTTTTAAATCCTGGATAAAGTATTATTTTAATAGATGAACAATAGAAACCATTAAAATTTTCATCAACTTTAGATGGAAATTATATTGTATAATTAAATTATTAAGGTTTTATCATATGGGACTGGAAAAACGAAAAATAAATATTAAATAGTGAACAATGGTCTGGAAATGATGCTATGCTTATAGATTTAAAGACATTGGTAATAGCAAATCGAAAGGAAATCAATATTGTAGATATTAAAGAATTGCATAATATTAAATTACTTTCATCGCTTTCTTTCGATTAACCTATCCTAAGTATTTCATTTGCTTCAACATAGGAATATTTTGTTTGTGGATTTGATAAAAAAATAAAGGTATGGAAACTTTTAAATGATGGATAATGTTAATAAGTAGCTGTTTATGATATAAAATATACTGGTGAAACAAATCCTGTTATTTCATCAAATGGAAAATTTATAGTTTACAAAGCATAAGAATCATATTAATTAATTAGGATTAAATAACTACAAACATTAGAGTTAAACGATCAAACTGTAATTGGCCTTTAATACTCATCAGATTTCTAAAATTTAATTACATTAATAAATGGGAGTCCTATATTGTTTACTTCTACTTTGAATATTATAGAGAGCTAATTAGAAAGTGAATTAGTAAGTTAACTTGAAAGGTAAGTCATTAAAAGAGCTTCCATAAATTCAATAATTGCAATTTCTTACACTAATTAAATTTTAATATTTAAAATTCTAGAGGAAAATAAATTAATTTTGATTCGGAAGATACAATATGAAGATAAATTTATTTCTTTAGATATTAATCCCTTAGGAAATCTATTAATTGCTGGCAATGAAGTTGGATCACTTTATTTATGGGATTTAGCAAATTCTGACCAAATAGATAACAATAATCCAAATTTGATAATAAATAATTAAAATGACTAAATTTAGGATTTTACTTTCAGTCCAAATGGAACTGATATTGCAGCTGCAATTTATGATGGATCTATAAATTTATATTCAGTTGAATAAATTGAGAATGATTAAAATATAAAACATAACAAAGAAAATTAAGAATAATAAAATTAATTATCTGGAAATATTAAAAAAGAATACAGACTAATTTGTTATAAATCGTTTTCCAGATAATCCTTATTATTAGCCAATTAATGCATAGTAAAAGATTCAAAAATCACTTAAAATGGTAAATCAATCATTTAGCTATTCAGATAAAAAGGAGCAAGAGAATGATATAAACATTATTAAAAATATTCAAACTACTATATAATCTATATTATATACATCATAAATACCTCCAATAGGATTTCTGTTGAATTTGATTACATTCTAAGTAATCAAATGAAGATTTATGCTGATTCTATAATTTTAAGTTCTAATGGCAAATGATTGCAAAAATTCATTCTTAATGTCTTTATGTCAAAACTATAATGCATAGAAAGTTTTTGAATTACCTTAACAACATAAAATTATTATTTTTCTTAAGATAAGGGAAACTCCTCTATCAGTTTATAATTATTTTAGATATATCAGTTTCTATCCGGTACTATATTAATTCCTAAATTATCTAATTTAAATGGGCAATCGTTGATGACTCTAATTCCTAAACAAATAAAAGACTTTTATAAATCTAATGTATGAAAACAATAGATTTAAACAAAATAGCTTACTCCAGTAATTAGTTTGGAACTCAAATGTAATAGTATAAATTTTTTTTAAGGTAATTGCATTGTTTATTCAGATATAAATTACTTTTATTGAAATATATTGTAAGCTATTTGATAGGTTGTTAGATTTTGCAAATTTTTATTTATAATTTATCCTGTTGAAGGGATTCTTTGTATTTAAGCGATTTAACAATGTTTCGATTGTACTCAATCAAATGTTCAGCGATATGATCGTTTTTTTTTCTGAAAATTGATTGATAAATAATAAACAATCTTAAAGACATTTTGTAAGAGATTAAGCTAACAAATTTAAGTTCACACAGGTTATATCATGAAGGTTCTAAACTCTGCCAATATATTGATGAAATCTAATTTACAATTTAGACTACTCTCATTGAATTTCCTTTTTATTATTAAGAGAGTCTAAACCTTCAGATTGAAGCTGATTTAATTAGTGTTCATTCTGTTAATTAAATCATAATTTCCTTAGAGGGTATGAAGCTGATGCATTCTTCAATCAATAATAGATATACAATAATGGCTTCAATGTTGCAACCATCCCTAATAAAAGCATTTGCAAATTTCCATAATTTCTAAATGTATCGATTTATTAGTTTCTTAATGGATAACTTTAATAATTAGGCAACAAATTAGCTCTTCAGATTCATCCTTTATTTTGGTTAGGAAGCAAGTCTAATCATATAGCCCTAAGATGGCAATAGAATTTTTTGGTAAATAATTCTATTGGATTAAAATATTGAAGCAATACAGGAGGAATAAAAGGCGAGTCAATTAGTTTTAAATAAGGAAAGAAATCTCTAAGATTCGTATGGATATAGCTATGTTTTTATTCAAATTCATGTCTAATTATAGAATTTCGAGCAATATCTGGTTTAATTCTTTTTTATAATTGACCTTCTTAATGTATTTATCAATGCAATCAAAAAAACTAGCACACAATCTCGTATTAAAGTATTCATATGATTTACATTAAGATATTACATTGTTTAGGAAGTTCGGAATTCGCACTATAATGTCTATCTCAAATTATATTACAGAATATCATACAAGCCAGCTTTGATAATTTTATTATTGAAATTCATGACGTTTAGTTTATAATTTAGTGTATTTTGGTATATTGAACTGTGTTTTATTGCTGCACCTATTTGGGAGAATCGAGCAAGACTTAACTTAGTAGAAATAGCATTTTAGATCTAAAAAGAACTTCATAGCTGCAGATTTTATCATATGGGAGTTGGATTCTAAGCAATAAATATTGTTTAATTTGTTGGGTATCATAATTGACTTAGGTATGGTTATTGGGATTCTGTAATTAACTTTATAAAACTTCAGATAAACAAATTATGCAATTAACTGAGATGTCTTTGTTATTGGAAAAACAATTTTCAGCAACTCTCAAGTAAATTTTAGTTATTGTTTGTTTTGTCATTTCAATTGAATCTACTTCTGTTTCTTTTGCTAGTAGCAATTGCAATATGGAATTGAGAGCACACAATCTTTCATAATGGAAATCAGTCGACCTATTGGGTGGTTGAATTATACTATTCGATAATTTAATAAAATGCTGTATCATAGGATTAAACAATTGGAAAGCTTGATGATTCTGAAAGATAGCTCTGCAGACTTCTCAAATAGTTCAATTTGTTTTGACTTCCACCTCAACATTATCCATTATTAATTTATATATATAATAAATAGTTATAATATCAAAATACAATACAGCCACACCCACCTTTTTTGGCAGACGATTATTATGTATTTTAACCTTACTATTATTTGTCATTTTATGGTTAATTTTGAACTATAGGACTTAAACGGGTCACTGCTTCTTTTGCTTCAATGTTACCAGCCTGTGCTGCTTATTTATACCAGTATAGTGCCTATTATAAATTCAATTTGGTTCCAGTTCCTTCTTCGTAAACCACAGCCAGATTATACTAAGCATTTTCAAAGCCACCTTTGGCTGCCTGGAGGTACCAATCAAAAGCTTCAGTTGGATTACTTTACAATAAGACTGTAGCCAAGTTGGTCATAGCACAATAATCACCCTTATCTGCTGCCATCCGATAATATTTCTTGGCCTCCTCAATTTGAATATGAGTTCCAATGCCGGATCTATAAATGTTGCCGAGGTTGTTCATCGCTGATACTGATCCCTTGAAAAGTGATTAAAAATGAATAAGTACTAATTTAGCAGCCTTTTCAAACCAACCTCTACTCTTCTCAAAATCCTATTCTACACCTTATCCAAATAAATGCATCAAGCCCAGTTAGAACATTCCTTATTCATTTTATAGTTCAGCAGCCTTGCTAAAGTATTTGTATGCAATTTTATAATCAGGAGCAACAACTCTGCCTAAATAATAAATGGATGCCAAATTATGTGCTGCTTAAGCATGTTTGTTGGCAGCCAATTGATACCTGAGATAAATAATATTGAAAATACCATTGAATGCATTCTTGAATATTTTACTGTGCCCCCTTCCCATCCTCATACATTAAACCTACTTTGAATTAAGCCTCAGTGTCCCCATCCTAAGCCAGCTTGAGATAATGCTGCATTTCATCATAATCGGTTGTTTATTGCATTAGATTATAAAATTAAATAAGAAATGTACTAAAATCATATTTCCATTTTTTATTGAAAAAGCTTTTCAAAAACACCAGCAGCACTAGAGGCATCATAGAATTGGTTTAATTTCAATTTGTTTCTAAAAATAAAGTTGAAACCACTGTTACCTATTGTACTCTCTAACATCTGAAACCCCTCGCATTCCCATTAAATAAGTCTATAACCCCCAAAGTTCTCGGTCATCTTTATTATCATAAAATGGAACAATAGGTATTCCATTATCCAATTACCAAGCATAATTGTAAGATGCATTATCAACTAAAACCATTTGACTTAATGGTCTGTCAAATATTCTCAAATCTTTAGTATACATACTTCCTGTTGTTTAACAGCAACTATCTCTAAAAAATCTATGTGAAATCAACTTATTTTCAGGATCTAAATAATCCAATACTTGTTTAGCATAACATTAATGTGAAGCAGTGAATACTATAATTTCAAAGTGCTCTACCAAAGACTCCAATAATTCAATTGCTCCTGGCCGTATGTTGACTCCAGCTTTAACCATTAAATTGGGACTCACCTTGATATTCAAATGGAAATCAGATTTCTACAATATTGACTCATTGCAATGAACTAAAGTTTCATCCAAATCAAAGATCACAGAGATTTTATCTAATCTATAAATTCTTAATACCTATATGTTATTCTTTCCTCTTAATTTTGACTGCTTTCCTTTTGAAATCATTTGGATCAGCTAGTCTTAGATGAGATGCTGCATAAATCCCTTAATAAGTTTAAAAGAAATGGTCTCTGTAGAGAGAACTAAAGTAATCATCTTTACAAGGCTGAGTGAAAACTGCCTTGATTTTTCCTAAGTAGTACTAAAATTAGACATCTTCTGTATTAAATTTAATGCTTTCAAAATATTTTTATACTCTATTTGTTATTGATTAAGGTTGCTATAAGGATAATTGCCTTGAGTGCACCGGAGATATCTAATGTGAGTGTACTTTCTTTGGTTTCTGATATATTCCATCATAAACATTTTGATATTTGGATCCTATTGATTCTTATCTTCTGTTTTAAGCAGAGTTTGTTTAATTGATTTTGGATGTAAGGGGTCTAGGATCAATTGAGGATGGTTAAGATTGTTTGAACATATTGATTTCATTACTCGGATTTATTTTGGCGACAAGTTGATTTAACAACAAAGTTTATTAACTTTTCGATTGATTGTTCTAAGGTTTATAGTATTTTGATAGGATAATCTGATTTTGCTTTTGCAATGCAGTTGCTATTTCCATATTTTTCTATTGCCTCCTTTTCAGGGGTGAGTCTTGAGTATACTTTTGTTTGAGAACTTCTTTCCAAAAAATATTGGGGTTGGAATTGGACTTTGAATTGATGCTCCGAACTGTATTTAGGAGATCTTATTGATAAGAATTGAGATTTTGAGTTGTCCTTGATAATAAATCAATTGTATTATTAGTTTCAATTTTTGGTTTAGGTTTCATAATTTAATTTATTATGTCATATAGCTACCTCTTTAAATTTATATTGATTGGTGATACAGGTAATGTGTGTTATGCATTCGATTTCAGGTGTTGGCAAATCTTGTCTTCTTTTGTAATTCATAGATAAGAGATTCAGACAGAAGCATGAGGTTACCATTGGTGTGGAATTTGGTGCAAGAATGATAGAGTTCGAGGGATAGAACATCAAATTATAAATTTGGGACACGGTACTCTCAAACTCCATATTTTTATAGGCAGGGTAAGAATCTTTTAGATCAATCACTCGTTCTTATTATCGATCTGCTGCTGGTGCAATCATAGTGTATGATATTACTAAGAGGGAGACTTTCGAAAACATTTCTCGATGGTTGGAGGAAGCTAAATAAAATGGAAATCCAAAATTGACATTTACTCTTGTTGGCAACAAGAGTGATTTGGAAGCAGAGTACATTGAATATTCCTAATCATTAGTCGATAAGTGTCTTTTGAAGAAGGTCAAGAGTTTGCAAGAAATAATGGCATTGATTTTGTTGAAGTGAGTGCCAAGACAGCCAATAATGTTGAGGAAGTATTCCTGAAGACAGCCTAACAAATTTTGGAAAAAATTAATAGCAATCAAATTGACCCAAAAAATGAAAGTCATGGAATCAAAGTTGGGACTGAACAAGGAGTCAAAAAATCCTTTATTAATAATACTCAATAATTATAACCACAAGCAGAAACTGAAGAAAAGCAAGGAACGTGTTGTTGAATCGGATATTGAATTAAATATCTATAAATATTATAATAGATTTTTATATTCATTATATATAGAATACATATTATCAATTTTTACATCTTGCTATTATGCATTCTGTTAAAATCTACAAATCAGAATTTAAAATTTAATTATCATTTTCTTAACATAGAACAATTTTCCAAATTTTTCTATTTAAAATTATTGATCAAAAAAGAGTGACACTATAATCTTAATATTATACTTAAAATTGGTTACAGATCTAAAACTAAAAGATGTTCAAATTAATAAATTCCTAAATATTGATTTTATTTTATAGTGCTATTTCATATATGTTAATAAGAAATAAAAGCAATTCTTATTTATAATTAAAATATTGAGAATTTCAAGAACTCTTATAAATTTGAATATACTATATTTAATGTAAAAATAGTGATCGTTTATTGTATTATGAAGATATTAATTATATTTTCACTTCTTCTTTTCTTTTTTTTGGTCTTTGCATGACAACTTTCTAGGGGGAGATACATTCTTAATCCATCATTTTAGAATCTGTCATTTTATTTATTGTTTGAATTATATCGACTTTTGGATACTCATCTCTTTTTTCTTATCAGAAGGAATCTTGATATATTTCAGGAATGAAAATAGGTGAAGTAACCTGTAGATTGTTATTAAGTACCTTGATAGGTACTTAATAACAAGATTAATCAACACAACCTAATTAATTATTAAATTCCTCCTAATGGAAGTTATTGTTATGTGTAAGGAACTCAATCTGCTTACTGAAGAATTACTAATATTGGTTGATCCAGAGAGCAAGAGAGTATGAATTTGTAAAAATTAAAAGTAGCAGAAATGACAGAATCGCTAATGTAGGAATGAAGGACAAATCTAAAAGATATAAGTCGACCTTGGAAAGTTAAATTAGATTAGATAATAAATCTGTTTATAGGAGTTAGGAAAAAAAATACTATTTGATAGAAACTGATATATCTAAAATATTTATAAACTGATAGAGGAGTTACCTCATCTTAAGAAAAATAATAATTTTATGTTGTTAAGGTAATTCAAAACTTTCTATGCATTATGGTTTTAACATAATCCTGTAAGATATTAGGAATGAATCTTTGCAATCATTTGCTATTAGAACTTAAAATTATTGAATCAGTATACAGGATGTATATATTAATATATATATTAATTTGAATATTTTTAAATAATATTTATATCATTCTCTTGCTCCTTTTTATCTGAATAGCTAAATGATTGATTTACCATTTTAAGTGATTTTTGAATCTTTTACCATGCATTAATTGGCTAATAATAAAGATTGTCTGGAAAACGATTTATAACAAATTAGTCTGAATTCTTTTTTTATACTTTCAGATAATTAATTTTATTATTCTTAATTTTCTTCATTATGTTTTATATTTTAATCATTCTCAATTTATTCAACTGAATATAAATTTATAGATCCATCATAAATTGCAGCTGCAATATCAGTTCCATTAAGACTGAAAGCAAACCAATTAACTTAATCATTTTAATTTTCTATTTTCAAATGTTGTTCAAATTTATTTAACTCTTCATCATTAGAATCTGTTAAATCCAAAAAATAAATTGATCCAGATGGGTTGCCAACAATTAATTGAGTTCCAAAATGATTGATACTGATAGTAATACAATCTCTGAAACCTTCTGATGATATCTACCTAATCACAATTAATTTCTTTTAATCTATAATTTTAACTATTAAAATGAAAGCATCATATAAAATAGCAAATATTGAATCCACAGAAGCTGATACAATTGATTTGGCTTCATTATCTTTTATAACTCCTTCTAATTAGCTCTCTATAATTTCCAAAGTAGGAGTTAACAATATAGGATGTCCATTTATAAGTGTAATTAAATTTTAGAAATCTGATGAATATACAAGGCCAAATACACTTTGATCGTTTAACTCTAATGTATGTAATTATTTAATCCTAATTATTTAATATGATTCTTATGCTTTGTAAACTATAAATTTTCCATTTGGTGAAATAACAGGATTTGTTTTGCCATTATATTTTATATCATAAACAGCTACTTATTAACATTATCCATCCTTTAAAAGTTTCCACAACTTTATTTTTGTATCAAATCCACAAACAAAATATTCCTAATTTGAAGCAAATGAAATATTTTGGATAGGTTAATCGAAAGAAAGCGATGAGAGTAATTTAATATTATGCAATTCTTTAATATCTAAAATATTGATTTCCTCTTCATTTGCTATTACCAATATCTTTAAATCTATAAGCATAGCATTATTTCCAGACCATTGATCACTATTTAATATTTATTTTTCGTTTTTCCAGTCCCATATGATAAAACCTTATTAATTTAATTATACAATATAATTTCCATCTTAATTTGATGAAAATTTTAATGGTTTCTATTGTTCATCTATTAAAATCATACTTTATCCAGGATTCAAAAAGCTGATTCTTTTATATCCACACCAAATATCTTGCTTCCAACTATTATTATAACATAAAACCGATAAATGCTTAGGACAGAAAGTATAATTTTAACAACTTTCTATCTACCAAATATTCTTTAATTTTAATTGAAAATCTTTTTAAACAGAAAAGATACAAATTGTTTCTTTTTAACAACAAACCAATTCATTGTCATCATTTATAAATTATAAATTTTGAATTGATTGTTTTTGAAACAAAGTAATTTCTGTAGTAATTGATTTCTCATAATTCCATAAATAAATTGTATAATATTTATTAGCCAAGGCTACTAAAATTTCATTTTAAGAAATGACTGCTATACCATTCAAATTTTGAATATCTTTTTAATACTGTTATTAATTATTGAGATTGACTAATAAAAGTTGCATTTTATTTTTATGATAGATTATATGATTGCATGAGTTAGAAATCTATAAGATATCATCTGAATATGTAAATTCTAAATTAACAACAATTTCGTTTTATTTATTTTTTATGTTCCACTTCATAATAGTACATCTTCTTGATGCTGTGTATAGAATATTTGAATCATCCTTGCTAAATTAAAAAAGTTTAGGAGCTTCTTCAAATTCTAAATTTACATCTTCTTATTTTTTAGAAAATATCAACAATAAAGATCTTATTTGAATACCTTTCTAAAATAGCTAAAAATCCATCATCATTGGATATAATTGACTGATCTGAATTGATAGGATTCTCAATTTTAAATTTAATTTCTCCAGAACAGCTATCTATCACTGTTATTTATTAGTCACCCATTGTTATAAATAATTATTAACTGTTTGATAGATAACTTCTCCAAAATTTTATATCTAAATCAATAAAAGGCCTCTACTTTTACATTTAATTAAGATTTGATATGATAATAGCATTAGCATTACTATTTATGGATACAAACTAATCTTGATATTGAGAATCAATTATATCATTTTAAACAGTGCCTGGTTCTAATTAAATTTGTGATTGCTATTTCCAACTATTGTTTGTTTTTTACCAAATAATCATATTATTTTTATTATCTATTGATAATAATTGTCTATCATAATCCCATGATTTAATAATTACAACTTTAGATGAATGTCCTTCAAGGATTTCAATCTAGTCATTTGATAAATTATGAACCTTTACTAGAGTATCATAACCTTAAAATATATAATCCTCATCTCTATAACGATCAGATAAACACATAGGATTGATCCCATATTTTTAGATTTCCAATTTTTTATCATCTTTTTTATCTATTTAATCCAAACTCCAAACTTAAATTTTAGTAACTATTTTTTATTTCATTTTTTAACCTCTATCATTTGAAATAGTAGCAAAACAATCTGATGGAGCAAAACATAAGAAATCCGGATATAAATAAAGCTCATTTATTTTACAGTATAAAGTAGTCTCCTATGGAAATTTAACATCCCACAAACATATTGATCCATCAATACTTCCTGATGCCAACCATTTAGAACTAAAAGAGAATTCTAGACAACGCACATCTGCAGTATGTTCTTTTAACATAATAATAAAGTTTTTTTCTATTAAATCCCATAATATAATTGAACAGTCTGCACTACATGATGCAATAATAAGACCATCTTTTGAGAAGGCAACTTAGTTTACACATTTTTAATGTCCTTTTGAAATATTTGATTATTCACTTTATTCAATATTCCATAATTTAATTTATTAGTCTTCACTTGCAGAGGCCAAACATTATCCATCAGGAGAAAAAGATAATTAATTAATCCACCCTCTATGACCTTCAAATACTGCTATTTTCTTTTGAGCATTCACATTCCATAAAAATATCTTTTCATCTTCACTACCAGATGCTAGTAATGATGTTATCTATGAGTAACTGAGGCATGTTATATTGTATTCATGTTCTCCTAGTACTAGATCTTCAGATTTATTAAGTTAATTCAGATATATCTTCTTACCACAACCAATACTAACAGTATTTAAATCAATTTATACTAAACAATTTATTTTCTAAGGAACACTTCTATCAATATTTTATTTTGAATTAGCATCTAAACTATATGATTTAATAGATTAAGAATATCCAGATATAATTTTTGAATTGTCAGAAGATATTACAAAAGAATAATTATTGTCACCCTTTTCATTCGATTAATTTATACTTACTATTTATGCTTATGACATCCAATTCAAATTCATTAATTTAAGTCTATTTGATTACTTAATAGATATAAAACCAAAAGAAGGTGTAACTGACACTTCATCTACATCAGATCCACACTCGAAAGAACAGAGAAGTTTTAGTTATTTATTTTCATCAAGAGAACCTACTATTGCTTAGTTATGCTCTTTATAGTAATGCAATAAATTGCCATTCCTAGAAAATTTGATTGGAACTATATGACTAGAATTATTATCTGGAAAATCTTTATCATTTTGAATGTCATAAAAATTTCAATTTTTATGAGTATGTATCATAATTACAAGCTATTAACTATCCATCATAAGATATTGCAGATTCCTAAAATAATTCTTTAAAAACTTCAAATTTTTAAGAACTTAGATCAAAGATACCTGAACCCTCCTTATTTCGTATAAATATTTTATTATTACTATCAAATGAATTTACTTGAAGTATTTTACTTTTTGGAGTTATAAATTTAATTTTTTATTAGGTTTTTATTTCTCGAATGACAAAATCAGAATTCGATATGTAACATATATAATCATTGTTACATGTCCATGAAAATTATTATAATTCTTAATTTTTATAAGTTTAAATCTCAAATATATTTTAAGGGTCTTAGATATTAAATAGTTTTATGGTATTTTTACATTATAAAATTAGAACCTAATCATTTTTACTTAGCTTGAGAGATTAACATTCTTCGCAAATAGTGATATTAAAGATTTTCTTTTTCGAATGAATATTCTACTTCCAAATATTTGATCCATTTGAAATTATGCAATGTAAGCCATCTTAAAAGAGTTGTACATGATAATGATAAGAACAGTTGATACTAGATATTAATTTCTACTAATTCCAATCAAAAATTTCAATACCTCTATAATCTCTCGTAACAAGGTATCCATTTGTTAAAAATTAGGCAAATTATTTTGAAGTACAAATTATTCCCTTTAAATTACATTTTGATAAAGGAATTATTTTTATTTAATCCTTAGTAAGATAAATAAGATTTTAGTCATCATCAATCAACATTAATTAATTGATTTTCCTGTAAGGTTGAAAAGCATTAATCATTTCAATTTTATTGTCAAAATATTTCCAAACCCCAATGTAATTCCCACCAGTCACAAATAAATTACCATTTTTAGAAAAACTAATACATTTATATGTTGAATCCCAAGGAAGTTAATAATTAATAATTAACTCTCCTGATATGTAATTCCAAAACCTTAGGTTTTCATTGTATAAACACACTAAAGATATTTCATCTGGGCAAAATTGAATTATGAGGGAGTAAGTATATTCATATTGAATTTCTAAAACTCTTTCTTCATTCTTGTTTATGTTCCATAATATTATTTAATTCTTACTAGATATTTGATTAATAGCTAAGGTATTATTATCATAAGACACTAAAATAATATTCCTTTCCGGCTTATATTAATCAAGGATCTTTATTACTGATCCATTAATCTCATCTAAAATTCTGATTTTCTAATCATTAGTCTAAATAATTAATAATGAGCCATCAGGAGAATAAATGATGTATTCTATTTGAATGCCCTCATCTATGTCATTGAATTTCTCATACTCATAAGGAGCTTTGCTAATATTCCAAAAATATAAACTTCCATCTTCATACACTGTAGATAGTATAGGCTTGCAAGGGGAAAATGCCATTGAACAAACACTATTTCTATTTTCAATTTAATTATCCATCAATTTTAGTTCTTTAGAATCATATAAACATATTTTTTTGTAATATTCATCTATCATAGCCAATATTTAATAGTTAGTTGAAAATGAAAAATAAGTTATTGGATAGGAAATAATTTTATAATCTTCTGATTCACAACATTATTTACATTTATCATCATAAATAATAATTTCCTTTTCACATTGTTCAAATATTAAATTGTGATAATAAAATGAACTTTGCTCGCTTTCACTAAGCACTACTTCCTAGAAAGTATTTAAATCTAAAAATCTTTAATTATAATATTTTTCGTTTATTATTAATCTCTATTCATTACTAGTAATATCAATTTAGGTTATTTTTTTATCAAAATATATACTATTAATAATTGCTTAAGTAATAAGATCTAATATTAATAGTGTTTAATCTTAAACAATAACAGCAAAATTAGAATTAGGGAATAAGTAAACAGGATAGGAATACTATATATTAGCAAGATAGGCAGAATCATCATACTAAAATTCCCCATAGGCTAAATAGTTTTCTGCTCCAATGACTATTTCTCTTTCATTGGGTAAGGTTAAATATTAGATTTAATATTCTTAAAAAGATAAAACTTAGCATTTACATTTATCTTTCAAATCCCATAATAATAGTAAATTTGTACATGCAGATACTAATCTATTTCCTTCCTTACTAAAAGCTAAGGCTGAAATCTTTCCAGTATGACCTACTAAAATCCTTTCATTACTAGTTTTTACTTCAACTAATTTAATGCTAGAATCGTCTAATCCAAAGGCAATCAATTAATCATCTTATGTCAAAGTGTAAACCAAGATTTCCTATTGACACTAAAATATAATATCATTTGGTTTTTCTGTGATAAATTCCAAATTGCAAATTATCAAAGTTCCTGAACTATCAACTGAAACTATTTTTTTTCCATCTAAAGTGAATTTGACTCCTGTGACTGGATGGTCGTGATAATCTATTGTAAATATCAAAAAAGACTTAATTTATGGATTCTAAATATCCCATAATTTTATAGTTTTATCTTTACTAGCAGAAGCTAGAGTTTTATTATCAGCTGAAAAAGCAACTGATAATATTTAATCTTGATGACCATCTAATTGTTATATTACTTTATAACTTTCCACATCCCAAAGACTTACTAAATTTCCTTTTCCATTTGATGCAATTAATTTGCCATTTGAAGAAAATTCAACTAGTCTAACTTGTTCATCTTCTTTTAAAAATGGTTTTTCTTTACATCTTACATTGTTCCATTCAACATCTGTCAAATTAGCATAATTAAAATTGCAAGAATTAATATTAATATTAGTAAATTTAGATTTACTAAGATCTGAATTACAAAAACTTAAACCTGAGATATTTGTATCAATTAACTAAATTTCTGAAAAATTTTCGTATCCTAAATACACATCCAGTTAAGATAACAAGAAAATACTATTTGAAGCAGCATAAATATATTCCTTATTTTTAGATAATTTAGCAATATTAATAAGAACTCTTTTGATATTATCTAGAATACTTATTTTTTCTTTAATAAAAGTTAATACTCCTTTAAAATGATCCTTGCAAATATTTAATTCAGGTTTATTATATAATTATTCTATCAATCTGGCAGCATATTTCTAATCAAAATTTTCTTCATTCAAAAATTAAGAACCAGATTAAAGCAACAAGTCTATGATATATTTAGCAACATAAAATTCTTAAATAGATTTGTGAGTAAAGGAATAGTTACTTCCTTTAGCATTTAAGAGAATACAACTTCGTATTAATTTATTATAATCAAGTTCCTATTATGAATCATTAAAATAATCATCAAACCAATCATCATCATTTTATTACCTATTATAATTATTTGATAATTTTAATTTTCCTTTTTGTTAATAGGTGATTTAAGATAGTTAATTTATAGTCATATCTATTGCTAAATTAGATGAAAATTAAAGAATATCTATTTAAAAACCTTCCCAATTTGAAATTTTACCTGTCTCTCTCAACTTTTGAATTTATTAATCATGATAAAAATGAATGAAGCTCTCATAGAACTCAAATATTGTATACTTTCTCATCTTCAAAGCTTAAACTACATATTCTATATCTGGATAGATATTAAACGACTTATTATCAACTAATAAGTCATAGCCATGGATTTTAAGAATGCTGGTAATTGAGTAAAATTAAAAAAACTTGAAGCTTTCCAATTTATCTAAAAGTTAAACGGTTTTTGCTTATAATTCTGGTTACTCATAATATTTAATTTTTTGGCTTTTTTTTCCATCAAAAGATGGCAAAATTACCTAATTATTTTCTTTTTTATCTAAATTATTTTTGTAACTCTCTTATAAAATTTTAGAGAAACTAGATTTTTATATAATACTGAGATAACTCTTAACAAATCTATTTTTTAAATCCATCGAACCTTGCTATTTCTTTGCCATATTAGGTAAAACTTAGACAATAATTTCAAACATGAAGGGAGTTGATAATAAATCAGAAATACCTACGTTTTCGATGGCCTTTTCAAATTTATAAACACTCCATAAGGATGCCAAATCTTTCCTGAGTCCTGTAATTTATTCCTCTTTTAAATAATTAAATGAAGAATGCTCTAAAATTTTTTCAATTAATTCTTCCCTCGAGGAGCTTTCAAAAATTGACTCTGATTATTCTTTATATGAATTTTAAATGCCATTTTAAACTTTTACATTTACATCGTACCATATTCTTAAAAATTCATCTAAATTAAAATTTTATTATGCAATCTATTTCAAGAAATCATATACTGCTCTTATTTTTCTTTTTACACTAAGTTCAGCATATTGAATTAAATAATTACTTTTTTAACCTTCATCAAAATCCTAGATCTAAACTTCTTTTAAACTGCTTATGCTATTCCCATAAAACCAAGTTTAATAACCCAAGGTGTTTAATATTTCTTTTCTGGTTGTGATGATTATCTTGACTTATTTTTATTTTTCATCAATATTCAAATCATTAATTAGCTTGTTCGTTGTAATTAGATTTTATTAGATACAATCTTATTTCATTTCATCGTAACTATCAAGTATTAAAATGATAAATTCTTTTTTATTTTAAATCGCATCTTTAAATTCTCTTAGTTAATATTTATCAAATTAATAATTATCAGATTCTAAAGCTTATTCAAATAAATTATATTTTGGATTTTTTAAAGTTGGAAGTGATACAAAGATTGGTATCCATTTCGAATTAATTTCTCTTTATTTCCATAGAAATTCTTCAATTTTTCTGGCTGCTTTACTTTTACCAGAACCAGCATTTCCTGAAAGTAACATAACATCATTTGATTTAGATTCATCCCAAATGAATTCATTAACTTCTCCAGTAAAATCATTCCATTATTCACTCATTAAATTGGTTATTGTTACTCCATCTTTGGATTTAATACTTTCCCCCGTAACAGGATCATATTCAATAGTTTTTAATTATACATATACAGAATCTACTTCTGCTAATCTAGATTATAATAATATCTTTTATTTTCTTATTTCTAATAATTCATCATATCTTTTTCCTTTTAATTTACGAATATCGTCACCAACTTAATTTAAGTTCTCTTATAAATTATCAATTTAACTTTTTATTTACTTCACATCCTTTGATATATCCTTTAAAAATATTAAACTTATATCCATTTTTTCTGACATTTCAGTAATATTATCATTATATTGTTCAAGTTCTTCATAAGCTTGCTTGAGTTATTATTTAAGATGCTCTTTTATTTGAGAATTTCCTTGAAGTCTTAATTCTTATGAAATACTTTCTATGCTGTTGATTCTTAATTTCATTTCTTATTTTATTTATTCTGATGTTGACTTGATATCCTTTGAAAAAACAAGTTTTTACATTTCAATTAATTCCTTATTTTTCAATAGATTTCTAACTCTTTAATCTTTTTCGAAAACCCAAAGGTATTGAATCATTTTTGATGAAAACTCTACTATTTTGTCTTCTTTAATTCCTTATTAAAGCTTTATTAAATTATAAACTAAGCATTCTCTAATTTTATAATCATTGTTTAAATCAAATACATCAAATATTGACTTTTTTATTGTCAATTGTTCACATAGATTATTTATTATATTTAAGTATAAAGGATCTAAAGTTTGAGGTATTTTATCCTAACTTTATTATTTTAATGAAAAGAAACCTAAAGTTTCTTATAAGGTTGATTCAATTTACTCAATTTATTAGCCTTTCCGTTTGTCAATTTACTAATCATATTAATCAATCTCTTAATTACTTTAAATGATACATTCACAACTCTCTAATTAACTATTTCCCTTTAAACTTTCAATAAAAGTAGTAATTGATTTCTTAATGTTAAATTTAGTTTCTATTTGTTATAATTATGTATTAAAGTTATTGAAATGAAGTTAAATTTCTTTGTTGTCAGGTTATTAAAGTTAATTTAGAATTAATATTAACAATAGTTCTAATAATTTCAGTTATTTATTTGTATCCTTTATCATTGTCAAATCTTCATCAACACAAAAATGACAGAAATCTAAATTCTTATACTTTGTGATCCAATGTTAGAAAGTCAATTTTTTTTCATCTCTTGGACTATTGGTAAATTATCCTTAATTATTTTCAATTTCTCTTATGATACTATCATATTTTCCCATTTAACTTTTTAAAGCATCAAAGTCATAATATTCATTTTAATTTTATTAAACGATAAACTAGGCTTCTTGCATGAATTTACTAACCTATGATATTATTGTTTTCGTTTATTAGCTTATAATATTTTCATATTCACTTTGGATTCTCTATTAATCTGTTTTTATTTATTTAAGGAGTTATTTTCTTTTTTCCTTACTTTAAATACTACCCTTATCAATATCTTTTGATTTCAAAATAAAATCTAATTCTTCCTTTTATTATGTTAACTAATTGATTAACATTAATTTACAGTCTTTATATAACCTTTATTACTCTTGATTTGCGACACTTTTTTCTTCTTCTTTGTTTTAGTAAAATATGTTCATTTTGTATTAGTGGATATAGCAAAATTGTTTCATCAGCTTTAAAATTGATAGGCTAAAAATACAATTTCTATATAATTTTTCGATATCCTCTTTATTTTTAACTTAATTTTGACTCAAATCAAATCTATCTGAAAAACTATCACCTAATTGTTTCCTTATTATTTTGATCCATTACCCTGAGCATATAGCATGTGACATAGCCTATATTTAGAACGGAGTAATTTTGATATTTTAATCATGTGTTTTTATAATAATTGATGCTGAGATATAAAATTTTTGTTAAAATTCCTTTATATTTATTATGCACTATTATAATATTAATGAATTTTAGGAATTTTATTGATAACTTAAGTGATTTTGAATCTAAAATTTGGAATTTACTTCCTCTAGATTAATTTACTGTTTTGACATTGGATTTAAACTAATTTCAGAAATATAGCTCAAATACTCGATCATTTCTAGAAAATTTGAAATAAAATCTTCGTATAAGGTAAAAAATTTGACTTTAATAAATTCTTCAATAATTTAAAAAATCTTCTCTAATTTTTCTTTATCTTTAATCTCAAATTTTTCAAAACAAGGAAAAAGTGACCTTAACTTTTCAAACTCAATAGTACTTCTTTCTATGATAAAAAGTAGATAATATAAGGCCTATTTATATCCATCTAAAAATTATTTTCTAAAAACATTATAATCATCTTAGAGTAATTTGATTTAAAGCTATGCATTATCCTATTAATCCTATATTTAAAAATAATCTGTAAATGATTCTTAAATTTATTAGTAAAGAGGAATTAACCTATCTAACTAAAAATTAAATCTTTCAATTTACTTCTCTATAAATAATAAATCATTATTTTGTAAAATTATTTCATATTCCCTTCTAGTAGTTTATTGCTTTTTCTTAAAGGTAAAATCTTTATAGAAATTCCATAGATTAATTTATTTTGAAAATTGCCCGTTTATAAGAGATTCTGAAATTAATTTAAACTTGGGAATACTCTATTATTCTAACATATTATTTATTTCTTTGCTAAAATATTTTACTTGATTTTGAAATAACAATATAGAACCTTAATTTCTATTATATGGAAGACTTAAAATTAAGTTATTTTCAATTAAATTGTTCCACATTGATTATTATTCAATTGGAGAACCTTTAACAATTTCAAATTTATCAAGAATAGGTCTATATGCTAAAATATCCATTATCATTGATATCCAACTAAAATGAATGATCCAATTATCTGAACTTAGAATATATTATTGAAATGCATCTTTTAGTTATTTCATTTGATTATAAACTGAGTACTATGATTTTAATTGCCTCACAATAGACCATTTAAGAGTTTGGAATAAATAATAAGTAGCATATACCTCTTCAGGATATAATACTTTGTCTTTATATTGTAAAAATAAAAATTTAGCTCCTTCAATAAGACTTGGGATTAAGTCTTCAGTAGGTGACATTGCCAAAGCTGACTAAGCTACATTTTTAACAATATTTATTAATAAATTTTTTCCTTCTTCTGAATTGGTTTGACAATTCATCAACATTATTTTCATAAGAGGTATTTCATATTCTATTCCTGTACTCCATAAATTTGCTTATTCAATATCTAACTCTATTTAATTTCCTCTACATCTTATAGTAATTCTTATTGCATAGTTAATTCCATTTCTCTACCCTCATTTTGTATTTAGAATGAATATATAATTCTCAAAAAGTCATTACAGATTTAAAGTACTTAATAGCATAAAAACCATGAAGATCTTAAATAAACAGGAAGAATTTTTAGCAAATCTCTAGCAGAATTCAATGATTTTGTATATATTAATTAAGTTAAATTTTGGTTAACACAAAAAGTATTTAAATGCTCTCTATTGTATATAAACCATTAAATTGCAATTATTACTTCATTTCTTTGTTAAGGATCAACTAAAAGTGTGGCTTTTGTATTGATAATGTTAATCTAATTTTCTAGTTTAATCAATAAATCCTTGGGCACACCGATAATTAAATTTTCTTCAACCTTTAAAATTGGTTTAGCTTTTCCACAGCCTCCTCCTCTCAATTGTATTTCAAATTATTACATTAATAATAATAATAATGAGAGTTACATTTGTATTAATATTTTAATTGGGAGAATAAATTAAATGTATGGAACACCTTAGATGTATTATATAGGTTGTATTTTCAAATTACTCCTTATTCCTAAAGACATCAGTCATTCAAAACTTTTTTACTTTTGAAAATAATATAAGTTAATATCTATTTTTCAAATTCAATAAATATAAATAGATAATGCTAATATATATATGAAAAAAAAATTATTAGAAATTTCTTATTTTACGCTTGATTTTGATAATGTGGACTATTGAGCAGTCAATAATGATTACTTGGCAAAGGATTTATAATAAAACATTTAAAATTTAGTAATATCTTTATTTAATTTCAACTCTTCAAAATACTACTTTTTAACAAAATTTGTTTAATTAGCATCAATAGAATATAAATTGATCATCTGAAGGATCTGCTGCAAAATTAATTCCGTCTGGACAAAACTTAAGAATTTTTACTTCATCATTTATTTTATCATTCAAGCAAATTATTAAGATTGCTAAACTTTCCATAACGCAATTGAATTTATGAAATCTACTTAATTTTAACCTCTCGTTAAGAAGAAATCGCCTTTTGGTGATAAAGCAATAGAGCTAATATAATTTTTATCTCCTTTGATAGTCCAAAGTTAAACAAGATCCTTCTAGTCTTAAAAACCAAAAATTTACACGCTGGTTGAACACATCAAGGCCAAATATTTCTGATTTTATGAAAATTCAGATTGAGTGGCTTGAAAATCTAATTTGATTTCTTTAACTTTTTTGAAACTAATAGAATCAAAAAGTTAAATTGTCTAGTATAAAATAACCAATTTCAAGTTCCCATTATTTGAGTAGAATATCTAACCTTAATTTACTTACCTGTTTAATTTTTATCCAATTTTCTTATTTGATATTTTTAATATTCATGAATACAATGATTTTTTATGCTAGTATTAAAAGGACAGTTAAGAGTTAAGATTGTACAATGCAATATCAAAGTCAATATAGTTTTATTTTAAATTGTGTACATTCCATTTTAAACTGATCAATCAGTATATAAGGAAAATATTCATATTCTATTTAAATTTTAAGGAGAAAAATAATATTTTTAATTTGTTATCTAAAACTTCTACTCTTCATACTCCTAATCTATTATTCTGATTTAAAATTAGACGAATTAGATCTGAAAATTTTCTCAAAGACAAATAGCTTCATTAATGAAATAAACATGTTAAAAGTGCAATATTTAATATTTGATGATTGTCTGCATATTTTAATCAATAAGATTATTCATAAGCTTCGCTTACTTAATATTGATTATTGGTTATAAACAATAAATTACCAGAATGTTCATTTCAGTATATAAAATTTTTTCTCAAGGCGTCTTCATTGTATAGATTAAACATTTTAATATCCTTAATTAAGAAGAATAACACAATTGTTCGTAGGGTATCGAATTTGTTGAACATGAAGTGGAATCATTAATTAAATACAATTGGGAAAGAAAAGAGCAATAATTTTCAGCCTAGGATAGCCAAGGAAGAAATTCGATTAAATAAGCTCTTACAATTTTTTATTTCATTGTGAGATGTATTAATCCAAATTAAATACTGGAGGCATCATCGTAGGTAAATTAATCTGTAACAGATGATTTATTAAATTTAAATCTACCAAAATTTCAAAATTCTGATTTCTAAACTTTTTTATTGAATATTATTATAACATCAAATTACAAATAATCTATCTATATAGTTAAATTTATAAAATTTAGTCATGTGCAGAAAATAATTAAGATTCAGACTTAAATAAGAAAGTACGTTTTTAATTTTCACTCTTTGTTGGCCAAAGTCAATATGAATAAAAATCATAAATTTGGATATAATATATTTATAGTAAAAATAATGATCTATTATTATATTATGTAGATACTAATTATATTTTCACTTCTTATATTCTTTTTGGGTCTTTACATGAAAACACTCTCTAGGGGTATATGCATTCTTAATCCATCATTTTTAGAATCTGTCATTTTATTTTTTGTTTGAGTAATATTACTACTTTGTCTCCTTTAATTCCTTACTATAGCTTTATTAAATTATAAGCTAGGAATTCTTTAATTTTATAATCATTGTTTAAATCAAATATTATTTATTCAATATTTCCTTGCGAACAGAATAAAGAGAAAATTGGTATGGTTTATTTTCTTTGATATTTTATTATTAAATAATTCAATTAAAAACTTTACAAGATCTAAAATATATTCTTTACAATCCTTATTACTTTTCAATTCACAATACATCAAATATTGACTTTTTTATCATCACTTGTTCACATAGAGTATTGATAATATTTAAGTTTTAAGGGTCTAAAGTTTGAGGTATTTTATCCGAACTTTATTATTTTAATTAAAAGAAAGCTAAAGTTTCTGACAATGTTTATTCAACTCACTCAATTTATTAATCATTCCCTAGTTCAATTTACTAATTTTATTAGTCAATCTCTTATTTCTTTAAACAATGCAGTTACAATTTTGTAATTAACTATTTTCTAATTTAAAATTTGGATTCTATTTGTTACAATTATGTATTGAAGTTGTTGATATGAACTTAAATTCCTCATTATCAGATTACTAAAGCTAATTTATAATTAATACTGACAATTGTTGTAATAATTTTAGTAATTTTTTAGCATTCTTTATCATTTTCATATTTAAATCAGATAGATATTGCTAAATCTCCTTAAGAACAATATTCTAATATTAGATTAATTGAATTCTAACTTTGTTGAATGTCTTTCAATTCTAAAAATATGTATATAGTTTATCGATTTTGTTATTCTTATTATTTCGGATTCGAGCAATTTCAATGTTTGTTATTTGTAAATCCCTTCTAAGTTATCAATCTTAATTTATTAATAAAGTTTAAAGATTACGTCTATAGCTACAAATTCCTTGATTCTTATATTCTAAGCTTGATAGACAATCACACACATTCCCTTAATACAAATAAAATTCATTACGATGCCTAGAACTTTGAAAATTTGATAATTCTAATTGTGATATTTACTTACTGATATTTATTTTAATGAAATAAAACATGTCCAAATCAACTATGTAGGATACTAAGGTTTCATATGATGCACCTCCTTTGGACTTCTCCAATCTGAATATCAAATCATTGGCTGATTTAAAACATGCTATACCGAAGCAAGGGAAACGTAAGTAGGCTCCGATCGATGAATAGAAGGATGATAAAAAGAAGGAAAAGCAGCAGCAACAACAATAAGAAAACGAGAATATTCAAGTGCAATAGAATCAATAACAGGAATAAGAGGATGAAGATAAGTTAGAAGGGGATGAGAAAGAGAGAGAAAAGCGGGAGTTGCAGAGATAGAAGGAGGAAAAATTGACACCAGTAATTGTGCGAACAATTGGATAACCTGTCTAACAATCAACCAACGTGTACAAGCCAACAATCGATGAGAAAAAATAAACTAAGAAGCAATTTTAAGTACAATTAATCCAGTGTTCTTTGATCTTAAGTTACAATAAATTGACATCCTTGCATAACTTTTACAATATCATTGATCAAATAATGATCAATTGTAAGCAATTGCAGTGGATTGATCTATCGCATAATATGATTGAAAGTCTAGATTATGTAAGTGTTATTGTTTATATATATACAGAATTTTGCTGAATTACCAAATGTAAAGGCGTTGTACTTGCATGCGAACAAACTAAAGGACATAATGGAATTTGATAGATTGCAGTGTTTGACAGAATTGAGGACTTTGACTGTTCATGGAAATCCCTTTGATGCCATTCCAAATTTTAGATTGTATATAATTGGATTGTTGCCGACCATTAAAAAGTTGGATAGCGTTTTGATATCTAAAAAGGAACTAGACAATGCGAATGTGTGGAGAAATACGTTTAGAATGATTAAACCACCTATAATTAAAATATGAAACTTAATCTCGAAATTTTAAATTACGATAATCCGCTAGCTAACTTCTTAGTTAAAATCAAGTACGGCACTTAAGTTCATTAAACTACTGTGGGAAACAATTGGAATCAAAAGTTCACTCTTGATGTGAAGAAGGCAGTTGATTTAAAAGTGGAAGTATGGTAGAAAGATGAAGAATTTCATTTGATTGGAGAATCCATAGTTCCAAAGTAAGAATAGATCCACCAACTTGACATTGTGGGACAAGGAAAAAAAGAAGGGGTTCTGGTAGTAGAATACAAGGAAGTAGAGCTTCAAAATCCTAAAGTCAATCATAAATTAGAAAAGCCATAATCCTTAATCAAAAGATTGAATGAGTCCTTAAGTGCTGAAGTTCAAAATAATTATGGAAATATCTAAGAGTATTTCGCATAATAATTTGAGAATCACGAATTGAGTCATTAATCTAAATAAACAGCTTAAAATTTAACAATGGAATCATTGTAGAAAGTCATAAAAGGATTGAAAATTAATGAGAATCAATTTCATTTCGATGATTACGATTAGAAGAATGTTATTGAATAAACTAAAATTAAAGCTCTTTAGAAGGAACTCATTAAGAAGGATCTACAAAAATATGAGAAGAGCAGGAGAGAAGTTAATTTACAAATCCTAGACTTGGATGATATGGATTTGAGATTTGAATAGCCAGAACAGAAGCAATAGATTTTGAGTTTAAGAAAAGAGCTAGTCTAAAAGTTATTATATATCGAAGAAAAAATTGAACACTTAAAGAGACATTTGAAATTGGATTAGCTGAATAAACATGCATCTCAATCTATTATGAACAGTATGGCAGAGTTGAGTTAGATTAGTATGTATAGAGAACCAATTCTTAAGCCTGAAGTGGATCCATAGAAGGAACAGCAGAGACAAGAGTTTATTAAGAAATAAATGAAGGAATGGAATGAATTATAGGAATAGAGATTAAAGCAGATAGAAATTCAAAAAGAAAGAATATAAAAGACTGAAGATAAAATAAGAAAGTAGCAAGCACTTATTCAAGAGGCTAAGACTAAAGAAAAGAGAGAGGAGATTGATTAAAGATTGAATAAGTTGAAGGAGAAATAGAAGCAAAGAGAATAAGATTTATAAGAATAAAACAAGCGATATTTGGAGAAGAAGAAGCAACATCATCTAGCAGAGAAGTATGCTTAATAGGATGCAGCGTATATGATGCAGTTGTAGGAAATTAGAAAAAATAAGTTAAAGGAGATGAGGAATCCTGAATTTGATTTGCAGGAAATTATGCAATTTGATAAGAAATTTATAGAACTTAGAAAGGAAAAAGCAGCAGAGAGACAAAAAGAGTGGGATGAGAGAGAAAAACAATGGAACAAGTTCTAAGCATAATATTACTCTTAGAGTTATAAGAGGGCTAGACAGTATTACAAAGAGTAAGACTCAAAAGTGGATGAAAACAGACTTAGAGCCTAGGAAAGAATCAATTTGCAGAGATCATATGAGAATGAGGTGAAGTAGAGATATCAACCTCATGTGAGTTAAGAGAAGAGATAAGAAATTGAGGAGAACAAAAGGAAATTGAAATACGAACCGGATTTTAAAAAATACAGAGAGTTATCTGAGAAGGTTAAAGAAAAACATATATATTTTGGAGTTGATCAGAAGGATTAATCAAGCAACAAGAAAGTGAAGCTGAAGCCATTGGAGAACATCCCTACTCCCATTTCACCTAGACGTATAGGGGACTTCTATTTGAAGGAGCATGCTACTTACAATAAGAAACATATTCCTCCATTGCCAAGACCGCCTGAACCACCTAAGTCAAGTTAATCGGAATAAAAGTTAGTTATCAAGGATTATTTGAAAGAGCAGAGAATCAAAAAGCAGTTGATAGAATAATAATCAGTACATATATTTATATATAAATCATAGATGAAAAATATGAACCAAACTTAAGGATTGGAAAATGATGACTAGAAGATGATTATGTAAATTAAAAAGCAATTAGAAAAATTAGAACATATTTGATATTGTTATTATTCTCACAAATTTATAATTTTAAATTAAACTTTTTAGAGTTAAGTTTAAAGTATTTAGATTTTATTTGAATGAAAATTTATTTAAAAATTTTTGAAATAGACAGAATATAGAGAAATCGACGAAATAAATCAATGATCATATATATCTTAAAATTTTGTAAATTATTTTTATTTTCTAAAATTAATCAGGCCAAATACTAATCCATGGACGAGGAGAAAAAATAATATAGTAAAATCAACAAAGAGATCAGGTAGGAGATTATTGATAAAATCTGCTTACAAAAAAAGCCTTTGTTAGAGGTATTTCGTTAATTTTAAGTATTTAAAAAGGTTGCTTAAGAATACTCGTTATTGGCATCTACGTGTAAGTCTATCGTTAACACTTACATGAAAGAAGGCAGAGTTGGTAAAAAAGAATCAAGAATTCGTAAATTAAAAAAAGTAGTAACAACATACCATGTCATTTTAAATCCACTTTAACCACTACTTTCTTAAGTATAAATGTAAAAAAATGTGGAAAATTGTGTCGAGCAATCACAAAAAAGTCGACTTGAAACAGAAGAAGTTCAGGAGGAGAATAAATAAGAATTGCAATCTTTAGATTTATCAATTTAATAGTGGACTTAATCTTTATTAAACTAAATCCAAGCATTAAACCAATAGTATAAAGATCCATAATTGCTTCGTTAAAATTGAAATGATTATTAGAGATTACATACACATGATAATTAATAAATATATAAATTTCTGTTATTCTTAATGGTTAAAATATTTTACATTTTTCATATATCCCTCCAATGAACTTTCATGCATTTTATTGTTTCAAAATAGTTACCTTGTGTTTCCATCCAAAATTGTTCAAGAGTATTCTAAGAAAACTCATCGCATTTCCACATTCCTGTTTGAATTCCATACTCACAGAATGATCTAAACATATCCAAAGGGGCTCCATTCAATTTTATACCATATTTCTAAGGTAACAATACATGTTTAGGTTGGAAATCATGTTAAAATAGTTTGAAAATAGAGGAAGCAGTGATTTTAGTACCATTTTTAATTTTGTGGCCATCAAAATGCATAAACAATCGAGGTAATGACATATGATATGGTGGTACATGTCCCTTAAAATACTGAATACCATAGAATTACCCTTAGATCTTTATCAGATTCATAACGAAATGATGGTATTTGTGATGGTCTATAGAACCAGTTAATACCATCAACAGCTACTAATACTTTATATTTTTCAGTATTGTACAATTGTTCCATCACTTCATAGACAGCATTTGTTGCATAATGAGCATTTGAGATGCCATAATCAATAATTTCCTGTAAGTATTGGGGCTTAGGAATTTTCAATGTAATTCTTGCAGACATGATTTAATCTTGAGCTTCTTCGAAATCTCTTTCTTCTTGTGTTGTGAATTTCTCAAAGTCCTTGAAGTGATATCCTCTTCTTTCATCATACAAATTGGGACAAGGATCAGGATCATCATCATGAACACCACTCAAATTGAATTTGCCATAAAGACTCAAATCAACTTAAAAGGTCTTCAAATGCTCTTGATTGGCTTCTTTGAATTGTTCCAACCATTCCTAAGCTGCTTTTGGTTGCATATACAATCCAGTTTTAAAATGTCTCTTTGCCTCATATTTCAATGAAGTCCAACTATAATAGTATTGATACATTTAATACTTATATCCAGATGGAACGACTGCTACTATCCATCCAGTTTATTAGGCAAATATGATTGCCTACATTAACACACCAGATTTACCAGCTCCATGATCTCCATAGAAAAGCAAATTACTTGAATATCCATAGTATTATTCCTATTTTTAAATACAAAAGTTCATACCCCAAATCTATTCTCAATTAATGATTTTGGAACTGGGAGTGGATTATTTGCGTATTTTGTGAGATCCAAAGTGAAGTCTTAGAATTGCAATGTTTTCACTGTTGAAAATAAGAGTTCAGGCATAGATGCATTTGCTTATTATTTATCTATTTTTTCCAATAATTAATCAACAAGAGACTTAAAGAATTCTTTTCTCTAATCTGGAGTTCTTAATTATTAAATTAATTCCCAGTGATTCAAAATTACAGTTAATAGAGCATCAAAATTTACACTGGTTGCAAAGACTCTCTAAAATAGTTCATTGTTTCTATGTTTTCTAAGTTCATCATTAAAGTCTCCTTTCAAGACGTTGAACATTATTATGAAAAATCCTTCTTTATGGAAATTATCTTTGGATAACTTTTTATATTGGAATATTTGTGGCACTCTTATGCTTGAATCCACATAATCAATAGTCTTGAAACCCACATCTGTCATCATGAGTGAAAAGTTTTTGGAAAGTTCAATTAGGTTTTTTTGGAAATCACCTGGAGATAAGAATTTGAAGGTTTTCTTAAATAACTCATAATTCAAAGGGATCCATTTTCCAATTTATATTGGATTCAAATCCAACCAATCTTTTAAAAACAATTTAGCCTTTTCTCTTGGCATATTACTTTTAGTATTATCATCGAGATCTTTGATTGATGCTGGATCTGGTTGTTATGCTAATTATTCCACCTACTTTCTAATGTAAGCCTATTTAATTAGATTATGTAGGATTATACTTATGTGATTGATTCTCTTACTACAGGATCTACTTTTTGAAATACCTTATCCAGTAAATCCAATTCTACTGATTATTCAAGTGCAGGCAATACTTCATAAGTATATCTTTTGAATAGATCAACTTAGTTGACTCTTTTTGGTGCTAAAACACCTGATTCCTTCTCAATTTATTCAGGCATTGAAAAAAATGGCTTTGTTTGATAAAATTTGGTCGTAGTAATTTTGGCCTATTAATAATGTTTCAACTTTAGTTTCTTGAATGCCTCAGATGCAGCTAACTAAAATTATCATAAATATAATACTTACCTTCATAACTAAAATTTATTTTATTAATATAACTAAAGAATAATACTATCATTTTCTAAGAATTATCCTATCACCTCCTCAAGAGTGCCTCTAACTATTCTATCCAAGGTTTGATAATAAAATTAGTTTATCTAGAGTATTCTCTATTAATTTTATAAAATTGAGTTAAGTATATAGATTGAGATTTTCATCCTATTTAAATATTGATATATATTAAAAAATAGTTTACAGATATAAATTCAATTGAAAAATAAGTCAATTCTAGATCTTTTTGTTAGTTTAAAGTAATTTATATATTAAAAAGTAATCGGTAATCCGGTTGATATTTGAGTATAATGTTTGGGTTAATTAAATAATAATATTCAAAATTGAGAGAAGCAAACCAAATATCTCTCTTTTTTTGAAAATTTAAAAACATTTACTAAATAATTATTGGATTATATGAAAATGATTTAATTATGTAAATAAGTTTGATTGATATTGAGATTATCAATCTAATTAGATAGCATAAGTTAATAGTAATCATTGTTTTATAGTTAATGACTTAGTAAATTAAAATAATAATCAAATATTTGATGGCTACTCAAAATGTTAGTAAATCCAATCATTACCCTAATCTTTTCATTTTCTGCTAGATTATTTCCTTAATAACCTTCACTATAATTTAAAATAAAGATCTATTATAAATATAAATCAAAAGTAGTAAGCTAACCCCCCCCAATATGATAGGGTATTAAAGAACCTAAAATATATCATTAAATAAATCATAAGTAATAAACTCTAATCAATAAACACTCCATCAAATTCAGATTTTACCTTATAAATTAACAAACTACTACTGTTTGTTTTAAAAATAACTTTATACTTATATTGGTAGAATTCTTAAACTTTACCACATACATAGTTAGAGAACTTCAATTAAGAATGTATTTGTATCTTATCAAATTTGCATATCTGAATTAAGTTTTATCATTTAAAGTATGAAAATTTATTAATATTAAATTATAAACCCATAAAATAATAAAGTTAATATTAATATTTAAAGGAAATAAAAAGACGATTAAATTTCATACCTTCTCGGCCTTTTGGCTAAGATCAAGTGTAGTATCTGTTCTTATCAGAGTGATATCTGATATCTCCTACGAGGAGAATGATATCACTGCAATTTTTAAATGGGGCTGGGTTTACTTGGGGCTTGCCCCGGTCCCAGCATAGTCGACCCTGACTTACACGACCTCGGGGAACGGCTAACCCGCTACTTTTTAATTTAAACAAACGAAATTTATTATTATATTATATTAACAGGAGGGTGACCAGGGAATAGATTAGGATGGAATATAGAATAATAAATTACTACTGATTTTTGGTGAAGGGATTTTACCAATTAATTTTACAAGTAAAGCGATTTGGTTAAAGAGGGATTTTGATATTAATAAATATATAATTACAATGTTTCGTATGTTTGATCCAATGTATTAGTCGATGAACTAAATTCTCGAGGAAAACGGTAATATTTTATGGTTGGGAGATTGCACTGCTGCATATGATAGAAGTCTTTTGGATGGGAGAGGAATTAAGACAGTTTTAACAGTGGCAGCCGGATTAAATGTGTCTTATCCTGAGGGTGGAATAGTGCACAAAGTAAAATAGATTGTTATGGGGAGGTGTATCACATATTGGATATTGAGTCAGCTAATATCGCCAGACTTTTTGGGGATACTTGTAATCAGATTGGAGAAGGGTTGAAGCGAGGAGGTGTATTGGTTCATTGTGCAGCAGGAGTGTCGAGATCAGCCTCAGCAGTGATAGCATACATAATGAAGACGAGAGGACTGAATTTTTAGGAGGCCTTCAATTACGTAAGGAAGCGTAGAAGCGTGGTATTCCCGAATAATGGGTTTCAGAGATAATTAAGGAATTATGAGAAAGATCTCAAACAAATAAGAGCGAAAGAACCAGAGATGCCCATGAAATAGACACAGAAAACGCCTTAAGAAATCGCAATGGAGAAGCATGAGTAATTCAGTATTTAGTATTTGGAATAGAAAGCAAAGATCCTCTTAAAACCTGTGTCAGGTAATCCAACATTCAATAGTGGTTATTCAACACCTTAAAAATAGTTGTAGAAGTAGAGGATGTTGTACCAATCTGCTAAGGTTGGAAGTCAAGAGCCAAAGTAAAGTTCAATAACTTAGAATTCTACTAGAACTAATTCCTAAATGAAGAAGTAGATCTTTGAGCCTACATTCAATCATACATATCAAGGCCCTCAGATAGTGACGTATTAGAGGAACAAACTTGTCGAAAAGATGCCAGACATCAAGAAGAAGACTTTTTATAAATGAAGATTAAAGATATTTAATTAATTTATCCTCCAATAGAGGTTTTCTTATAAATTAATGAGCATTAAAAATTGATACTTTTAATTAATTAAATACAAACAATTTCCACCACAAACTCATTCATTTTGTTTCTATCTCATATCAGCAAGTACATTGAATACTTTAACCAAACCTTTGGCTGCTATAACCTTCAACTCTCTTTCTTGATCTCTATTGGTTGACACTCTTGGATCAACATGTCCTTTTTCGACTACAGCCCTACTATGTTTAATTTATCTAACTTTTTAATGCTTTTCTTTATTCCAATTTCTTTTTGTTTTTACTTCTCACCAGTGAGTTCGTTCAATATTTTTTATTTGTCTGCCATAATTGCCTTCTCACTTTTAACATCTCTCTTAATCACTCCCGACAACAATTATTTTAATGATTGTTTCGTTTATTATTGCACTTCTTCTTGTTAACTTTCGTGTTCCTCCTAATGCTCATCTTCATCCTCTGCATCGAATTTCTTGATCAGATTCTTAACCTTCTTAGATTTGATTTGTCTATTCAGCATTTGTTTATATACAATAATAATTTATCACAAATCATCTTTATCATAATCAGCATCTTATAAATCTTCTGGATCAAAATCCTTCATTCTGTCCTTAAATTGCTGAAGTGTGATTTTGCCTTGCTTCAATTTCCTGACTAGATTTTACTCCCTAAAATTGATCACAATAATTACGCTCTCAATTCTTCATCATCCTCTTATACATGTTATTGCTTAACCTTCTTTCTAATGGATTTGATGTTCTTAATGTTTTTTTCTTATTTCTTAGGCACCTATTGTTTCGGCAATTATTGTATGTTCTTTTCCTCCAATTTCTTATCCTTATTTTCCCTTTTTTATAAGTATTGCTTTTCTTGATTCTTATCTAAAAAAGGTATGGAGTTTGGATCAATCTGACTTTATTCAAACTCAATTTTCTTACTCAATATCTCTTTTATTCTTGGAATTCTTAAAAGGAAGAATGAACAAGCTACTTTACCTATATTCAATTAATTGAATTGAAACAATATCTATAATTTGTGCTCCTTGTAACTTCGAATGAATGAAATGAACGCTGCCTTGCCTTTCTCTATAATATCCCTATCAGTAGTTACTATTTTTAAGCATTTCTCCTTCAACTATTAAAATTGACAATCAAATGCAACATCCTCCAATTAGTTCATTTCGATATTCGATCTTCCTAAGAATTAGATGAATCCTCTTTCATGTTATTCGAGCAATAGAATAGCTTCCCCATCTCTTCCCTGTCTTGCTGTTCTACCTGATCTATGAATAAAGAAACTTGGATCCTGAGGTGGATCAAATTAGATGACCAAAGGAACATCGTCAAAATCAAGTCCTCTTGCCAAAACATCAGTTGTGAATAATATCACACTATTTGTAGATTTGAAATTAGCCACTATCTTTTGTCTCTTCTTTTAAGCCATCTATCCATTCATACTCAAAAAATTGCAATCAGGAAATAGCTGTTTAAATATGATACTGTAATAGACAACAGAACAACAAGTATTAAAGAATATAATGCTCTTGTTGTTCTGACATTTCTTTTCAATCAGATCAACTAATCCAGATATCTTGTCCATTCTATTTTCAAAGATATGATAATAGTTTCTCAATTTGGCTGGCATAGTCTCATTAGCATTTACCTTAACTTATACTGGATTCCTTAAACCCAATTTCATTAAATCATGGATTTTAGCAGATGACAATGTTGCTGAAAATAGGCCAGTTCTTCTCTGTTTAGGTAACTTGGACAGTATGAATCTAATGTCATCCGAGTATTCGTTACTCATTAGTCTATCTGCCTCATCGAAGATCAAGTATTCCAAAGTTTTCACATTTACTTACAAATCAGCCATATCCAACAACTGTCTTAACTTACCAGGTGTTGCTATGAGTATATTGCATCCCTTCTCATTTAAATATTTGACATCGTGTTCATTCGAAGTTCCACCTATAGCAAAGGCAATCTTGGCTTAGTTCACATTTTAGAAATTCTTTGCTACATCGTAAATCTATTGTGCCAATTCTCTTGCAGGTGACAATACCAAACCAAATAGTTAATGATCCGAGTACTTCTATTTTGAGAATTGGTTAAATAATGGAACCAAAAATGTTAATGTTTTACCAGATCCCGTCTAGGCTTCTACAGCTACATCATAGTTTTTTATGAAGTGTGGTATAGCTGCTTTTTAAACAGGCATCAAGTACTAGAATTTAAACTCGTTTGCAATCACTTTTTGAATTATTGGCTCTAGGTTCAATTCAGACCATTAATTTTAAGTTGTCATAATTATTGAGAGAAGTGTATATAATAATATTCACTAGTTCTCAACCGCGATTAAATCAAAATCGACTACTTTCTCCAAGAATTCCCCTAAACGATTCGCCTCATGGACTTGTGTCATCAATTCCATTTCCCAATAATATTACTCCAAATTTGATACTTCTAATTCATGTCATGAAATGTTTATTCTGCATTTCTAAAGAAATACTTCTTTGTTATTTAAAATGACTTAATTGGTAGAACTCCATATTAGAATAGGAACTTAGTTGGTCTGAATGAACACCTTTAAATATGGTTTTATCCAAAGTCACTTTTTCTAAAAATTTAGCCTGTTAGCAATCTTATATATCATCTTGAGAAATCAGACCAAAGCAATTGTTGTATTTGTAGAAATATTTGAACACTTTTATTTTGGCATTTTCATCTATAAAACTTTTTGAATTCTTCAAAGTTTTTCAGTTTTATATTTTTCATATTAAATTAATGATTATAATAGAGATTTATTGAATAATAACATATTCGCTTGTTATTATTGTTAAGGATAACTTAAAATATTCAATCCATTTTACGGATATAAAATCGATTGTATTATGTAATTACATTCTATAATTGAAATAAATATGTTATAATTATTATTGACAGGAAGAAACTTAGTTGAAAATAATATAGATTGTCATATTATAAGGGAGAACAAATAATAATATAAAATTTCATACTAATTTTTAAAAATAACTTAAATTTAAATCTCATTTTTTTGGTTGCTTTTATCAATCATATAAATATATCTAGCTATCATATGATAGTATAATTAAATAATGTTAATTTAGATATCTCCTATGCTATTATTATTTTTGATCAATTAAAACAGACAGATTTCATACTTAAACCCAACAAGATCTGAACAATGAAAAAAATGTGTTCTAACTGATGATCTCATTAATTACACTGAAAGCTTTCATCAAATCAAGGCAGATGGAGTGAAAAATTAACAATATTCTTATTGTCAGGCAATATCAGTTTATTCATTATAAATAATAAATTAAAAAATTTAAAAAAGAATTTGAATATTCTACAAATTAATTATATATTAAATTTTTATTTTATTTCAGAATTCGAATTTATCCCCAAATACTTAAAAATTAGGAATTACAAAATATCCCAATTAGAATTCCCGAAGTTTATAAACTCGATTTTTTCATTTAATCTATTAATAATAAAAAATGTTAAGCATCTATATAGCTCTAGCTTCATTGATAATCGCTATTATTTACTTCCTGGTACTCTTACCACTTATTCCTTTGTTAAAAATAAAAATGCAACTTGGATCAAAGGCAGCATTGATGTTCTATCCTTTATCAGGATTGAATAAGATCTTCAACGATTCTCTTGCTAAAGAGAGAGACTTACTAAAGATCATAAATAATCAATTAAAAAAGAACCCATAGACAGTAGTCATATTGTCGAATTTCATCCACAAACCTGTTTTGGTATGGACAGGAGCAGAATACATAAAGGATATTTATTTGGATCACACAAGTTATGTTAAAGTAGATCCTTTCATGGTGGAATCTATAGCATAAAAAGGGATGGTTTTAAGTGAAGGAGAAGCTTGGAAAAGATAAAGAAAGTTTTTGGGAACTGCATTCACATTCGAGAAACTCACTTCTCGTTTACCCATGATCAACCAAGTGGTTGAGAAAGTTTCAAAGAGTGATCCAAAGACAAATCTGAATCAATTTACTTCAAGAATTACTGGTGAAGTGGTGATTCACAGTTTCTTTGGAGATTTGGCCAAGGGATTTCAAATAGAAGGAAAAGATGCCTAGATTGCTATAGTAGAAATCCTAAGCGAAATATTCTTAATGCCAATGAACAATCCATTCATTTAATTAAAGCAAATGTTATTCGAGTACAAGTCATGGTCTATTTTCCCAACAAAAAAGGAGAAGTAGCTCCTCAAAAGAATAAGCGACTTTAAATAGGTTATTATGGCAATGATAGAGAAAAGAATTGAATAACTTAAAAATTAATAAATAGAAAATTAGGATAAAATGGTATTCTTGGATTTATATGTTACAGAGTACTTAAAATAATAAAAAGAAAATAAGCAAGACATGGATGCTGAGGAGATACTCCATTAATTTATTACATTGTTTTTCGCAGGTACAGACACAACTGCTACTACTTCAGGAACATGTTTATATTATTTGGCATAATTCCCAGAAATGTAAGAAGAGATATTGAAGGAGGTCATTGAAGTAGTAGGAGAATAAGGAGATATTAAGGAAGAGCATTTGAATAAGTTAGTCAGAGTAAATGCATTGATCTAAGAAGTGTTAAGATTAAGAAACCCTGCATTTTCTCCAGTGTTTAGAACTGTTAGATAAGACAAATAATTATTAGATGTTAAGATGAAGAAGGGATGGTTTAGTGTCGCATACCACATTGGTCCAGGATTGCTTGACAAACATTTTGAAAATGCTTAGGAGTTTGATTATAAGAGATGGTTGAATAAGGGAAATGTAATTAAGAATGATAACGGATTTATCCATATTCCATTTGCTGCTGGACCTAGAAATTGCATTGGACAACATATGGCAGTTATGGAAGTCAAAATGATTGTAGCTAGATTAGTGAGATAATACAAGATTACATTGAACCCTGAGGTTAAGGATATTACTTTTGGAATGAAATTCTTGTATTGCGTTGAACCAGATAATTGTTTGCTATATGAAGAAAGAAATTTGTAATGATATGATTATTAATACACGTTTATAATTCAATATATACATTTAGTACAATTATTTTTAATTCCAATAAAAGAAAATTCTAATTGAATTTATTCTCCTTTTCTAAAGGAATAAATGATAACAATACTTTTAAATAATGATTACCAAAGCTTACTCTGTATTGAAAAATCTACTCTTAACTGTTTAACTGATTTAGTATTATTCCAAATTGTCTAACTTCTTGACTTTTAAATTCACTGGGCTTATAAGTTCAATCTCTAAGGATTATCATTTGTTATGAATAATCGCTATGATTCAAATAGATAATCATAATTCTTCAATGGAGACCATTAACTAATTATATACGAAAATGCCCTATGAGTTTGTAATCATTTAAAATTTATAATAGTTAACTCATTACTCTAATAAAATTTTAGGCTCTCCTATAAAATAATTATTTATGAAAATTGTTTATAAATTTACTTAGTAAGTTCTTTATTAGAATAAGCAGTATTCGATACTTAAGCCATCGTAATTGAGTGTCCCTAAAGATGCTTTCATTGCTAAGGTAACAAACAAAGATGGTAGTACATCTCTGCATGATCTCAATAGAGAAATTAAATAGGATTGCACTATTGAATTTTTGGATTTCTCCAACTAAGACGCCAGAAGAGTCTTTTGGCATTCAAGCGCTCATGTTTTAGGTGCCATTCTAAGTAAATTTGGAGCTGAGTTGGAATTTGGACCATCCACAGAAAATGGGTAAGATTATAAATCACATTTCTTAGATTCTATTATCAATGCAAAATGGATAAGGAAATTGAATTAGATTAACTTAACTAGGAAATTGAATAGTATTTGAAATAGAAAAAACACCTTTTTGAAATTCAGAGCATATCCTAGAATGAAGCATTGCAATTATTCAGCAAAAACTCATATAAATTGAGTAAAATCAAATAGACTGCCTTCCAACAGTATCAGATTTATAAATTAGATGATTTCATAGATTTATGTAAAGGTCCTCACATTGATCATACAAATCGCATATATAAATTGATAATTAATCACTCATAACCATATTAGAATAGTTATAGGTATTAGGGCATAGCATTTCCAAATTCAAAGCTATTTTAAGAATATCAAAAATAATAAGAATGCGATCATAGACACATAGGAAAGCATTAGCATTTATTTGTATTCAACAAATTAGCTCCAGGAAGTGCTTTCTTTTTACCTCATGGAACCAAAATATATAATAAGTTAATAGAGATGATTCGTAAGGAGTATAGAGAACGTGGGTATTAAGAGGTCATAACACCATAGTTGTTCAATAAGGAGTTGTGGAAGTAATCTGGTCATTTGGATAAGTATGCAGAAAACATCTATATGACTCATGATCATTAGATGGGATTGAAGCCTATGAATTGTCCTGGTCATTGTTTACTGTACAAAACACTACAGCACAGTTATAAAGAGTTACCAATTAGATTTGCTGATTTTGGTGTTTTGCACAGAAATGAGGTGCATGGAACTTTGACTGGATTAACAAGGGTACGTAAGTTCACTTAAGATGATGCTCACATATTTTGTACGATTGAACAAATTCAATAAGAAATTAAGAATACCTTAGACTTTTTGAGTAGGGTTTATGGTCGTTTTGGGTTTACTTGGGAGCTGACCTTGTCAACTAGGCCTGATAAGTATATAGGGGATTTGCAGATATGGGATGAGGCTGAAAGGTAATTGAGAATTGCATTGTCTGACACGCAATACACAGAAAATCCTGGAGATGGAGCATTCTATGGTCCGAAGATAGATGTCTTAATAAGGGATCATAATCAGAAATAGCATCAATGTGGTACAATTCAATTAGATTTCAATTTACCTGAGAGATTTGATCTCACTTATCATCATGAAAATGATAAATTCTCAAGACCAGTAATGATCCATAGAGCCATTCTGGGTTCAATTGAAAGAATGATGGCCATTCTCACAGAGCAATACAATGGAAAATGGCCATTTTGGTTATCCCCTAGATAGGTAATGATAATTCCTGTAAGTGAAATCTCAAAGTAATATGCAAAGGAAATTTATGATTAATTGTATAAGTTAGGATTTGAAGTGGAATTGGAGGATACTGAGTAGACTTTGGGGAAGAGAATAAGAAAGGGGGAGATGCTACACTTCAATTATATTATAACTGTTGGAGCCAAGGAGTAAGAGTCAAACACAGTGGATGTCAGGGAGAGAGGAGATAATCATAAGCATTAATCAATGAAATTGGATGAGTTTATAACTAAAATTAATTAATTATGATTTAAAAACCTTAAGAGGATGGTCCTTTAATACCGTTTGATTTATCATTTCGTGGATAGGACTAGAAGTTTATGTAATTCGAAAGAGCATAACCAATTGAAGAATTCGTTAAGACAGTTCAGAAAAGGAATTATGAATACGAATTTTAATACCTTAGACAAAACACCGAAACTGCATAACATGAAAAGTATCTAGTTAAGGATGTCCAAGTTTAAAAACTAAATAGATACTCAAATATTTTGCCATGTATATTTACCCTTAATTTCTTAGTTTCTCATTCGATTGTAAAACCAGAAGTCTAATCACCAAATAAATTGATTATGTCTAAAGATAAATTTTACATCAATGCAAATTACATACGGGGAATTAATAATGTTGAAAAGCAATACATAGCAACTTAGGGCCCAATTCCAGAGTCCATAATTGATTTTTGGCATATGGTTTGGACCAACAATGTTTAGGTAGTGATCATGTTGTGTAATTTCTTTGATAAAGGGAGAGTATTTTCTGTTGTTTTTCTTAGGTCCAATGTGAAAAGTATTGGCCAAAAACAGGTTAGAAGGCATAATTTGGTCCTTATGAGGTGCAATCGATTTCTTAAGAGGAGATTCTGAAGTCTATCTTTTAACATAAAATCATCATCAAAACTTAGGTGGAATACAGAGAGATCATTCATTATCAATGGACTAATTGGAATGATTTTGGTGTTGTAGGCAATGATGAATTAAGAATTCTTGATATGCTTGCTGATATCTCAAATAAGGCTGGTATGTAAAATAAGAGACCAGTGATCCATTGCAGTGCTGGAGTTGGAAGAACAGGGACATTTTTAGCCATATGCCATATAAAATAGTTATTAATAAATAATAAAGCAAAAATATCTATATTTAGCATTGTTAGAAGATTGAGAGAGTAGAGAGCCTTAATGATCTAGACACCCGAGTAATATCAGATGCTCTATAGATATACCCTGTGGTTGATACAAAATTTGAAATATATTTGATATTGTCTAAGCAAGATTCTTATTAATTAATTGTCATCCTCTTCCGTATCATTGCTTCTTTATCTATTTATTTTCAAATAAGTGTCTTGTCTTTTGACATTCATAGAAATCACAAAATCTGAATTTAGTAATCAAAAATTTCAGAGCTTAATGTGAAAGAGGTTAACAAATAGGCAATTTCTTATTTTTGTTCCTAATTTAAAAAATATCTGATTGCTTCTTCCAATGTTTGTGTGGATAATTAATTAAAATTCAACCCCTCGTAATTGGCTATTTAATATTTTATTAATATTAAAAAATTAAAAAAGAACAGCCGATTGAGAGAATTGAACTCTCGACCCTTTGCTTACAAGGCAAAAGCTCTAACCACTGAGCTAAACCGGCTCGGTTATTTACTACTCTCTTCAATCATTTATGAGATGCCCGATTCATTTGTTAATATAATTTAATTAAACTCAATATAATTAAGGCATATTCATCATCCATTAGATCAACTTAAACTCAAGGTCTCCCCATTTAATTATATTACCCCCTATTTACAAAGGGCCTCCCGATCTCTCACAAATAGGAGGGTAAAGTAAGAAATTACGGAATGCCAAAAATAAACTTTGTGAGAAACGCCATAACCAAGAAAGTCACATGGATTGGGAATGCAATTGCAGTTGGACACATTTGTAATATATGAAAATGTTGTAAAAATATAAAAATGAAAGGAATTGATTTATTTAAATAAAAATTAATATATGACTACAGTGTCTGTGGATTTTTTGCAACAGATTACTCTTCTCGGTAAGGAGTTTTTGTTAATTGCGATAGACCCGATGAATAGGAAGCAAACTATCACAGAGTTAAAGAAGGTCCTCACCAAGCCTTTGCTAATGTCGGATTATAAAAAAATATGGAAGGCTCTCTATTATGGTATTTCACTTTCTAATTGTAAGCAATGTGGAGCTCGGACAAGTATCAAAATCAATAGATTCTTGCGACTGAAATTTCATAGCTCACAAGAATGTTCTACTCCAATTTCAATGCATTCATCCAATTCTCCAAAGCCATGTTCCATGTGTTTATGTTCGAATGGGAGAAGATTGATTATTGGCGCATCAATAAATTTATGCTTCTATTTAGGGAAATCATAGAAGAGTAAATAAAAATATGCAAGCATTTTAATTGGAAGACAGTTCCCCAATTGATAGCTCTGTATCACGAGAGTGTTCTGAATCTGACAGAATTTCAGACTGGTATGACTCCTTATCATAACTCTATTTAGTATAGGGAGCCACATTGCACTTCATCCAAATATTTGTTTAGTGTTTGGCTAAACATATGAGTGATTCCACTGTTACACATGTGCAGGTTAAGGATCTCCTTGAAGGATTCTTGGACATTCTTAAGCACAGTCCCAATAAGACACTGAGAGATAAAACTATTCAATACGTCTATGAGTACATAGAGGAGAGACAAAAAAATGAAAATTATTTGCCAGCATTCGATTCTAGAAAATATGGGAACTACGTCTTCAAATTAGCATCATCTGAGTAATAGAATATTTACTATCTGTAGGAGTGTCAATCCTTAAAATAGGAAGTCTCTTTATAGAGTTGCTGAGATTTTTAATTTCACAGAGGAATTGGAGGAGTCACCTCAAGTTCAAGTTCAAGAGGCTCCAAAGAAGAAGAAGACAAAAAATAATAATTAAGAAACTCAATAAATACAAAAACCAAAAGTAGGAAAATAATAGGACGAACACCATGTATAATAATAATAAAATGAAGAACAACAAGAATTCAATTAATAAGAAGAATAAGAGGAACAGGAAGAAGAATAAGTCATTTAGGTACCTTAAAAGGTTTAAAAAAAAAATGGAAAAGAAAAAAAGGAATTGCAATAACAGCAGAACACCAAGATTAAATAAAAGGAAGAGAAAGCCATTTTGAAATTACATAAAAAATAAGAAGAATAAGTCAATTCTTAGGATTAGTAAGATAGTCCTATTCAAGATGAAGATGAAACCATAGAGGGTGACGATTATAGTGAAGTTAGAAAGAATCCTAACAAATTGAAAACTCTAAAGGAAATTATGAATTCTGTTCCTGTATATTTGTTTATGAATCCAGCAGAGAAACGCAAATACTTCAAATCTATCAATACGAGATTCTAAGAGGCTTTGTAAAAAGAAAAGGGAACTCATTGCACACACAACAAGAGTGTCCACTTTGACTTAGCAAGAAACAAAGTGAAAAGTAATTATATTTGCATAATCTTATTAGCTTTCAAATAAACAGATAATGTGCTCAGAATTTCAAAGTCATGAATTTGATATTTTATATGTATAATAAATATGGCAGAGAATATGAAAAAAATTACTCTTAAAACATTCACTTTAGACTTTTATTTGGCTAAAATTTGAAACGACTATTTAATAACTTAAATTTACATACGCATTTATAAAACGATGCTTTAATTCTATGTATTTTCTTTCTATTCCTTCTTCAGCTTCATTCATCTTTGAACACTCGAAAATAGTTTCATCATCCTTCTTGCCGCGACGCGAAGAATAACTAAGCTAAGATTTACGTTTCTTTACTCCTGTTAATTTTTCTAAATATGGATCCGGTTGAATTTGCTAGATCTTGCCTTATGCTTTAATCTCAGGAGTCAAAGAAATATTTGACTTACTATTTCTCACAATTGAATTTGAGTTAAAAGAAATCTTGCTTAATCTACTTAATATGCTAGGCTAGATTCCCAACATGACACTATTATTGAAATCAATCTCTGATATTGAGTCATTATAACTGCTCATAGATTACATTCTACCCTTATTTCGATGGATCTCAGGAGTTAAGGTAGATCTTTTCTATTCAGGTGTCTTTAATAAAGAATTAATCTCTTATTCGATTGACTAATTTAGTTAAGATCCCAAAATGTTATTGGATGACATATCTTCCTTGGATTTTTTAAATCTAAAATTATCATGTATCTTTAGTTACATCGACGGTTTACTATTGAATAAGTTACTGCTCGAGCTCTAACCTTCTTTATCCCCCCTTTGAGAGATGTTCCAATCAAAAACCAGCTCTTTTGGGACATAATTGTGTTCGTTTTATATTTTTTTAAATAAGGATTAACAGTATTTATAATTTGGTTCGGATTTAAAAGGTAAGCCTCTAACGTAATCTAAATATCTTCCAAATTCAATGGGTAGGCCTTTGCATAATTCACTCACTTCCATCTTCATTTTCATTTAACCTACCTACTTAATTTTGTTTTCCTCCGAGGTGAACTGTAAATTTTACCATGGCAACTACCCTTTTTTGTTAATAATCATCAATACCTTTGAGTAAAAATATGAGCATATAGCCAAGAGACTCCATATCATCCCTTCGACTCAAGGAATAGCCTCTGTGAGCATTGATACTAGCATATCTAGAGGTCCCTATAAATGGCTAATTCTCTCGAAAAGAGCTAAGTTTAAATTAATTGAAATGATACATATGGGATTCATTTTCATCTTTGTAAAACTTACTGATGCCAAAATCTACAATGTAGAGCTGATTATCATCGTCATCCTTTCCAACTAAGACATTTTCTGGTTTTATGTCTCTATGCAAGACTTTGCTAAACTAAGTAATCAATATACTTCTTATGTAAACTTTCTAATATGTTGATCATCTATTCAGCTACATTAAGGACACATTTGAGAGAAAATTTTCGAAAAGTCTTCATATAGTGAGTTAAATCTCTCCCTAAATATTGTATGACTAGAACATAGGATTCTTGTTCCTTTCCAGCCCAGTACAATTTCGGTATGTGTTATAAATGTTGCAGTCTTCTTAAAATTTCGGCCTAAAATAAGAAATCCTAATACTTCTCTTAATAAGCTTGAGTCTTCTTTATTTTCTTTGTCGATCTTTATGGCAACAAAATTTCTTGTATTAATATCTTACCCTTGATAGACAACTCCAAATGACCCAGCAGAAATTCTTTTTTTTGTAATGTAAACATTGTTGATAATTTTCTGATTATTCATTTTGTGAAATAATAATCAGCAAAAATTAAAAGAGAGGAAAATATTTAAATGATCTAAATTCTTATCAAAGTATATACAATAAATTTAATTAATCATTCTTACTCGTCACCATCATCATCATTAATTTCTGAATATTGTAAGTATTCTGAGATTAGATCTTGCACATTCGCACCAGCTTCAGTGAATTCCAATTCATCCATTCCCTCGTTAGTGTACCAATGAAGGAAAGCTTTTCGTTTGAACATGGCCTAGAAATTATTGTAAATTCTTCTGAACATTTCATTTATAGCAGTCGTGTTTCCAACGAACGTACCAGAATTAACTACTCCCCTCTAAGAAACATTGCATTGAGAAACCTTCATATTATTGGGCAACCACTAAACCTAATTCTAAGGGTTCTTCTTTTAGTATTGAGTTATTTATTTCTCAACTTCTGAACTTGAAAATTACCCTCTAAATAAGCAAGCTCCAGTCAAATATCTTCCTTATTTGCAGTTGATTGCACACATTTAATTCTAAGGATCAAACATCTGATCACTCACTTCTGATATTTTTAACGATCTATATTACATGCTATGTCTTGAAGTTAGAGGAGCAAATGAAGTAGTGAAGAAATGTAATCTGGGGAATGGTACCAAATTCACACTTAATTTTCTCAAACTACTATTTAATTAACCTGGAAATCTAAGTGAGCAAGTAGTTCCTGACATTGAAGCTGATATTATGTGATTTAGATCTCCATAACAAGTATTCTTTAGCTTTAATGTATTAGTACAAATGTTGTACAGGGCTTCATTATCTATTGACATACACTATGAGCAATTTTCAATTAAGTGATTTACAGACACAGCAGTATTATAATATTCTACCACTGCATCGCTTACTTTTATTGAAGGAAATACTGAATAGGATTAAAATATTCTATCACAGTAATCCTCTTATAATTTTGATAGTAATAAAGTGCCAAATCCTGATCCTGTACCACCTCCCAATGAATGGGTCAACTAAAATCCTTGTAAACAATCAGAACTTTCAACTTGATGTCTTATTACATCCAAAACTTCACCCAATATTTCAGTTCCATTTGTATAATGTCCAACTGCAAAGTTATTACCTGCTCCACCTTAACTAAATACGAAATTGTCAGGTCTGAATAATTTTCCATATCTGCTTGCCCTTACGCTATCCAATGTTCCTGGTTCTAAATCTATCAATACATTCCTTGGTATGTATCTATTTCCATTGACTTCGTTAAAGTAAACATCCAAGTATTATTAAAATTCATGTGCTTATTCAATTAGTTAACCATTTTCATCAATTCTGTGTTCTTGAGCTATTTCCTCCCAAAATTTAGTTCCTATTTGATTTCCACATTATCCTATTTGTAATTGTATTATTTCTCTCATTATTTTCTTTTATTATCTGTTCTCATACCTTATTTCTAATTTTTATATAAAAAATTATAAAAGAAATATTAATTTCTTATAATTGCTATATTATAAATATAATATATATAGAATTATTATAAATAATTAAACTACAAATTATCAATTCTAGTCAAATTCTTAATTATTCAAATCCGCTATCGTATGGTCTATATTCTATAGGAGGATTGTTGAATTAAATAATAACAATTAGTTATGATAAGGTTATATTAAAGTATATTTAATGTAATAAATTGAAATTTATGTTTCGGGTCTTTAGCATAAAATAAACGATTTAGGTAAATGATTAATTTAATTTACATGTTAGAAATATTATTTATAATATATTCGAATTCTAATTTCGAAAAAAGTATTTATATTATTATAATTTTACTATTCAGTTATTAACATTTATAAATAATACAGTTTTTACATAAAGAGAAGAGCCATTATAAAATGATCAAATTTAAAATACTTTAAATATCACAAATAAATTAAAATGATTTGGAATTATTTCTAATTCATACTAAAATAATCATTCTTACTCTATTTCTTTTTCATCATTCTTTTGAATATTTTAGAAATCCTCTTAAATTTCCTTTTCTTCATTTTATTATTATTATAATTCTTAAGTTTAATCTTCTTATTATTTCTCATTAATCTCTGACTCCATTTGAATTTGAGCTTCTTAAGTTTCTTCTTAAGTATGTTACTTAATATCAATTTCGTTATTATCAATAGTTTGTGTAATTTGTTCTTCTTAATTAATTTCAACATTGGTATTGTTTTGATCAATATGATTGCTCTTTTCAAATTATTCTTCTAAAATCATTATTTCTTTATTTTGATTTTCTTCAGGAACTGAAGTATTTAAACTTTATTATTCCTAATTAGATAAAATTTATTCCTATTCCTATTCTTAGTATTATTATTATTATTATTATTCTTATTATTATATTACTTATTATTATTCTATTTCTTATTATTATTATTATTATTATTCTATTTCTTGTTATTATTATTACTATTATTATTCTTATTATTATTATTATTATTATTATTATTATTATTATTATTATTATTATTACTATTATTATTCTTATTACTATTATTCAGGTTGTTGAACTTTAATTTAGCTTTATGTCAATTAGACTTATTGAGACTTTTGCAAACTAAATAAAAACAATTTTTACATTGTATTTGGATATTTCTTATTATCTAAAGAGTTCAGAACTACTTTATCTTTAATTAACAAATTCCAAAGCGTTTAAATTGAAGTTTAGTCCCTAAACAATCCTTCATTTGCTTCTTATTTTGGTTTAAATAAATGTTTTTGAAGTACTTTGGCAACTGTAATTCTAACATTTTTGATAGGATCCTAACCCAAATGAATGAAAGCTTCAAGAAAATCAACTTGAAATTGTTCAAATTTCATTAGTTTTTCACACATAATGACAAAACTAATAATCAGAAAATCAAATACCTTTATCTTTAATTGAACATATCACTGTTTGCAAAGCCTAAAATGTTTTACTTCAAAACATTGAAATACAATTCATTTTTACTTTTCTAAAATTTATCATAGAGTTCAAAGATTTGTTTTGCAGCCTAAAATTCTAATGAAAAATATTTACAGCTTTTCTAACAGCAAACACATTATCATTGCACAATTTAGTTGAAACTGGTAGTATAATAGAAAATACAGTTTCTACATCAAAGACTTAAGCAAGGTGAGAAATTTATTTTGCGATTAGTTCTCTAATTCTCCATTTCTTTTAGTCCTTCTAAATAATCAATAAGATATCAATAAGAGATGCTCTTTTAGATTCTTCGATAGCATCAAAAAATAAGCCTAGGTTCTCGACTGCACCATGCTTGATTTCATCATTTGGATCCTAAAGCAATTACTCTAAGACTTTAAGCAATTCTGAGTAAGCCAGCTAGGGTCCCAACAATTTTGCTAAAACATGAATACTACAAGCCAAAGGCTTTTTGACTCTCAAAGCAATATTATATATTTATACCTTATCCTTGTGATTAATCAATTTCATAAATAATTTGCTAAGTTGAGGCCACTTTTTGTCAGTGTAGACTTAGAGAACGGCTGGGAAATATAATGCGCATTCAATAACAATCTTTAATTTTATAAATGAGTTTACCTCGTTATCAATTCCCAGTTCTCTAATATCAGAATCGTTCATTTTCATATAGAATTCTAATAGCTTATCATTTATATTTTCTTATCTTGTGATAATTGATATGTATTTGCCTAATTATTTATATGCATGTTATTTGACCCATTTGTTTTGATCACTTTTTATTTAATTGAATTTTACTCTAATAAAGCAAGTAATCTTCCAGTGATCAAATCAAAATTTTCTGTGTCTGTCTATTCAGCTAATTTAACTATGATATCAAGACAGGCCTTTCTTGTTTACCATGTTCTCTCCTCGGTTTTTCTTTTTCTTCAATATTAAATTTACTTTGAAAAAAATGGGATGAGTCTATGCTTGATAAAATCCTTAGAGAGAACTTTAGCAATGTTGGCTAATTGAAGAACGGCCTCTTTGCGTATTGGTTACTTGGCATCATCTCCTTTGGATAAGATTTCCAATGCTATGAAGGATTCCGATAATTCTGGTCCAAAATCCCCAGCCAGTTAACCAAATAGCTACAAAATAATTTATGAAATTAACTTTAACGGCAATCATCACATTCTCGTCATTATTGTCATCATGAGCCATCTGAATCACTTAGGTTAGGATGAGATTTCCTCGGTCTCTTTCATTCAATTCTTTTGCTACTATACTTATAGAGTTTCCGGCTTATTCTTTGATCTTATTTTGAATCAATTCATTACATCAAAATTATTAGATTTTAATAATTCCTGCAGAGCCTTCACAACATGTTGTTTGATGAGCTCTTAACTATTTTATTTAGTTTTCAAAAGTACACAGATTTACTCTAATTGGGCTATAAAATTTTTCTTAATTTCATCAGCATCTTCTAACTACCCATTAAAATCAGATATATACTATCTACTGAATGATTGTATTTAAATTCTCAATTGAAGAATCTCCTATCCATGCCAATAGTTCGCCTAATCTTTTGGTAAAAGCCAGTCTATCTTTACCATTTATTTTACCTCTCTTTGTAATGGCAATCCTTGAGCTTCATGAGTTTCTCCAAAACATTTTAAGGGTTTTCATCAATAAATACTGCATCCTCCTCTCTTCTTTAAATCTATTAAACTGGAATATATTCCTCCCTATAAATTTCCTAAACAATGCTTCCTGTATCTAAATAATTGATTAAATCATTATAGTTACCAATAAGAGGATTTTCTTTGGGAGAATTTTACATATCCTTTAATATATATATTAATTTAATTTTAAAATAGTACTGGGGGTCCATATAACTTACATTCAAAACATGTATTAGATGTCAAGTGATGTATTTTTAGTCAAAATTGTTTGAGAATCTAATTAATAATACCTATTCATCTGAACATCGAATTGGATGAAGAATTATGATTATAAATAATAAAATTATCATTAAATTTTATACAATACATCAATCATCGTCATCATCATCATCATCCTCATCATCATCATCCTAATCATCTTCTTCATCCATGTCATCTTCATCCTCGTCATCCTTCAAATCTAAATAATATGTCAAAGACTGTGGAATAATTTCTTCGATTATTGCTTCTCCGACTTCAAGATCAGCTGTAATTTTCTCTTCTTTTTGTAATTCTTCTTCATCTGTTTATGCAGGAGCTATGTCATCAAAAAATTTAAAGAAGGATTTTAATTTCACTTCTGTCTCAATAATTCTGGTTTAGTTAGTTTTCTTGTTTCTTTACTTCTTCTTTTTGATTGTCTTTGTAACATTCTTTCCTTCCTTCCAATTTATCTATGTTCCATTGCATTTATATGGTAAATCGCTTTCTTCATTATTGTAAATAAATTCTTTCTCTAATACCTTATTATCAAAGTATTAGTTTGGATTGAACTCAAATCTTAATTTAAAATCTCTGTCATTATCGCCAAAACTAGCAGTAATACTTTTCAAGTGTGCCAATACATCAGCATCTTTTTATGTGATTCTTGATCCTGTAATACCTGCATGTTGTAGTACTTTTGACCAATAATCAGAGATTGGTTCAGCTTCCTTAATAGTTGAATCCTTCATCTCTTCCTCACTAGGTTGTCTTGTTCCATTAGCCAAAGCATTTACTTCTGATAATTCTGGAAGACAACTTTTCTAAGTGATTTGTTGTCACTTTATTGACATTTTCTTCGTATTATTGTTCCAAATTAGACCATTTCTTAACATAATGAATTAAGGCAATTGCTTTTGATAAATCTTCAGGCTTGAATTTTTGTTTCACAGCTTCAATTACTCCTTAATCAATAATCATAAAAAATTAACCTTAATTTATTTTATAATTGTACACATTAATTTCAGAGCATTAAATTCGTGTAAAAATATAATATAATTTATTTCTATTTAAATTAATTAAAAGTAACCAAAATTATTACAAAAAGTGTTGCTGGCACTGCTTGATCTTATTTTAAATTCTCGTAAAATTTTGAAATACTTTGCAAAAGATTATCATTAAAATTATTTTTATTCAAAATCAAAACAATAAAATTTGGTTAACGCAAAATTTGCAGTAACTTTAATTACTTTGATTATTGTATCTTCCTTCTCAATTTCACTCATTAAAGTCAATTTCTGTAATTACATATTATAGCTCCAAATGGATTTTACATCATCCCTAAGATTTTGGCCATTTAAATTTTTTTCTCTTTAATTATTTAATAGATTCTAAAGGTAAGTTAAATTTTTATATTTATAAATAATATTAATTAAGTTATGAATAATAATGCAGATGATTAAAAGTAATGATTATTTTATAGATTTTGCTAGTGAAAATTCAAATGAAAACCTCAAACCATGTCCTGATAAAAAATTACACCATTTTGATTAAGAATGGCCAAATTATGCAAATAATCCTTCTCCTCATTTTACTCCCTCGTAATTCTTTAACGCTCCTCTTTCACACCTGCCTCCTTTAAATTTAGAAAAAAGTTCATAGTTCCCTTATATCAAGGTTATGATGATGGCTAAGACAAATAAGGTAAGAAAAATCCCTTTCGAAAATATTCTGCTCATGAAGATGGGAATGAAGAAGACCCCAAATAAAACTATCCATATTACCCACCTTACTATTAACCTTACCCGATGAAATATCCTCCCCATCCATCCCAAATTTTTATGCATTAATATCCACATCCTATTCCTTACTGGTACAGACCACCTATATATTATCCTTAATATGATGGGTAGCATTATTAAAATACATTATCTAAAGAACTACAATCCAAAGTCAGCCAATTGGTGCAATACTAAAAAGTATCACCTTTTGCTTGCAATTGTAAAAAAAGCAAATGTCTCAAATTATATTGTGAATGCTTTGCCAATAATTGGGTATGATTTCAAACTATATAGGTATGCTCATAAAATTGTAATTGCTGTGAATGCAAAAATAGGATTGATAACCCTAATGAAAGATCAAAGGCTATTGAGGAAGCTCTACTGAGAAATCCAGATGCATTTGCAGCAATTTTAACTAACAATGGATAACAGCCACAAATAATTTAAGGTAACTTTCATTCAATTTTTAGAGGAAAAATCATAAAAGGAATCCTAAAAAGATATTACAACAAGAAAAGGATGCAATTGTAAGAAATCAGAATGCAAAAAGAAATATTGTGAATGCTATAGTATTAATCAAAGATGCACAGATCTTTGTAAATGTGAAAATTGTTTAAATAAAGTACAACCACAAGAAGATGCAATTGAATAGTTATAAAAATAGGAAAACCCAAAAAAAGAGAGCCTAAACCAAAACTTATAAGTTCAAGAAATCAAAATTGACTAAAAGGATTCTATTAATAAAAAATCAAAAGTTATTAAAAAGAAAACTAACAAAGCAGAAGATCCAAATCAGGAACACTTTTCTGAATCTGATAATCCAATTGTCAAAGTTAAATTAACTATTACTGAAAAATAAAAAAAAAGAAAATAATGATTTGTTCATTTGTTTCAAAGTTTGTGTTATAAATTCGATTTCATTTCATATCATATAAATTAATTCATTCAATATCTTTTTGGAACTAGATACCCTTCATTTTAATTTTGATATTGCTAACTCTTAGGTTTATCATCTCTTTCTTAATATTGAGAATGAGATCTCTAATATTGAGGATCCCTATTAATCATAAATCGTTATTGAGAATTTTAATAGTACTATGGCTAATTGACTCCAAAATTGTATTGCTTTTGATCATACCTTGTAATTGTGTGTAACTAGGGAACTCGATAATTTTTAACTTGTAAAGGAGCTCTTTGTGGTATTGTTTTTTCATATCCATAACTTTCAGTATGCAATCTAGCCTTTTAATCAAAATTTTGAAATAAGTCATCTTTTTCTGGACTTACTTCCCTTGAATCTTCTTAAGTATTTTATCTAAAAGTATAGTTACTTGATTAATGATGATTTTAGTTTTATTATTATTGTAATATTTTCTACTATTATTACTATTATTGTAATAAGGATGATTATGACTAAATTTATAATATTTCTTAATAATATTATTATTTTTATAATTCTTGTTTTTGTTAAATTAACTATTCTTAAGTAAATTATTATTGATTTTAAATTTGGTTAAGTTACTATTAATTTTATGGTTAGATGATCTGCTGTTGATCTAAGTTTTGATTTGGTTAATTAATTTGCTGTGAAAGTTTCTAATTTTGATTTATATTTTGTTGGGCTTAAGTAATATTTGCTAGTGGTTGAATAGATTCTTAAGAATTTTATTTTTTTAATTAGGATTATTGAATGTTTTTAATGAAATTTTCGAGTCTCTCCTTTTCTTGAGACCAAATTTTAGATCTTTCTGTTAATTCATCCTTAATTTATGTGTTCTCCAATTATAATGCTTTTATTTGCTATTAGAATGTAATAATCTGTTAATTAAAATAGTTTTAGTATTATTGCGCAATTGTTTCTTATTATTACTCAATTTCTTTCTAAAATAAATAATAACATTACCAAAAATGAGTTTCTTAATTCACTTATTTGTAGATTATAATTTTATTCTAAATTGGCTATGCAGGATTGATAAGAGGTTTGTTCCTAATAAAGTTATTGCATAAATTATTGTTCCTTTGCTTAGAATTCTTTTATTGTATCGACATACTATTACTACTAGGCTATTAAGACTTATTTTTATTATTCCAAGACCATACATTTTCTATGATATTAATATTTAATTACTCATTGACAACTTTAATTTCTTCATTCATTAAGGCGATTTAATCATTTTTTTCTAACAATTAATTGTTCAATATGTCTATGTCATTTAATCGTGTTTATAGCATTTCATTGAGATTTTTGTTTTCTAATAATATTTATTAGAATCTCTATTCTATTTCCTTTTTATTTTTAGTTTACTCATCAATCAATCTACTACTCAATTATTCATTTGCTTAAGTAAGTTGAACTACTTTTTATTAATAATTCATTAATTTTTATTGGGATTCTTGCACTAAGAGAGTTCGATTTGATGAATTATTTTGTTTCATAATCTCTATTTCTCTCATTAAGCCAGAGTTTATTTCAATTAACTTTGAATTTTCAGTGATGAGTAATTAAATTTTAGATTGCATAGAAGTAAGGTTTTTTTCATTATTTTCGATGGGTTATTCTGTGATTCTAAAACTGGGTTCAGATTCCTCCCTTTTAATAGTTTTTCTTATTCCTATTTGCTTTGTCGAATTATAATTATTTTCTTAGGTCGGCGATCTTAATTGTGAATCTTATGGTTCATTTAGATGCATTTATAAAAACTCTTAAAACGATTATTTAGATTCTCTTTCATAATTGACTACTTTAAATGATTCTGACATTATTTCGAATTCAAATAAAACTAAATGTTAAAATTTTTAAATTTGTAATACTGTTTAATATATTTATTTAAAACATAAAACTAACACAAAATGGGAAAGTGCTGCCCAATTTAATATTTCTGCGAGTTATCATATTTTATATTATTGATCTTAAACTTTACTATTTCTCATTAAAAATATGTTATTAAGAATATTAAGAATAAATTATAGAGTGGAATATATAATAAAGAATTCTTGCTTTAAAAATGTTTTGTGTTATTAATGTATTGTTTATGAATAATGTTTTCAAAGTCCTAATTCTTTGAAATTTGGATTTGGTCTTGAGTATTCGTTGGTTAAGAAATATCTAATATGAATAAAAAAAGCTACTCTGGGAAATATTTTTTAGCTAACCCATATGAGGCATTCATTCTGACGCACAATTAGAAATAATTTCTTGCATCCAAACATTCAGGCACAAAGGAGTCTTCAAATAGACCAAATTGATTTTTGCAATGTGATGCCATTCTATCATAGAGGTGACAAGCAAGTAATTGATTTGCCTAACTGATAATTTGATATGAATACTTTATATTCGACAAACTCAAATTTTAGATTATCCAACAATTTAACATGATTTTTGGTTAATGTTTAAAGGTTAATCATATTTCTGAACATGAAATCTGTTTAATAAGATGTATGAATTACCTTCCTCTTCCCAAACTTCGTTATAAATTGGCATCTGTATTAATTTAGGATATATTTAATTATGAATAAAAAATATGAGTATTAAAAATTAATTAAACAAATCACATTCATTTTTTTAATTTTTTATTGATGATTTAAAGTGTTTTAATGTTATCTTTGAGAAAAATAAGACTTGTTTACCATTGTTCCAATATTTCCTCATTGTCAAACAATAATTCGATCCTACCGTCATTTTAAGTAATGATTGACATAGGCCAATATACTATTCCACTAACAATCCTCTCTTCTTGACTTAAAATAAATTTATTCTATATCTATTTCTTTATTTGAATACTCTGTAGAATAGTCTTTGGAATAATTACTCTCATTATTTAATCCAATTATAAAATTGAATCAACTTGCTACATAATATTAAATTTCTTACATTAACTCTCATCTAGTTTTTGAATTCAATCTTATCCAAATTCTACGACAAGGTCATAATTCTAGGACAATATCCGCAAATGCTTGGATTTTAACAAGTAAATGGATCGAATTCCATTTTAGTTAAGTTAGGTTTAGTAGAATTAAACCTCTTGAAGATCATTACGCCCTTTTGTAAAGGCTTAGTTATTTTGAGTATTTCGTACTCTATCGGAACCAAATTATTAGATTTGTTTGAGAGATATTAGGAGTCCTTTGAATTATAATAGGTTTGTCCATTGTTTGCTGAAACATTACAAAATAATTATTTTTATTAGATTTCTTTATTTGAAGTTGAATCAAATGATTTTGACTTTTTATGCTTTTGTATTTATTCAGATAATGAATTTTATTCCTTAAATTTAAAAACTTAAGGTTTCTAACTCTTTTAAGTCGATGGATTTGATGCTTGATTGTGAAAAAATAATGGCATGTATGGAGATGGTATTGAAATTTATTTCTAAGTGACTTCATTATAGTTAGACACTTATAATTAGGAAGAGCCTAACCTATTTGTAAAACGTTTTGTCTAATCAGATAATGGAGCACCTGTGCTTTATGATGAATTATCAACAATTTAAACTTTATGTAAATTTAAGTAATTTTAACCATTTTAATGAATAGGAGTTGTATTAATTTTTGTAGATTATTCCATTCTTGATTTTTCTCTTTTTGAGCTTAATTATTCTTCAGTGATTGTTTATAATCTAATAAAATCAATTTATTAAGTTTAGTTTTCTATGGAGGGATTCTTTTAATTGTAATAATTGTATTAAATTTATTATTATTATTATTATTATTATTATTATTATTATTATTATTATTATTATTATTATTATTACTACTATTACTACTATTACTACTATTACTACTACTACTACTACAAAGGCATATTGCATTAATTATTTTTTGTTTTTTCTGACTGAAGTAATGTTAAATTTAATTCATTAAAATGTTATAACAATGAATCATCTGCAGATAGTTAACACGCTGATGAACATTTTGAGTTTGTCTCTCCATCAATACTATTTATTTATAAATATTGTTGAAGTTGACTAAAATGCAATGAATCATCCTTATTTAAATGATTACTTAGCACCTTCTTGGTTTATTTATTGATATTGCTTAAAATATTTGTACAACTTTTAATTTAAGAATTACTAGTATCACTTTTTTGATCATCATTATCAATTTAAGATAAGCAATCAAATCCTGTTAGTATTTCATTATATATTTCTTCTGTTTTCTGCTTATTCAAGATTTCTTATTAGTAAAGATCTTTTTTCATTGTAATTTCATTTAATTATTATTCTAATTATAAATTCTCTTGTTCAAGAACTTCCACTCTTTTTTACAATTAAAATTTAGATTAATCTTCTTCTAAAAGGTTATTTTTAATATTTTGGACTAACTGTTTCTTTTGGATCATTGTTTATTTAATTGAATAAATGTCTTCATTTAATGAATTGTCGACATATTCAATATTTTGCTGAATAGCCTTTTCCAATTTCTCTTGATTTCTGAGTATTAAGATAATACCTTAAATTTTTTTATTATATTGTTGTGATATTAATTGATTGATTTGCAGTTCTTGCTCTTTAAGAACCTGGTGATAAACTTCATTTCCATACTAATTCTTGATAGCCTCGAATTAATGACCTTATATTTAGAATATAATACTTTACCCCACTGTTACAAATAAGTTGTCATAGCAATTATGGTTTCTTAATGAATTTTCTCCTTTAATGCTCTATGTTATTATTCTCTATCTCGTATCAAATCTGCTGTGTTGCCTGACAATTTAAATGAACTTGATTTTTTTAACTATTAGATTTGTAGATCTAACTATTCTATTTTAGTTGCGAATGTAAACTCAAAATTACTATGTAATTTATGAAATTCTATTAATTCCTCCATTTCTTCGACTTGACCAATCAATTCTGCTCTTTACAATAACTTCCCATTCAAGTCTTCCATCAACATAGAAGCTTATTCCTACAAATTTTATTGATCTTAAATTGCTTGTTTATACATCTTGTTCAAACTTCCTACAGTTCTATCAATCTTTTTTGCAGTGTTTGGAATATAGGTGGATTAATAATTTGAATTTTCCTTGTTCATAGTATCATTAAGCAAATCACTAATCCTCGAATTTCTTCTTGATATATCTCTTGATTTACATTCAACATACAACAAAGAAGGCTTTTTTGATTTATTATTAAACATGATGCTCTATTTTAAATAATAAATTCAAATACAAATTATATACTGTTACTTGTATATTAATATTAAATAAAGTATAAAATACTCTCAAAATTTTTCTCATTTTAGATTAACATTTACAATTCTCTCTTTTCCATTTCTCAACACCACCATCACATGACTATCTGCATTTTCAGTTACTCCCAACAACTTTGTCACATCTTTCCCATGTTAAATGGTAACTCCATCAATAGACTTAATTATTTCTCCTAATTTCAAGCCTGCCTTCTCTGCGGGACTGTCAGAATTGATTTTGATGATAAAAGCACCTCCCTGATCTGAGGTTTTTAAAGTTAATCCCAAATAAGGCTTAACAATATTCCTTCCATTTTCTAGTCCCTAAAAATATGTGGATGGCACCACCTAGGTCTTATTTCTAAACTATCCATTTATTATCCCTAACAATTCTCCTTTTTTATTTAAAACAGGACCTACACATTAATTAAAATCATCTCATACTTCCTGGACTAGAAGAACATCCATTCATCAAAATAAAAGGAAAGGTTTAATTCAAGGCTTCCTCACCAACTAAACGGATGTCTAATGTGAAATTGCTATCTGTAATAGGGCATTGTAAAAACTCTTTTAGGCCTTGTTCGTCAGTTCCTAAAACATAAACATTTTATCCTATTTCATATTTCGAGAGATTAAACTAAGGTTTCTATTCTTATATTTTTAGGATGGCTATTCCTTCTTCCACCTTTAAAACTTCATAATTATAAAGTTAGCCATTTATCTATGCTGTAATATGTAATTGCTAATTCTCAAACACTTCAGAGCTAGTAACTACATATCCATTTTTCAAAACTGCTCCTTATCCTATAATTCTGCCATTCAGAAAAAATTTTACAATAGAATTCTATGTCTATTTGTGTAATATCTAAAAGACTTCTTCGCTTTAATTCTTTCTGCTACCCCAATAAATAAAAGAGGCTGTTGAAAATAAAGCAATCTTAGTCAAGTAACTTTGCTTAAATATTCTAGAAAACATAAATAATATAATTGATTAAAATTATATTATAAGCATTTATTATGTTGAAAGAAGAGTAAAGCAAGACGATTTTGAAGGATTTAAGTATTCATAATATATTAGTATCCTTATTGGAAATATGAGAAAAAACTCAAATGATATTTTATCATGAAATTCTCAATTCTTGGATTTAATATATATTATCAAATTAAAATTAAGTATTTTCTCGTATTTTAATTTATAAATTTAATCTAATCTAAAATTGGAAGTATTTTATAAGATTTGTCTACTATGGAAATAGGTGATAAATTAAATAGATATTAGAATTTTATTTACTCTTTTTGAAATAATTTAGGATTACTCATCGAATTTTAGGGATCTGTGATGTTATAAAGAATAGATAAATTTTTGTTTAGAAATTAAGGATGTATACAAGAATTTATATAACTAATCCCTTAAAGTTTCCCTAAAGGATAGAATATAGAGATTTGAAAATTAAAAGTCTGATTTTTCAATAATTCATGAAAACCAAATATTAATAGATTGCAATACATTGGAAGATGTATGTAATAAAATTCATTAAGTTAGCTGAATTAGTTTAATGCCATCAAAAGTGACTCATAAGATCTGAATATTCATAAAATGATGGAAGTATTTGTTTTCATAAATTTGCAATAAATATTGTTAAATATATTTATTCAGATATTAAATATTTTAAAAATGAAGGCTCTTTTCTGTTTAGGAGTTGGAATGTTGATGACCTAATAGGACAAGACTGTTCATGCCTGGTTGTACAGAGATGATATTGGTGCCTTTTGGGGTATCAAGGGATATGAAGAGCAAGTGACAGAAGTGGGTACACATAGAGGTCATATGTCATGGCCATAATATAGATTCTTGGGCACATTTGATTCTGCCAGTGTCAGAAGAGGGTATGAAAAATAGTGATAGTTTAGATTTCTTGTTTTCTCTAGAAACTGTGCCAATTGTCATGGTATTGTGTATAAAAAATATGATGTTTTATTGGATAAAGTTTACAAGCAATTAGAGTTGGCAGCATTGGTAAGTAATTTCACTATTCACCCTGCTCATCATCACTTCAAACAATTCTATTATTAGGAATGGGACGAGAGAGATAGATATATCCATGACAGTAAGAAATTAAATTAATGACTAGGAATCTACCCTCCCTACTTCTCTTAAGATTAAGCCAAAAATGCTAACGGTGGTGTATGGCCAACAGACTTTTCTAAAATCAGACTTAGACCTGGAGGCGTCAACTATATTTATAACATTTTGACCGGATATCACTACAAGCCTTACTAAGGTTTAGATGTTCCAAAAGGAAAGGCATACAACCCTTATTTTGATCACATGATCATTGGTATGGTCAGATAATTGCATGATGGTACGATATAAAATTAACTGTTAAGGACTTGTCGATTATGAGGATGGCACTCCTGCATCAACTCCATAAATGGCATTCGATGTCACTAATTTCATCCAATTTGTTTAAAGAAGAAGCGGTTTCCAAAGACCTGATAAGACTGTTAGATATTACATGTTCTTAACAGGAATTGCATTAATCTATCCATTTGCTTATTTGAAGACAAGAGGATTCTACAGAAACAATCTTTCTCTCAGGTAACCTTTTATTTTAATCCTTTAGATGGGAAATGTATGCAGTTAGAGATGGAGTTTATTACAATCATTTCAAAAAGGGATGGAAGAATTCCAGAGCTATTCAATTCAGAGGTCAAGTCTGGGCTTGATTTATATAAATTATTCAAAAATAATGCAAATATTATTTCTATGTACAATCATTAACTTCAATATTACTAATACTCCAACATCAATCATTTCATGTATCTTTAACAATTCAACTTTTATTTCCTAATGTTAGCCTTTTCAAAATGGATTTCCTATTGGTTTAACACAATAAAGTTCAGCAACTATCAAATCTTTTTAGTACAGATATCGGGATATCAAAGATAGTCTGTTATTTTTCTGATTTAAAAAATCCATATTAAAACTGAATATGAATAGACAACATATAGCTGAAATGATCTAATCTTCATAAGAAGTAGCAAGAACCACTAAGTTATGAAAAACAATAATTTAAGAATCAAGAAGCTTTAAGAGTTCAAAATCTAATTAAAATTAAGTAATCAATTAAAAAAAGAAAAAATAAAATAAAAGATTAAGAGCAGGGTGAATTTGGTTAAGGATTGAGATTAGATAAGACGATATGACAATAATTATTCTATTTAGATAAAGATTCCAAGAATATAACTAACAATAAAATAAAGAAGATAATATAAATATGATAAATATTTATATAATAATTGATTTTTTTTATTAATTCAATTCTCATTAGTAAATGGTCTTTGTATCTAAGTATTTTATTAAAACTGTAAAGAAAAAAAAGGTCTAGGATGATAATAAATTTTCAATCCATAATAAATTAAGTAATAAACATTTTTCTGAAGATATAACAAATTAAAAAAAGTGGCGAATTCTAGATCTTAAGCAATCCCCTTACAAAAAAGTGTAAAAGTAAAATAATGGAGAATTCATTATTATTTAATTTAGGAAGAGATTTAATAAATATATAAAGAAGCAAATATCAAAGACCAAATTTTGAATAATTCGAATAGGAAGATTAAATTTTTCCTACTATAATTACTTTAAGATGTGAAAACACATGCTCAATAAAATTCCGAACAACAATATTATAAGAGAGTAGTAATACAAGAAATTAATTTTCTCTAAGCTACAAGCTATCAAAGATAATTATAATTATTAATTGGGGATTGGAGGAAAAGAATGAAGAAAATCATAAAATGTATGTTTTTTAATTGTTTCTATATCATTTTAGGCCTGATTAAGAAAAATATGATTGTAAAAAGATTGAAAAAATAGAAAATGAAAATAATTAATTTAGAGATATATTTTGTGTAGAATAATATTGAAGAAATCTAGTAAGACTTTATTAAAAATAGATTAAAAGTAGTTGAATAAAGAAAGGAAGTGAAGGAGAAAATTCTATAGAAATTACAGAAGGGGATAAATTCCAAAACAATAGATCTTTCTCTATTACATTTATTACAATAACTTTGTAAGGGTAAGGTTCCATTATACATATAATAAATCTAGCTTGGTTGATTTTGTTTGAAAGTGTAATTTAATTCCAAATAATAAAAAATGAATAAATACTCTTTAAGATTTGACAACCCTGAGATGGAGAACCTCTATTTTTAAGACTAATTTGAAGAATTATTTAATTTTTATACTTGGGCTTGTTGCTTAGGTACAATAAGTGCGATTTGTGTATTTACCATGGAATTTATTGTTCCATTTGGATTTGGATTTTGGAAATACACTCTAATTATAATTCCTTTGGGGTTTGGATTTAGTCATAGGTTAATAAAAATATTGCCTAAATATTTTAATTATGTTTTGGCTATGATGAATATCTCATTAGGTGGCCTAATTTTTATTTTACTATATTTTTTCTCTAATTCCAATATTCTGTTTTTAGCAGGATAGACAGTAGCTATGATTCAATATAGTTTGTTGTTGGGTTCAAATATCATAATCAACATATTTGTTTTATTAATAAATTAGATAGGATTGATGATATTAGGTTCAATAATTCAGAATTATTTTAATTCATTATAATTAATGTTTATTTTGGCATTAGTGTTGGTATTAAAGGCAATTTGGAGTAGTGAAAAAATGAAACGATAATTTTTCTTACTGAAGCATTAAAATTTTTAACTACACAAATAGTTGGATAATGTTTTTTCATTAAAAATAATAAGAATTAAATTTGACAAAAAATTAAATCAACTAAAATTGGTAGATATCAATAAATAAGCAGAAAAGATCATTCAAGATTAAAAATAATTCATATCATTTATCAGACAATATTCGATAGTGTAAATTCGATCTCTCTCATAGCCATTTTAAGTTTATGCATATAGTTAAAAATTTCTGTATAGGACTCAAACTTTAGAATAAATACTTTTTAATATGCTAGTAGGTGATGATAAGGAGAAATCGTCCGAAATTTATTCTGAAACCTCAAAAATTGCATATAGAATTGGAATTTACAAAATAATAGAGAAAAACTCAGTTCATTTAATCTTGTTACTCTAAGAAGACTCCGAATACTAAAAGATACTAAAATTAAACAAAGATATAAGAAAGAAGAATCGAAATCAAAGGTTATTGATTACTTGTCTTGAAAATGCTAAGAAATCTTTGTAAATATTAATGTATTTGACAAATGAAATTATTGACTAGAAAGAGAAGTTGTCTCAAAATCTTTACATAAGTGCTAAAACCATTAATCTAGTTTCTCTTTCATAAAGTATTCTATTCAAATCAATACATGGATATTATAATGTTCTCATACTAAATAATTTACATCAATAATTTTAAGAGATAGTTTAATTTAATATAGAAAAGCTATCAAACGATTTACATAAATTGAGAAGTGTATTCTTCAATATCAAATAAGTACGAATTAATTTTGAAGGAGATAATTTATAATGTGAATCAAATTATGTTTTAACATTATAATTAATTTTGAATTTACTTTAAGATTCATTTAATCGTCGAAATTATAAAAGTATTTCAATAAAAGTAAATTATATATGTACTCTAGACTTAACTACAACTGTAAGAAAAAACCAAAGTTATTAACTACAAGATATTTCTATTAAAAAGTGAAGAAATCGAGAAAGTTTAAGGTCCTATAAATAAAATTTTGGTCAATTAATTTTGCTAACTAAAGAAAGTCAATCAAAAGATATTAGAAATTATTGGATGGAATAATTAAGTAATGATAATACCATCAATCCATTATGATTTAATTGAATGTAATCTTATTCATTCGCTTAAAGAGTTTAAAGATGCTATACAAAATTGATTTATAGATAGATTTAATTTTTATTTTGATTCCATTCATACAAGTTTTTATACTTTGAATATAGAAATAGGAATATATCTTTTCTATTTTTGTGATGATAAATTTGTTTAGCTCAATATCCTAAAAATATATTTTAATTAAAATAAAATGTCCAGAGCAATTCGTAGATATGTCAATTCTAAGGAAGAGATGGAATACAACAGAGGATTAAGTGCTGAAGAAATGCAAGCAGCTAAATTGAGAAAAGCTTTTATTTAAAAATATATTGCAGATTTTGATACAAACTTCTATAAGACATAAGAAGAAAGAGATTGGGGATATGTAGTCAGACGAGAGTAAATTTTTCAGTTAAGATCATAGATACCGATATGATGTGACATATACTTCACTTGTTGATGGATGGGCATGTGCTGCTGCTGTCTCTATGGTGAGAATGTTTTAAACAAAAAGATTCTCCTGGGCACCATATTTTGTAGTTTGGCCTATTGCTTATCTCTACTTTTAACCAATTCAATTTTTGAAGCACAATAAGAAATATTTTGACATGTGTAATTTAGGGGAAACCTTCTATCTTGGCAGAGAAAGAAATAAGGTTCTGGCTGAGTGTAATAGAATCTTGGATAGAGAGGATTTCTGATCTTTGAAATAATATGCAATATAACATTAATTTTATATTATTTGTTTATTCATTCTTTCTAAAGAAACCTACGAGCTTCAGTTTCAACCAATTTTTGCATTGAGATATTTGAATGAATATTTCTTAAGTATTTGTTTTTTTGAAGTATTTCTTCAGCTATCTTCTTAGCTATGTTTTCTAGATTAACTTCTTTTTTTTCTGTATTTTTTTAAAGCTAAAATTATTTATTTTATATTTACCTATTCTTCTTAAATAGTAACATGTTTTTTACTTTGTTTTTGAGTAGCATTGTTATTCTATTTTAATGCTTTCTTTGTTGCTTCTTTTTATGATAATTGTGGATTCTCTATTCGTATTTCCTCTATTCTCTTTTTTAAGGCTTCAACAACTGTTTTTACCTATGATCAATAGTATTTATACTTCTAAATCATTTATGTATTACTCAAAATCTAAGTTCTTAGTGAAATCCAATAGTTCATTCAATTCTTAGTCATCAATTATTTCATCTCCCAATGCATTATTATTTTCGTGTTAATATTATTATTCCTATTATGATTCTTCTACTTTGGTTGCTTCATGTTGTGGTTAAGTTATTTATTGTGCTTTTTACTCTCTCTATTGGGTTTATTTGTCACTATTTGATCTATACCTATCAGGGTGCAAGCGAGATTGAACTTAAGAATAATGCAAAGCAGTTTTTTTTTCTTAAGCATGTTTTTAGAAATTTTAGAGCCATTCCTTATGTTGACTCAATATTGGTTTAATTTCTTAATTGATGGAATATGCTAAATACATTTAATGGGTTGATGAATTTGCAGTTGCTTAACTGGATTGTAACCGAGAGGTTCAGCATGTGTTACTCTTGATACAAAAGGTCTACAAATGTGGTGAAATCAGGTTACTTGTGATAATCTAAATTAATAGATGCTTGAGGCCTATTGCAAAGCATTATCCCTTTATAATGTTCCATCATGATAATATTTATAATTTATTTTATTATTAAGAATTCATTAATTTTCAATACTCAACAAGTTGTATTCAATCATCAAATACCTAACACAAAGGTCTCTGAATTACCTTTAGAAATAGAACTCAGAAATCATCAGACAATTAGGCTCATCGTCAAATTATTAAAATCTATTTTTTAACTCTCAGCCTTGAAACAAACAAAATTAATATAATTTAAAATATTATTTGAAAATTGGTGTTTATATATATATTCAATTCAATAGTAATAGTATCTTATTTTGAATAGTGTTTTAATAGTTATTCTTATATAAAATAAATCAACTACTTATTATAAATTTTAGAATTAATTTAACAGCAATATTAGTTGAATGATAGCTTATCGTAATGGAATCTATTAGGGATCTTTGGAAAATGGGGTTAAGGAGGGGATTGGAATATTTTGGTGGGCTCAAGGTGCCATATATATAGGGGAGTGGCACAAAGATATGATTCATGGGGAAGGAATTATAATGATTAATGATAATGTTATTAGGGCCTAGTTTAAGAATAACAAATTTCATGGCTTATGTGTTAACTATACGTATAAATATAGATTTAAGTTTATTAGTTAGAGTGAATTCTATAGATTTGAATACGGGTAATTGAATGGGAAATGTTTGAAAGGATAAACAGTTTCTGTGTATAGAAGAGGTGAATTGATTTGCATTGAGAATAACTTGGATTCCGTCGATCTCTTATTAGGTAACATTTGATTTAGATCAAAAGATGAATACTAAAACAGGTTGCTGGATTTAGAGGAGATTTTGGATAGGAATTAGTGTTCTTCAATAGGTATAACAGAGACTCATTTGGGTAAGATGAAAAGAGGGAAACCATATGGATTGGGAATAGAAAAAATGTTTACTTCCGATAAGAGGATAGGGATTTTCCATGATTAATAAATTTCAAATATTGGATAAATATGGAAAAATGGAGACATTTATACAGGAAGTTTTGTGGAGAACAAATTTCATGGAATAGGAACCTATTTTATATCTGTAACTATATGTAACTATATTTTAATTAGAATGAACTTAAGATGATTTAAGGTATATTTGACAGAGGGAAGTGTATAGAGATTGTAAAAACATAATATGGAGATTTGGAAGTCTACAAATTGCTGGCTGAATAGACTTTTTAGGCTATATAATAAAATGCTATTCAAGCCAGAGTAACTCTTCCTTATCTTCAATTTTGTTAATTTGAAATTCTATTCACTTAAACCTTAAACAGTATTTCATAGATTCCCACATAGTCATAGGAGAAAGATCAAACACTATTAGAAGTTGATTTAGACATTTAAAAAGAATTAGAGAAGATATCCAAGTAAGATTAATCTTAAATTAGTGATTAATAAACAATTGAAGCAAAAAAGGCTCTTTATGAGATAGTTAATAAAAATTATACTAAAGAGAAGTGTGTACCAATCCTATAACTAGAATAACTGTAAACATTTCCCAATAATCCATCTGATCCATATGTTTATGATGATGAGGATGTAGAAAACTTACAAGCAAGTTAATAAAGTAACAAGATTTCAGGGCATTCTTAAAAAACTGAATTCTATCATGTCTCTGATTCCAAATAGAACTCTGAACATTAATGCAAACGATTACCCCTTTAGGTTTTGAAGGATCAAGAAACTAATAATAGAAACAATTAAGCACCAAAATCAGTAAGAATGCAGCCGATTAGTGCAAGGTCTGATCCTTACTCTATGGTTCTAAGTAGTACTAGAAGAACTCTTTATAACCAATGATACTATATTTTAAGAAAAACAAAATCAATCCTTTAGTTATAACTCCTCTAGTTCCTTTTCTATTTATTAATATTCATTTGCCATTTCTTAATTTTGAAATTTGAATTCCTCTTCAAATGTGTCCAAATAATGAATTAATTGTTATTTCTATTTTTCGCTTGCTTCCTTAATTAGATAACTAGATTACTTAGATTCTGTTATCAATCACTCTTTCTAAGTCATCAACCTTATAAGATTTGCTTTTTTATCTCTAATTTTTCATTGCAATAAAATGTGTCTATGCTTATATTGGACCCTCAATGTTAGCTTTTAAATTTTCTCTAAATTTTTCAATGGCCTAAATTCCGTACTTGTCAACCTGAAATTTGAAATCTTCTAATTTCTAATGGATTTGAACAGACTTACTTTAGTAACAAATTCTAAGTCTTATTATTTACATGTTCTTTGTAGAATGTGATCGTTGACCACTTATGTTGATGATTCAATTGTTTTTTTCAATTCAACATCAATGTCTCTTAGAAAAGTCAAATAAATTTAGTACATTAATAAATTAAGAAATAAATATATTGTCAAATTATTCACACTTTTTGCTCATGATTTAATGCACTTCATAAAACAAACTTTACCACTTAAAATAGATTAATAAGTCATCAACTGTTCATTATTTATGATGTATTATTATATCATTTTCTTCTATCCAAAAAATTTAACATAATTATCTACCTAAAACTAGATGAGTGTTGGATTATATCATAAAATAGATTATGATATCTAGGATTTGTATATATTTAGAGATGAATTTGTAAGCCATAAGAGATTTTATTGATCCTGCTTCTGTTTCAATTCAAAATTTATAATGTCAACCAAAAGTATACTGCATATTCTTTTTATCGTCTTTCCTTTTTATAAAATTGATTCTTATTGCATCTGTGTTAAGATCGATGACATCCTTTGCTTAACAACAGCTAATATTCATTAAACCTTGCAGTCTCAGCGATTGACTCACTTCCTTCATTCTCAATTAATTAAATTGTTGTAGAATAAAATCTTAATTCGTAAATCATTTCATAAGTATGGTAGCATACTATAATATACCTTGATAATCAACAGAAACATTTTGTTTTTTCTGGGTTTTTTTAAAGAAGTAAAGAAGAGTGTTCAATTATATTTAGAAGGGGTAAAATTAACAGTTATATAAAATCAATTTATGATAAATAATTATTTATTTAATAAAATTAATAGTAGATGTTTGATCAATAATTCATGGAACATCAAAAGTCTAGGTAGGATAACATAGTCTAGCCCAAATCTAGACATTTAATTGTGATGAATTAATTAAAGAAAAAAGTATTATACATTCAATCATTCATTAGGAAGAAAATTGGAATCACAGATTTTATGTATCAAAGTAACTTAAAAATGAGTCAGTTGAGAAATTTTAACCTAAATTAAGTTAATTATAAGCGAAATTAATTGAGGTCTAAAATTATTACGATATTCCAGAATTTCATAGGTAATGTAACTTCAAACAATTTTAGATAACTTTTCTTGATGTGTCTAAAAACACTCCCAAAGATTAACCAAGCTATTCTATTCGAAATTGAAGAAATCTAATTAAAAAAATCGCATATTCAAGTAAAATTATATTCTCATCTTCAGTAATGCATGCAAGCAGTTGAATCTAGAGAAAGATGTCTGAGTGCACTCTTAAAACATATCCAATTAATTGAAAACAATCCTGGAGATGAACAGTTAATATCTAAAAGTGCAGAGCTGATCACTCATTTAAGAATACTCTCAATTAATGTTGTAGAACAAATAATTGGTTGGAGGTAGTATCTAATGAAATTTTTGGTTAACATTCATTCCACAGAGAGCATCTCGTTGCCCTACACTTACTATAAGGAGAATTATCTGATCAAGGTTAAATAAGTATTTATCAATAGATGAAAAAAGATGTATTATACATTTAAAATTCCACACTTTCAAACTATTATTAATTTTCAAAGCAATCTGATCCCTTTTTTGTTGCCATAACCAGACCGGCTACTGATCTAAATAAAATTGTATAATTCATATCGAAACCTCTACTTAAAAGGATAAAGAATTGCGAACTACTAATCTAAGAAGAGGCCTCTTAGATGTAAAAAGAGGACAAGTCATTCTATAATCAACTGAATTCAAGAGATTAAATTAAGATGACTAAGCCTCCAAAAAGATCGAATCTAAGTTAGAATCAAAATGTATAATACAAATATTAAATTTTAGAGGGTGCTAATTAAATAGTTGGATCCAACAGACTTTACAAATTAAACATCTGGTTCTGTATCTAAGATCAACCCATAAAAATAGTCCACATAGTCTACCAAATAAGCACAGGAAAATCAATTTAAATAGGAATTGATTAAAATTTCAAATGAATAGATTTAAAAGACTTAAGGTAGATAATAATTATAAATCCCATCTGTTTAATAAAGTGCTGATAAAAGAAATAAAGATAGTTCCTTAGACTAAAAAAACAAAGATAGTAGTAAAATTAACTCTCCTAAGTCTTTAACTTAAGTTGCAACTCAAAATGAAAATGAAATTAAAATACTAAAATGCTAATTAAATGATACTTTGGTAGAAAACTATTTAAAAGATATAAGCGATGATTTTAAAAAGTCCTGGAGAGGGGAAATAGCATAAATGCTGCATCAATATTAATCATAAGAGGAGAGCTTTTGCTTAGGAATATATTAAAATAATAAATTAGTAGGATTTGGATAGTGCTTTTTAGATCCATCTTTATAAGAAAGAAAATTAATGTTAAGTCATTTTTCTACAGCAGAATATTCATAGTTCTAAGAATATCTAAAAATGATTTTATAATTTATTTGGGATTTAGATTCTTGTTAAGAAATTAGAATGTCATTATACCATTATAATTAGAATGATTGTTTTTAGGCAAATAAAGAAATCACAACAAAATTAAAAGAGTTGAATTTTAAATGGAAAGTTGTATAAAGTGTGAATTCAGAAACAAGATTCACAGTTATGGGTATTATAGTTATTTATTTTAGCAATCAGAAGACCTGCAGAATTAAAGATCACTAAATAGTATGATCCAATATTTCTTCAGCATCTTTTTTATACGACAGAGAATACTCAAACTAAAAATGAGAATTAATTCTTTTCACTGAGTGGTTTGACGAATCTTAATACAAAAGTAGATTTTTAGGATCATCAAATCAACTCAATTAAAGACATTCTTTCTGCATCAGTATCAAAAATTTAATTATAGCATAGGCATATCAATTTAAAGGAATCAAGTTGTAGGAATAAACTAGATAGGCATTTCACGACTATATTTATGAATCCTTTGAGCATTTGAATGAAATCAATCCCTATAATAATGATATTCAGCAATTGCAGGAATAAGTTATTAGTAGTTTCAGCAAAGAATGTTATAGATGGTCAAAATTTAAATTAGCCAATCATAACAAATTGATTTACAATAGTTTTCGACCGGAATCAAATATAGATCATGCAAAGGTTTTCATGTCTGAGTCTGGAGATATTAAAGTTTATATAATAGCTACGGATCAAAGTAATACCAGTATCTTTGTATTTGAATGTATGAATTTGTAATATTTTCTAAAGATTAAGAGGAATTAAATTTGCAAAAAGTGTAATCGATTTTAATCTAATGCGGAATGCAAGTTCCTATAGATTAGAATCTAAATATACCTCAATTTACTTTGAACTGCAAAGCTTAAGTCCAAGATAATATTATGGGAGTTGGCAGATTTAGCACAGCCTACCGACCAAAAATGATGGATATTCATAATGCTGAAGGTTTAATAATTAAGCCTCCATTTGTATTCGGTATGATAAATATCAAATTTAGGAATTATAAACGAAGATTTTAATGAACTAACTAATATGCCTAACTTATTTTTTAGGGTTGAAGAACAACATTGTCTATAACTTTGATGATTTATTATTTATGTTTAGCCATTTCAATTCAATTAGAACAATTATTTTCTAAATTAAGTTGATCTTAGTATTTATGAATAATTTTAAATATTCTTGTATAAAGAAACTAAATAATAATTTATATAATATGGATTTATGAAACATCAAATTTGATATGGATTTATTGACTAAAGTATTTGGGGATTGAATGCTTAAAATTACCATTAGGATGGGTATTGAGATGGTTAATGTTAATGTTGATGCTGATGTTGATTTTAATTTGAATTTTAATTTTAATGCTGATGTTACATGAAAGGCTATGGCATGTGTCTCTATCCTGAATTATTCCATCTTCTATAAGGATTGTAATTATTTCCTTTGGTATTTTGATCTATCAAACTTCTTAATTCATAAGGAATATCATTTTAGGATTCCCTAAGTATTTCAACTAGATCTTTGGCCATTCTGACATCTTCATCAGAAGCAAAGAATGAAATTGATTAGCCAATAGCTCCAGCACGACCTGAGAATAGATATTAAGAGATTACCAGTTCTTCCGATTCTGTGGACATAATCCTCAATTACTTTTGGCATGTCGTAATTGACAACAACTTCTATGTCTTTAATGTCTAATCCTCTTGATGCCACATCAGTTGCAATAAGGGCAGTCGATCTTCCATTTCTGAAATGACTCATAACATAATCTCTCTCCTATGAATTTAGAATGGGGATTTACCGTTTGCTTCTTATCTCCATGTAATGCGAGACATCGAATTCCTTCTCTGTCTAGAGTCTTTTGAAGTTAGTCACATCCCTTCTTTGTGGAACAAAAGATTAATATTTTTTTATGTGCTATGTCCTTCAACAAATAGAGCAACCTTAATATATAAAATGAAATAACAAAGATATTGATGATCTTGTATAAATATTTGCACCATCAATAGTTTGATTATACCTTTAATTTTTATCTATTGCTTTCATCACGTAGACTATTTGCTTGATCATTCTATTAGATGTTAGTTCCACATTTCCTATTTGAATGTGGACTGGCTCTTGTTTGCAAAAGTCAAGTGCTAACTTTTGCACCTCCTTTGGCCAAGTTGCAGAAAAAAGCATAGTTTATCTTTGGGGACGGATCTGATCAACAATCTTACGAATCTGTGGTTCGAAACCCATGTCGAGCATACGATCAGCCTCGTCGAGAACGAGGAAGCTAACCTATTTGAGGGTGGTACAACCCTAATCCAATAGATCTATCAAACGACCTGGACAAGCAATCAAAATTTAAGGGCCTTTACGTAATTGGCTCTTCTATATGTAGCGATCTTGTCCTCCATAAAGGCATGCTGCATAAAGCTAAGATCCCACAGAGAACTTTTAAAATTGATCATATATTTGTAATGTCAATTCTCTTGTAGGAGCCAATATCAAACATTTGGGATCATGGGATCTAGCTTATGCCAAAATGTGGACGATCGCTGGTAAAAGGAAGGCTAGAGTTTTGCCAGAACCCGTCTGCGCTATTCCAATGAGGTCATGTCCAGTTAGTGCAATCGACCATCCTTGGGCTTAAATGGCAGTGGGTCCTTTGAAACCGGCCTTCAACAGTAAGTCCATCAACATCTGTGGGAAACATTAAACGTCCTCAAATCTCATGATAGGATCTGGGACAGTTACATGTTGTGAACGAATGAAGATATTGTGTTAGGCCCTATATTCTTTGATTGACTCTACGCTTGATATGGATTAAATGGGCTTCTAATATAGGATTGGAATGCTTACATTGATTAACACCTTCTTGATAGGACTCGAAGAACGTGGGCGAGGAGACCTTGAACGACGGTGGTGATGGGTTCTTTTTCTCCTGGAATGATGACGCTCTGAGGAGGAATCCGACGACGAAGAAGAAGAACTTGAATGTCTTCGGTGCTTTTTACTATGCTTCTCTAGGGTAGAATTAATATAAAGGGTATTTACTTCTATGGCTTCTACTTGAGCTGGAAGAGTGTCTTGGCATTATTTTAATAATTTAAATTATTTAATATCATCCATTAAATACCAGCTCATAAATTCAGATTATGAGAGAATGGTAACACTCTTTTTAAATCAAAGTTCAATATTTAAACTATATTATATCAATGTTTGAATTAATTAAGAGTGGCTCTTATGCTCTCTTATTTTTGACTAAGCAAGATGTCCCTAAATTCATCATGGTGCTTTAGATTGTAGGATATGGCACTCCCTTATTCTTTCAAAGCATTCACATGATCATCAAGGTTCTAAGGTACATCCTGTCCTATTTAATCAGACTGGATCTTCCAATTGTTCTTGATTCCAAAAAATACCAAATCAATGATCAGAGCCAACACTAAAATTATTAACAGTAAAGTAAGAGGAATGACTGTGCTTACTTTATATAATAATTTATTTGAAGCATCATTCCAACTTTACGAAATCCCCATACCATTCTGAGTGTAAATATATGGATACCCATATATCAATACACTAAAAATTAAATGGAGTATGAGAAAGAAATGAATGAATTTCAATGTTACAATCCCTACTGATTTTAATTGTTCCTACAATTTCATCTATTGTTTTTCATTATAAGAGTGATATCGCAATAACATATTCTTGTCATAGATGTACTGCATCCCTATTTGTATAGCACCCAATAGAGGCAATAAAGGTAGTCCTGCTGATATGATTGTCGATAGGAATATACTAAACAATAATTTGGCATATCTAAGTCCAGTCTTGAATGTGGGATTACTATTGATCAATGGGGAGTCACGTCTAAATTATTTTCCTGTCTTAGCATCCAAATTTTATCTTGATTGAACGTTGTAATTAACACTTTCATCTAAATTCAATAAGAACAGAGTTTAATGAGATTAATTATTATTCGAAGCAGTTTTTAATTGACCAGTTAACTTTTATCTTTCTTCTTCGTTTTCATCTGTTAACAAAGAACCAACCAATTACAACTCTTCTTAATCTCTGATCCCACCTGTTAGACATCTACATCCCGATGCAATTCCCAAGATTATCAATTTCAGAGTAAAAAATATGGATACCCATAGAAATATCATACCATGATTAATAATCCATTTTCTATCTAGATCATCACTAAAAATTAATGATTTTTCTGTTGAAGTGTAACTTTAAACTACTAATACAATATTTCCTATGGTTTCCCATGAAATTAAAATTGGCACCAGTAATGTATAACATATCATATAGACAATTATTCTTATCAATACTATTTTCTATTCTTAGACTAAATAGATCTATTTTTCCTTATTGATTATTAACTCTAAGAAGACCCATCCTAGTATATCTGCTATGAATATCCAAAATCCAGTGATTATATAATAAGCCGTTCTTGTAAAATCACTATCCAAACAAAACTCCGTACATTTCACAGTATTATTTCTAGCATTCTTCAAAGCCATATTTTCAAAAACTATCAAAGGTGCTAATAATATTATTGCTACAACTAGATGCATTAGAATAATTTGAATATTGTTTCTTTCCTAATAATCCATATTCTCCCATTTGATCTCATTAGGATCAGGAGCTTCTGTTACTTTTATCGTATATAAGCCTCTAAGCTTCAATTCTTATGGTTGATTTAAGAATAAGTAGATTCCATTCCTAACTAAACAATCTTAATTATATTTCTCATAAAATAGATCGCGATCTACTTTGCTCTTAAAAACAACGAAAGCCTTTATAGATTCTAGATCATCTGGAGCTAAAAAGATATTGAATTTATCTGACAATTCCTTTGTGATATCTTTTAATTCATCACTCAATACCCTGATGAAGTCTTGTCTTACATACATATCTGCTTATGATAATCTCTTAGAAAATACTTCTAACTTTTTCTTTTCTAATCTGATCTATCTCTCTTTGAATGCCTTGTTCTTCATGATACTAAGAGTGCCCTAGAAATTGCGCACTAAATATATCTCATATGTATTAGATTAAATAATAGATCGAAGGTCTTCAGGATCTATTGTAGCTGATGGAAACCCACTTACTTCAACACTCCAGGGTGAAATGCTAGATACCTTAAATTATGAATCCTTATTTATAGCATTGTATCGTAAATATAGCAAGGACAAAAAGTAGAGAAGTGTTCCAATAGCGTCTCCTAAGACACCTATTAGAAAGGCTGTCTCATTTGAAATATCTATGTTGGCTACTGTAAAAGTTTCTAATTGAAGCTGAAATTAATTGAAAATGCTGTTTCCTGTAATGCAAAATATCAATGATGGAGCATGAAGAATAGCGAAAATGAGCATTAGGAAGAAGTTCCATTTAAGAATTCGAAAGTAATAGACAATTGAGTGATCAAAACAATTGTCTATTGATGCAAATATGGACTCAGGTGGTTATTCCATTATATTAGTAATAATTATGAATTTATTAAACACTTGATTACGAAAATGGATTATAACTATAACAGTGAAATCTACTTGATGTTAATAAACAGACTGGCTCTAATATACAATTTATAGAAGAGCATTAAACAACCTTAGCTATAAATATTCCCTTAGAAAATTGAATAAATGAGCTAAATCGTTTAGCAGAAGATGAGAGGCTAACCAATTTTATTTTTAACAGTATAGATTTGTGAACATAAGTTTAATAGCAAGAGTGTTTATAATTCAATCATTTCCCCCTCTGTTAATCCTATTTAAAAATTATATCATTGGAAACTAATCAAATAATCAATACAATTTTAAATTAATATTACTAAACTCTATTAAGATTATATTCATTGATATGAAAACCAGTCTTTTGATTAGATTAAATAATTCTAACCTTTATAGATCCCAAAAGTAAGTATAAAATTAATAAAATGGGATAAAAAATAAAATAGACTTTTTAAAATTGAAAAATACAGAACTTTTGTCATATACAAATTTCAATTCTGATATTACATTTTTCAACAATTAACTAATATTCATTATTGTTTAATAAATGATACTTTTATCTAGGGATTTAATCAAACTTTCGAAATATTTCAAATCTACCGTTCCAATGAGTTTATTTCACTTATATTATATCATCATTATTGATAAATATCAAATTTGTTTTCAATACATATATTATTATAAATCATATTCAGTTTTGAAACTATCTTTAATAATTATAGGATGTTTCAAAGTAATCTAGTTATCCATTTGTAATTTTGAGTGAAATAGATTAAGTGTATTAATTTACACCTACTCAAATACTGTATGCTTATTTATTCCTGTACAACTAATAAAATAATGTTCAGAACGAGTGTTTTAATCATAAACATATCTCATTTTCACTTTCATCAAACAATTATTACCATTCTCATAGCATTTCTTTTTCACATTTTCATCGCTCATGTCTTGCAACGTGATCATAATTCCTTCAGCATTTCCATCAGTCCCTTATCTTGAAAACACAACATATAAATTATAAATATTATTTAAGTAATCCATCTTTAGATTTATACTATCCTATTTGAAAACTATTGATCTATATCATATTTGAATTAATAATTACCCAGCTTTTTAAAAACATGGAGTTTATGTATTTGAAAGGATCAAGTAAGCTACGTGAGACCCTCCCATAAATAAAGTTGGTTGTTTTGTTTCCATCCAAAAGTCTCCTTATGGAAAATAAATGTCATATTCTGTAGAATATTCATTTTCAGGGTCTTCTATTATAGGAGCAACTAGAAACACTTCACCAAAAATAAATTCCCTATCTTCATACTAGTATGCTCTTGTATCAGATGTATTAAACCACCAGATAGGTTATATTATTGTTCCAGTAAAGGCGTTTACTTTCGAATCATAATTCTTTAAGAATTAAGCGAACATCCATTTATTTAATGATTATCTGGCTTTCACTTCTAAATAAATTTAATCAAAATAATCTGGATGGTTAGAAAACTGAAATTTTGATGTGCTTCTACTCATAAATAAGGGCATCCATGCTTAAATGCTTAACCATCTTGCACACCAATTTAGATTTGATTTTCCCTAATCACATCCATATGACCCTGTATATGGTAATCCAAAAAAATTATTATATATCAAATGAGCTATCGTTTATTCTAAGTCCACAGAATCAAAGATTATACCACTAAATTAACCTTAACCAAAGAAGGCTGATTCACTCATAATTAGTTTAACATTATTAGAATGCTCACTATATTATTTTGATTGAGCAAATGAGTTCAATGGCCTAAAATATTGCTCTGTCACTTTTTTTTCTAATAAAACAGGATGTTTATTGCTAAAATGAAAAGCATCCTTATCTATTCCTATATTTCTTCCCTAACATTTACCATTTTCAGTAATCTCATTATTTACAAATGACTTTAGCATAGCTCCTGAGTACTCAGAATTAGGATGTAATTAAGTTTCCTTTTGAATTGTATTTTAAACATTGTAGTCAATATAATTTACGTGCTCATCATCCACACATCCTTAAAATGGTTCCTTATTAGGTTCTTTTATTAAATATTTCTTATCCACAGTGTCTAACTGAACTGTAGGATAAGTGACTTTGATTTTTCTGTAATTTGGAGGTAAATAGTTATTTTTTTGTTCATCAATCCAAACCATCTCTAGAGGAATGGATTTCGATTCTAAATATTTTAAGTCTTTTTCTTCAATCCAAGTTCCAAAATATTGATACCCCAAACTCCAAAATGGAAACAATTTGTAACCACCTATAAATTAATGATATGCTTTGATAATCTGTTCAGGTTTGTCATAAAGAAAGAATTTGATATTTACACGCCCTCCATAAACTCTTATTTATAAAAGAGAATTTTGATAAATTGATTCAACATTTGATGACGTATATATTACAAATGAATAAAATATGTTGTTGTTTGTTCTTATAAAGTAAGCTGGGCTATTTTGTTCTGCAAATTCATATCCTAAAATTTTTTGATCAATTAAATTGAAGAGCACTTCCGAAAACTCTAAATAATAGTTAACTTGGATTATTTCAATTATTGGGGTATTTTACTTATTAAGTTAAAACACACTTGTCAATGACTCCTACAAATGATATGAATAATCTTATCTTTCAGATCTTTCACATTTAGTATATGCAAATGGATATTGCTTTGGCAATTCGAACGAAGTCGTATAGTTATCAATACTAAGGGTGAGTTCTTTCTTACATTCTTCATAGGTAGAAATGTAGAAATATGGAATTTGTTGATGAGGTTGCCTAACTTTTAGTGTTTAATCAGGGTCATTTTTAGGCTATCCACTCGTAATTGAAAAGTAGATTCCCAAGCCTAAAGCAAATGGTAAGAGGATCAATATGATCTTCCAATTAAACCTTAGCTTATTGGAATTTTATTATCCTTAATTTTACAACTAAGTGTACATAATAATTAAATAAATGTTCGTTAGAGCGCAAGTTCCAAAAAGTAGAACTTCATTAACTCCGCAGAATTTCAAACCAATTTGCATCGAATAAAGGGGAGATTGTACCCCCACTAGAAGCAATAACATTAGTTACTATGAACACAGTGTTCTCATTCAAGAACCATCTCAATAATCCCTATAAAATTATACTGGAAGAGTTGAGGAGAAACTACAAAAGAGAGTTATCAATTCTAGTGCCTCTAATTTGAGAAGCAGATACGTTTCAGACAAGGAAAATTTAGTGAGGGTTCCAGGACAATCCTTCTGCGGGAATCAACCTTCAAATAAGGAGTTGTAACAAGTTATAAACAACATTAAAAAGTAAAAGGAAGACATCTGTTACACCCTTTCTGAGACACTTAAAAAAAATACTGTAATTCAGGAATAAATTGAAGTAATTCTTGTCGATTAATTTAGACTGTTAACAAGGAAATGGAACAATAGTCTCTAAATTATTAATAAAGTTTGGATGAATTCATGAATGAGTTTAATGAACTATCTTACAAAATATCGTAGTTAGAGGAACAGAATAGTAAACTGTTTGAACAAAATGAACATCAGAAATGGTACTTATAACAGATTTAATGTTAATCTTCAAGGTATTTGAAATTTATGATAATTTAGATTTAATTAAACTCATAATTTTGGAACAGGTTGATTAGTTAACTAAAATATATATTTAATATATAATTATTATATAATTTTTAAATGGCTAGTTTTGCATCTAGGACAGGGTAGAAAGTAAAAATACCTTAATCTTTAGATTAAAGAATGGTGGGGGGCTAAAGTTACTGTTGATCCTCAGTTGGAATCAAAGAAGCAAAGGATTAATGAGATAGATTAATATATTAAGGGATTATCTCAATCTTTTAGCAATATTTCAGCATTATTTTAATGTATCCTAAAGAATTTGATTTAGAAATGCATGGACACATGGGAAGAATCAGCTCAATTACCTAAAAACTATTTGAGAAGGAAACAGATACCAACAAGAGAATAGGAATTGAAGTGACATCTATGTTTGGAAACCTTTCAGAACTTTTCCGTTCGAAGGTATCTTCTATTTTTACAATTAGATTGAACCAGCATCTGAATTGAATAAAAATTATGGCGAATGGTTTTAAACGATAGAGACCTTGAAAATCTAGCTTACAAATTTCTCTGAAATAAGATTAGTTTATGATCATTATAAGTTAAAAGTAGATGAATTAGAGAAGGATAGATCTAATGTTCTTTCAAAAGGATAACCGGAAGATTTTAAATTGTCAGAGAAAATTAGGAGAGTAAATAATTTAAAAATATTTAGAATCAAAGTAAATTATCAAGTTCTGAATCAAATTATAAGTAAAAGATATCAGAAATTTTAAATAACATGAATAAATTATTAGGAAATTACTATCGAATGATAAATTAAAGTCTCGATTCTGTATAAAAATTCATTTATCTTAGTTTATTGTAATTAATTATGATCTATATATGAATGCTAAATCAATTGTGAAGAAGAACTAAAAAGCATTTAATAAGTTTAAATATCCAGAATTAGAACCTATAATAGATCTATTAAGAGAGTAAAAAGAGATGTCATCTATATTGGAAAGAGAATAATAAAAAGAAAAAGAAGTATAAAAAGAAAAGGAATAAAAAGAATAGAAGGAATAGAAGGAATAAAAGGAAAAAGAAAAAACTGTTACTGAGAAAGAAGAGAAACAATAGTAATAAGGAGGACCTCCTTAACAATCTTCTTAATGGGAGGGGAATAATAAATTTAATCCTTTTGGTTAATCATAGTAAATGAATACGCAAGCACATTCCATGATAACCAATCCTTAACAAGTAAATTCAATGATAAATCCAATGGTAAACTAGTAAACTGATTTTGGATCTGGATTTGGAGTCAACACAATGCCTAAATAACAATTTATGAATCCAATGATGTCCCAAAGGTAATCAGTGCAACTATAGGGAATGAATAATAATTTTGCTAATAATTTCTCACCTAATTAAAATATGTTTGATGATGTAGGATTATAAATGATTAGTGATATCAGATCTAATTAATAACAATTATGGTAATAATAATAATAATAATAATAATAATAATAATAATATGCTCAAAGCCAAATACTAAATTAAAATAATTTCATTAATAATAATCCATTTATGAGTTCATAGCCATTAAATCAAAGAACTAGTGTGTAATAAAACCAAGGATTTTAATAATTTGACTCTTAAATTAATAGAGTTCAATAACAAAATCCCTTTGCAGATTTTGAGAGTGAGACTTAAAAGAGGGCTATGTATGATAATCCATATACATATAGCCAATAATTTTAAGAGAATTAAAAGACTAATCCATTCGAGTGATTAATTTTATATATATTAATAAATTCAATTTTACATATATTAATTGTTATAATTCATAATGAAATAAAAGTAATTAACAACTAAAAAGTCAGACATTGACCTTGGCAATAAAGATCAGTTAAATTAGATAATTGAAATTCTCTAAAAAGATTAGAGTATAAAAACGAATTAAGAGGTTGACATAACAAGGAAGGCTTTTATCTCATTAAAATTTTTCTAAGATTTAGAGTAACAGATGGGTCAAGAGATGGTGAGCAACTTATATCGACAACTATCACATGAGACGATTAAGGCTAGATAGGTTGTGTTCAATATAGGTGATATTGGAAAGAAGTTTTATATAATACTTTCTGGAAGTGCTTGGGTTCTGATACAGAAAAAGGGACTCCAAGATGGTAATTAGATAGGAGAAGAAGAGAAAAAGAATGAGGAAAGCCTAAGGAGGTAGAATACAAGAAAGGCGACATTGAAACATTAGCAAAGTATGATGAAATCTAAGAAGTTCAAAAAGTAAGCCACTTTTTTCACTGAAACGAATTAAGTACTTATGGACGAAGTTTATGCAAAGATGACAGACGCAGAATTTATTGAGTGTCAATTTCCTACACTCTAAAAAGTAGGTCAAATGAAAGCAGGAGATAGTTTTGGAGAGATAGCATTAACTAAATAAGTACCAAGAACGGCTACGATTGTGGCAGCAGAAGATACAAATTTTGCAACAGTATCTAGAGAACAATTTAATAAATTATTATCATCATATTATGAGTATATCCAATAATAAAATGTTGCTTTTTTATAGAAAGTACCTGCATTTGCAGAATGGAACGAGTAAATGTTAAATTAAATTTATTATCATTTTACTTTTGAAGATTATAAAATGTTTGATGTAATATATAAAGAAAATTAGCCTTCAAAGTAATATTATTAATATGGTCATTAGCAAAATATACATTGTTAAAAATGGGGAGATAGAGATATCCTAAAATATAGAAGTGGGCACTTTGGTAACAGAAAATAATTTAACAATTTAAAGATTTTTTAAGAAAAATGATAAGAAATACGAAAGAGTCAGAACAGGAGTGATCACTTCTGGATTAATATTTGGTCATGAGGAAGTTATTAAGGATGTGGTAAGAGAACATAGAGCAGTTTGTTTAAGTTTAAAAGCATAAGTATTTTCATTGGATAAGGATAGATTTTTATAATTTTTCAAAAAAGGAGACGCCATCTAAAAATTAATTAAAATTGATCAAACTAATCATTCTCGAAAGTCCAAAAGTGTTTCAATAATAAAGGATCTTAAATCCTTTTCCCCGCCAATTCAATTTAGAGAAATTCCATTCTTAGAAGAGGACGATAAGATTTCTGATTTTGTGATTAAAAAAGCTAAGAATGCTGTAGATAGAGTTGGAAATGAGCCAAAACGCAGTGGATATGAATTTCTGTAAGGCAAGGGTCACATAAATAAAGCACATTATAATTTTAAGAAGAACTATGATACTTTGAAGAGAAATTTGAAATACAGTGAACCTTTGAACATAAATACAGGACTATTTGAGTTGGATACAAACAAAGGGACTGCGATAAGTATTATGAATAAAGTATGAAGTTAAATTGACTTTAAGGTGTTTCCAAGTGCAAGTCGTCCTAAATACGAAATACCCAATTACTCAATGAGTCCTAGGACTGTGATTAAATCATTAAAATTGCCAAAATTACTAAATGAAGTAGATGTATTGTTGTTTTCAAATAAAGAATCAATGATCTCAAATTCAACAACGTATAAATAGTAGGCAGCAATAAAAGATGACGAGTGATTTCATAGATAAACATGTTTAAAATTTCAATTTTTTTTAATTAATTTTCGAGTTTAATATTGATGATTGTGTACAACATTTTCATCATTATATTTAGTTGAACCCTCTGCACTAATGATAATTATAATTGAGATACCTATTTGTTTTTTGCTTGGTTGTTCTATTTTCTTCGAATCTTCATAGTCCTATTTCCTTGAATTAGGCTTGCAAACTTCTGTTTCCTAAATATTATTGGCTATTTGATACTTCTAATCTATTGATTTTGGAAATCAAATCCCCTTTCTCCTATAGTAGCTCTTTAAGTTATTGAGTCAAAACTACATTTGCAATGTAGAGTCTCATGTATTCATGTTGATAATTGATTCCCCTCTTCTGTTCGAAAGATGCTACAACTTCATCCTCTATGTGTTCTCTCATGGCTGAGTTGTATAACAAGCCTTTTCGGATGGAATCGCTATTGAATAGTGTGTGGATGGTACCAATTATCAAGCATTTGAATTCAAATTTATTATTATTAATGATAATGCATTCATATATAAAATTTTTAATGACATTATATTTTAATAATATTGTTAAATGATTAAATTCAGATAAATCTTTTTGATTATTCTTGCAATTGTGATTCCCGTTGTTCGAGGCCAAATGGAAGACATCAGTTTTGGAGAGAAGCACATCTACGTTAACACCTTCGAGTAATATATCGAAAAGGTACTTCTCTTTAACTAAGAAGATCATATTTGGATCGATTGGCGGAATCATGCAATATTTGATTTGCTGTTCGATTGTGGAGTACTACAATCCAATGCCAAAGAATAAACTACGTCTTTAGAATATTTTTAGGGAAATTAGATATGGAATAGTATAACTCATATTTGGATGCTTCGTATCAATGGTATATATTGTATTAACACTCAAAAGTCCTTTTATTATTATTTATATCCCTACACTCCTTACTACAAATATTTCGAAACCCATGATTATACTGTCTTTCACTTTCTGTATGGAATAACATTTCATTGGCTATGGACTACATGTACAAATGCTCCCTTTATTTATTTCTTATTTAGGTGTGGGATATTGGACTCATAGGATGCTCCACTTGAAATATTTTTATAAATACATTCACAGTGTCCATCACTCTTTTAAGGAACCTACTGCCTTCAGTTACTGTGCTGCTCATCCCTTGGAAGGATTCATAGAGGGCAATCTTCTTCTCCATACTGCTGAATTGATATTGCCAATTCATCCTATGTAAACTATGATTTATGGAGGAATGATGGCATTCAACGACCTATTCGCCCATGATGGAGGGTATTAGATTCATTTATGTATTAGAAAATACGATCACTCCGATCACTACAGACACCATCTCTATTACGTAGTCAACTATGGGGATGCCAAGATAGATCGATTTTTTGGCACAGCATATGATCCTGTATTTTAATATATATATTCCTAAAAAACTATCAAGTTAAGGAAAAATGCACTTTCTTAACCTGATTTTAAGGACAAAGACCATCCATTATTTTAGAGATACAAAAGCACATATATATTAATATTAAATATACCTCTCATAAATGTGTATCGAATTCGCTTTCAAGAGAGGTGGAATTACACTCATCAGAAATTTCATTCACTCAGCTGAAGGAGTCAAGAAGTATCCAATATTTCATTTACCATTAGTGGTCTTCCAACTGCTGTTCAAAACAGATTATCCATTAATTACAAACTCAGAACATACACTCAAGGAAAAGTCACTGATATCAGATGTAAATTGTATGACTTAACCCTTTAGTTATCACTGATCCAGTTGCAGGATATTAAGCCAAAGGAGATAAGAAATGATTTATTATCAAAATAAACAAAATAATTCCTATTTCATAGCAAATCAGATCAACAATTTTTCACATTTTCAATATCGCCTGTGTTCCATTCTATTTAATATTAATCATACACTTGTCTGATAATTCTGTGTAATCATTGTATAATCCAATACTATTCTAAGTGTTCAAATATTAGTAATTCCCTGAATTTGGTTGATTTGATTTGCATTTCTAAAGTGTGTCTCCGAACTCATGTATTAAATACAATCAATAATAATAAAATAAAAATATTAATGGAGTATAAGATACCGAATTTTTACTAGTAATTACATTCTCATTATAAAAGAGCCATGCCACAATGTTCCAGACTAGGACATCAGGAGAATATTGTTTACTTTTGTGTAAATGAACAATGTCCTAAGAAATTTGAAGAGTTATGTGTTTAATGCCTAAACAAAAGAGAGACCTCTCATAAACATTCAGAATATCTACTTATCGAAAATGCATATAATTTTTTAACAGATCTCTACTATAGATAATAAAATAAAATTGAGTAACAGGCTTGCCTTTAGGAGGCTTTTGAAAGTATAAAAACATTGAAATTCAAGATTTTGGAAATCTTTGAAAATATGGAAAATCAAATGGCTTAACTCAAAGATAGATTTGATACTTAATATCATTTGTAACAACTCTTCAAATAAAATTTTGTTGATAAACAAAATAAGAAAAGGTTTTTTATCTCAGAGCTAAAACAACTCATTTAAGATTTCAATAAATATGTTTATTATAACTTTGAAAAGTCAGGAATTAATACCATAATTATGAAAGAATTTTCTGACTATTTGGATGACATATAAAAGATGAATTTTTCAGAAGCTTAAAAAGATATTCAAAATTTAATATAATTCACTAAAAGCTTAAACATCATAAAACATTAATAATTAAAAGTAATGCATCGACTCCAAGAAAAGGTACCTGATTAATCATTTATTCTAACTTAAAAGCCGATCGGGTTTAGTGCAATTAGTTTGTAGAGATTTTAGCTCTTAGGTATTTACATTCCTCACTTACTGCCTATAGAGAGATAACGAGTATGTATATGATTAAATCTTTAGAGAAATTTAGAGATTAAATTATCAATTTATCTTAATAGTAATAATGAATTAATACAAAAATAAGACGTGAAAATAATACATGAGTCACTGGTGAAGTAGAGGCCAACTTTATAAAATAAATATTTATTATAATTAAATACTCCAATAACAATAGAGGAGCATTAAGTTTTTACAATTTAACTATGTTCAAAATCTAATTGTTCATTTTAGAAATATAAAATATTTTGCAATTAGAATTTGATAAAATAGCTAAATGACGATTTACATTCTAAAAGTTTAATTGAATAAATATGTACTTTCTTTATAACAGATTTTCTCATTAGAATGATAAATTGAATAGAATTATAAATAATATGAAATATAAAATATATATAAAATGATTTAAATTAATTTGTTATGTATAATAGAAAATCAATCCACTTTTTGAGCTTGAATTTTATGTTCCTTGACAATATGTTCAAGTCCAGCATTCTAAATCAGAACAAAGTCTGAATAACCATGTCTTAATAATATGGTAGCAGCAGTTTTAGCTCTGGCTCCTGAACGACAATAGATGTGTAATGTCTTGTCTTTTGGAATCAAATCAAGCTATAAGGAATAGGATGAATTTTTACTTAATTCTCTATTTAGAATAGAGGGATCATCAAAGATCCTGGAACGATTCCTGTAGTTTTGAATTCAAAAGGGTTTCTGCAATCGATGAACACGTGATTTTCAGGTTAATCATGAGTATCTAAGAAATCTTTCAAATCAACAATATTTAATTATTGGACTTCTCCTCCATTTCTCACATAATTGTCAAATCCTCCCTCCAAGTATCCAAGAATATTTTCATATCCGATTCTAAGCAATCTAATGATGGTTTGTTCTTCTTTGCCTTCATCTGAAACTATGACCATTTTTTGATCTGGCTTGAAGAGAATGCCAACAAAAGAAGCAAGAGTAGCTACTTAGGTAATATTGATGGAGCCTTTGATGATTCCTTTGCTAACGATATCTCTGGAGTCTAATATTAAAGCACCATCAGCAGCAACTTGAGTAAACTCTTAATAATTCAAGGCTTTTGTAACTTTTTATTTAATGGTTTGTAGGTCACTAGCACCTTGACGATTCTAGGATATTAATATATCAACTAATTACAATTTGCACATCATGAAAGAAATATTAAGGAGGATTTGGTATATCTGTTGATGCCTTAACGAAATCTTCTTCAGTAATATCCTACAATGCCCAATTTTTGAGTTTCTATTCACCAATTGTACTGACAGTACCTGCTCCAATAGCTTTACCACAAGCAGAACCTGCTCCATGTCCAGGATAGAGAATGACATCATCATTAAGTTTCATGATTTTGTTTCTCAAGGAATGATAAAGAAGTGAAGCAAGTTGATGAGTGGTCAAACCTGAAGATTTAGATGCGAGATCAGGTCTGCCGACTTCTTCAAGGAAGAGTGAATCTCCACTGAAAACGGCATGGTCCTTCCCATCAACTACGAACACGAAGCAGCTGGACTCTAAAGTATGGCCAGGTGTATGTAAGACTCTAAGAAATGCGTTTCCGAGAGGCAACAATTCTAATGATGGCTATTAAGATTATATACATTCATCTTATGCAATTCTTGCTTAATAGGAAGTAACGGCTTCAGGACCTAAGACAATTTGAGCTCCTGTGATTTTAGCTAAATCTACGTGTCCTGCCACAAAATCAGCATGTATGTGTGTTAATATCACATATTTGATCAGAGAATTTCTTGATTCAGAAAATTTGCTAGGAATATAAGATGAACTTGAATACATGTATTCTTCATAGTCTCTCATGGGGTCAATTACTGCAGCTTCGTTATTGGATTCAATGTAATAGGAAAATTAACCCAAACAACTGACTTAGAATTATTATATGTAGAAGTTCTCTCCGACTAGTTAGGCTTTTTGAGCATTAACGTAAGCTGGTGTGGCATTACAAGCATTCATTTTAAGAATTACAAAATATTTTATTTAAAAAGATTTAGCTTTAGGAATCCATTACATTTCAATGCAAACCCATAATTTATTGAATTACAAATATATTTTAAGAATATCTAATTTACTTATTTTTATTTGCATAAAATTTGATACATCAAACATCTAATAATATTCTTCTTGGATCTTCAATTGAAGTAGCTAATTTCTTAAGGAAAGTGGCAGCATCCTTTCCATCAAGAATTCTGTGATCATATGTCAATGCAAGATACCTATGAGTTGAAATAAGAGTGTTACATCATGGGACGAGCAACAATTTAATCGTTTCTAACAACTGGTCTATTGACGATAGCATGCATTCCCAAAATTGCAGATTGAGGAGCATTGATGATTGGTGTTCCCATCAAACTTCCAAAGACTCCACCATTTGAGATAGTGAATGTTCCACCAACCATATCATCTGCTGAGATTTTTCCCTGTCTCCCCTTTTCAGCTAAATCAATAAGTGTCTAGTGATTTAATAGTGTTGAGTACTTTTTCGATATCAGCAAAACTGAGACGTTCACAATTTCTAAGAACTGGTACCATAAGCCCCTGTGGGTGTGGCAACAGCCATAGAAATATCGATGTAATTTCTATAAACAATGTCGGTGCCATCGATAACTGCATTGACAATTGGTTGTTCTTACAATTGTTTGACAGCAGCCTTAATGAAGAATGAACTGAAACCCAATTTAACATTGTGCTTTTTTTAGAAATCCTTCTACATGGCTTCTCTTGCCTCCATAACAGCACTCATATCACATTCCTAAAATGTGGTAAGCAATGCATAAGTATTCTAAGCATCCTTCAATCTCTAAGCGATACGTTGTCTCATTCTTGACATTGGTTCCTAATTGTAAATTTAGAGATGTACTCTTTTTTCTGTTCTCTAAGTGGGAGTAGTCACAGATGGAGCAACAGGTTTCTTCTCAGCAGGCTTTGCAGCTGGAGGTGGAGTACTCTTTTATGCTGCAGGTGCTTCTTGCTTTTATTCTTGTTTCACTTCTTGCTTTTATTCTTTCTTCTCTTCCTTCTTTGTTTCTGCAGCTGCAGGAGCACCAGCTGGTTTGGCAGCCGAAGTATCAATTTCGTAGAAGGGCTTGCCGACTTCAACCTTAGCACCATCAGCAGCGAACATTTAAGTAATCAGTCCAGAATCTGCACATCTGATGTCAATGGTGACTTTATCTGTCTCTATCAATGCAATCACATCATCTTGATTCACATAATCTCCCACCTCTAACTATCAAATTTAACAAGCATACTCTTCTACAACTCCTTTACATCTCCTTCTGTTATTGAATCACCCATTGTTGGCACATTCACTACCTTTTCTAATTACATTATGCAAACCATTTACTTGAGAAATAGAATTTTGGTATATGTGCAAATTGTGTCTACGATACTTTGAACAAAGAGATTGCGAACTATCTCATATCTTAATTAAAAATTTAGAAATAATTATCCAACTATTGTTGTGTATTTAACACAATAATATATAATATTTAATATGGGAAATCATAATTCATCATCACATGTCCACTCTTTCAATCAACTTTTTCTCCCACATATCTTCAAATCCCCCATCCTGACTAATCATAATCCTCTCGAATCCACTTCTCACTAAAATGCTCATCGCAATCTTTGCTCTCCATCCTGACTTGCAATAAATATGCAATTTTTTATCCTTTGGTATCTTATCAACATTTCCCTCTATCTCAGACAAAACTATACAAATGGCCCCTTTAACAAATCCAGTCTCTCTCAATTCTCCCACTCCTCTAACATCCACAAAAACGTGGTCGTCTAATCTAATGATTTACTTATTACTTGGATTATCATTGATATTACAGAGTTCCTCAAGTCCAACTATTTAAACTTGAGTTGCCAACTCTCCTCCATTGTTTTTATATGTTTCAAATCCTCCATCCAAATATCCAAATATATTATCATAACCAATTCTTAATAATCTTAATATGGAATCCTTTGCTTCTCCATCCTTTCCAATTATAACTAATTTTGTTTCTGGTTTGATAATAGACCCCACAAAATTTACTAAACCAGACATAAATGTAATATTAATAGCACCTTTTATTACACCTTCTTAAATATTTGGTCTTGTGTCAAGAATCAAAGCTCCCTACTTTACGTAGTTCATAAACTCCTCAAATGTTAAGGCTTTCTGGACTTCACTTAAAATAGCAGAAAAATCATTAGCACCACTTTTATTCTATATTTATAATTTACTACAATTACTAATTTTGCATCATGAAAGAAATATTAAGGAGGCTTGGGCATTCCCTTAAGAGCTTGATTGATAAACTCCTCCTTTGTGATATCTTAAAGAGCATAATTGTTCTTTTTTTGCATCCCAATTGTACAGCACTTGCCTGCTCCAATGGATTTTCCACAAGATGATCCTGCTCCATGTCCTGGATAAACAATGACATCATCATTCAACTTCATCACTTTATTTCTCAAGGAATCATAAAGATACGAAGCCAACATTTCGACTGTTAGTTCACCCACCTTCACAGCTAAATCTGGCCTTCCAACTTCACCCAAAAATAGTGTATCTCCAGTATAGACCGAGTGATCTTTCCCATTGTGAACTAAAACAAAACAACTTGATTTCCCATTGTATGTCCTGGGGTATGATCCACTCTAATTTATACACTCCCTAATGGAAGCAACTCTCCATCTTTTGCTTCCTTAATTGGATAACTGGCCACGGCTGTTGGTCCATAAACAATGGTTGCTCCTGTCAGATTTGCTAATTCTCTATGTCCACTAACAAAATCTGCATGGAAATGAGTCTCTAGTATCCATTTGATTTAGGCATTCCTATTTTTGGATAACTCACTAATCATAATAATACTATGAATCATACATGTATTAATGAATGTCCCTCAAGGGATCTATTACTGCGACTTCCCCTTTGGATTCAATGTAATACGAGAAAGTAGAAAGACACTCGATATAGAATTGTTGAATATAAAAGTCAGGGGATTCAGTCTTTTCTGCCAAATGATTCTCAAATATCTTGGGAGCTGCTATCATTAGAAATTTATGTAATACAAATAACAAGATTTGCTTCCAATTTTTATATAATAAAATAATACGTATTAAAAATAATACGAAATATTACAATGAACTTTAATCAAATTTATTGTTCCATTTAAGTTAATTCACATACAAGGAAGATTAAAGTATATGAGAAACAATTGGAAATTATCAAATAGATTATCGATAAACTAGTTTTATTTTTATAAAGAATTATTTGAGGTGAAAATAGAAATTTTGATTTTTTATTTTATTATATAAATAGATGATTATTTAAAATTTTATGTAATTATTAAATTTTTTCGAAATAGGGTAATATTAATTTTTCAATGTTTAGCCTTTCCAAATCCTACCATATTCATATCTCTGTCATAGATACTCAAGTATTTTGTCAAGAAGATATCTCCTAAAATCCAGGCTGGACCTTGTGGATCTGGGATATCTAAAGGCATAAATGCTCCAATGCATTAGTTTGGAAGATCCTTCAATGAAGGCAGATGCTGAAACTTCATTGCTCAAAGGAATTTCAGTTCCATCATCTTTCAACTCCATGATGTAATCTTTGGCTTCTAGATCGTAATTGACTCCATCAATTCTGAATGTAAGAGTTGGCAATTCTTTGGCATTGGAACAATTGTCATTGATGTTGGTAAGATCTAAAATGAATATGATTTTAATTACCTAGCAATTTCATCAAGTCATCATATGGACCAGTAATAAGGGATGTGCCAGTATCAGCAACAACTTTGCAACCTTTGGGACAGAACCCTTAATCCTGACCATTGACTAGAATGTTCTCAGCTTTAATCATCCAATAGTATTTATCAATGACAGGATGATAATGAACTGGACCGTCAAGTTTGGTGGAATCGTAACCACCAAAAGTGAGTTATGATTCAAGACTGTTGACTTTGTTGCTCATGTAAAATGAAAATTGGTTGGATTGCAATTTCTTTTATTTCATTATGTTATCGAATAGTGGATTTAAGTTATAGGCAGCCATGGAGGGATATGCCAAACCAACAATGCCGTCAAATCCAGACTTAAATAATGGTTTGATAAAAATACATTTTAGAACACAGACCCGTTTTCTTCAATTATTTCAGCAATGTTTTGATCTTCAACCTCTATTTCTCCTAATTTGACAACATCTGAATTGACTTCTCCATTCAAATCACCTGTACCGAATTAGACATTCAATGCATATCCAAGATGTTTAGAACTGAAACCTGGTTTATATTGTGTATGTTATTTGCATCCTTCATTTTTACATTTCACAGAATCAATCCAAAAATTGGCAGATCCAGTATCGAAAATAACCTAGAATTCTTGATCACCTACACTGATGGGACCAGTAAATTGGGTATTCTTGAAATTATGCAATTTAAGATCTGCTACTCTCTTCTCTGTATTTTATTGTGGTTTTGGTACATATCCTCCGAATTCGATTTCCTAGACATCGATAGGAGTCTACTATCTGAAGTAGGTTTATTTGGTGGTTAAGAAGTCATACATTTCCTTAGCGGACACCTATTTTGAGTATGAATAAATGGAGTACGATTGTGTGGGTTTCCTTTAACTTTATGGTATAGAGTTAATTCTCTTGTGATGTAGTACTTTGCTCTGAGAGGAAGGTGCCCTGTTCTTGTCCACAGAAGACAAGAAATATCAGAAGGGAGTATAGGAATATGTTCATCGTATAAAAACGATAATAAAAATTAATATGTAACCACTTTGTGATCCAGCACAGGATAGAGTAGTCAAGTAAGTTCCTTTACCTCCTCATCGACCTCTAGATAATGACCTGATGTTTCCAGCCAAGAATTAAGGTAATTGATGGCTATTGATCATAGGGAAACCTGACTGGAAACTCATAAAGGAACATTTAGAAAGAGAGGGAAGAATTGCGAAAAAGGAAGTAATAAAGTTGGTGACAATGGCAAACAAAATCTTTAGTAAGCAATCGTACATTATAGTTAAGAGAATGAGGGCAGTTTGATACATCTGTCAGATCCTTTGACCGTGGTGGGAGATATTCATGGGTATGTTGAAAATAATAGGTTAGATAATTTTATGATTTTCTTAAAATTCTTGATGTTGGAGGCAATCCTGAGTCTTAGAAATATGTGTTTTTGGGGGATTATGTTGACAGAGGACCATTCTCCATAGAAGTGTTAATTTTGTTGTATTCACTAAAAATCAATTATCCACGCACTATCTATATGTTGAGAGGCAATCATGAATGCAGACAACTCACTTCATTCTTTAACTTCATGGACGAATGCAAATACAAGTACGATTAAGAATTGTATGATGTTTTCATGGATTCATTCGACAACCTTCCATTGGCTTGCATTATAAATAATCAATTCATTGCACTTCATGGAGGAATCTCTCCAGAATTAAGAAATGTATAACATATCTAATTCATATCAAGGTCACTGATGTCAATTTGGTAGAGAGATTCAGAGAACCACCAAAGAATGGACTATTCTGTGACATCCTTTGGGCAGATCCTGTGGATAATGATGATGGAATTTGCGAAGGACAATTTCGAATTAATGAAGTCAGAGGCTGTTCATACTTTTATGGAATGGAGGCAGTTAGTCGATTCTTGGAAAGAAACAAATTGATATCTGTCATCAGAGCCCATGAAGCTCAATTAGAAGGATACAAAATGCACAGATGGGATGGAGGATAAGATTTCCCTATGGTCATTACAATATTTTCGGCTCCCAATTATTGTGATGTCTACAATAATAAGGGTGCTGTCATTAAATTCAAAGTATGTAATTTCTACTACTCTCTAGAATAATGATCTGAATATTCAACAATACAATTATAGTTAGCATCCATATCTATTACCCAATTTCATGGATATCTTCACTTGGTCTATTCCATTTGTTGCAGAAAAAGGTTATTAGTCATAATCTCATTATTGTAGTCACTGAAGTGTTGTTCCACATCATACAACCTAGAGATGGGGAAGCCATGGATGAGATCGTTGATGAAGATGATATTGCCAAATTCAAGGAATTAGTAGGAGACTAACAACACAAAAATAAAGATGTCTTCTTGAAAAGCAAAATCAAATTTGTTTTTAGAATGATGCAAATTCAAAAAGGATTAAGATAACAAAGTGAAAGTCTAGTCTAAACCAAAGGAGCTTGTCCTGACAACCGTATACCTAAAACACTTCTAGATAGCATTAAAGATTGTAAATAATTATCATATCATATTTAGCAAATGGGGCATTTTAGACTGCTAAAATGGCTGACTCTATCAATGAGAAAAGACCTGGACTCAGTTAATGATATTCAAATCATATAAAAACACACTCATTTAATTTACATTTTTAATTATAAACATTCAAACTGTCCCACTAAAAGGAATAGGTATATAGAAATGATCATTGCTATCTACTGTCTTACTAACACTCTCTGTCAACACCCACTATTTCATTCGTAAGTTGTTCAGTCTCTAAGTATTCACCTCATTCAATTATTTTTACAAGATCAATAAACTCAAATTTAGTTTTCTTACTACCTCTGTGTTTTTTAATAGCTAAATCATATGGACAATATTATACCACTTCATTTTAAATATTGGTGATAGAATAACGATCTGCCAAATTGTACAGTGATTATTAATATTTCTTCAATTCCTATTCATACTCCTCTCTTTCCTATTTAATCTGCTTTTAATAAATTCCAAATTGTTGTTGTATTTCTTACACATCAAAATTATATGGAATCTAAATGAATATCATATAAACATTACACTGAAATATCCTGGGATATCTGTTGCTCCATATCTCTTGGTAACATATAAACATATCTAAGGATCAGCTTTTTCCAATCTTGAAAACAATGGTGATAATGCCTACACACTCATAAGATTCGTTGTTTTTGGTATGATTTTTTCAACAACTAATTTAATTAAATTAATGTCCATACATATGTCGCTTTCTTCCTTAGTTAAGTCTTGATCAAAAAATATTAACCTTGGATCAATCAATTAATCAAATATTTGAAATAAGTTAGGTATCATATCGCATTTGTCAATCATAATACTAGCCCATAACCTGGGTTTTATTTGTGGCATATTTGCTTGTCTCATTTGTTAAGTAGCACTCTTCAAAAAATTGTCATATTCTGATTGCATTTGAGCTGAAAAGATAGACGCTCTCATTGCTAACTACTCAGATTCTTGAGTTGACGACCTCTTCTTCAAAGTTGTTGTTGTTTCAAAGAAGTTTTTCTTGGCTTTTTCATACTGATTTGTATAAGTAACAAAGGGATTAGCATGCTTCTCTGTAAAATCCTTTCTTATTTCCTAGTATTTCTAATTTATCTACTCCCTTATTTGAGTTGTCACTCTATAATAAGTGTGATTCATCTTACTTATCTATTGCACCCTATTAATCCTTTCCCAAATATGCATCCAATACTATTGTAAATGGCAAAAACTTTCTTGCTTTTGTGTTCTGCTTTTCAGCCATATAAAAGACCAATTCTTGTGGTTCTGTACGTTCATTCTATGACACAGCATCAAAATAATTGTTAAGAATCTTCAATGATCTTGTATTCTCCATTTTCACATTATCGGGTGCATTTTACAACATATCTGGATGTATTGCCTTATAAAATTCTGTTAATTTAGACTTATTTTTGAAAGTATTAGCAGTAGAACTAAAGGCCACAATTATTTTCTATAGCATTCAAATTAAGAGTAAATTATAAAATTTTTATTATCAATCTTCACTTTATTTACATGATATCCAAACCCTTAGACTCTTGTTGCATTTAAATAGACATAAATACAGTGATACAAAACATTTAAATGTGATAGAGATTTTCTATAAATAATGCTATATTTCTATATCTAGAATGTTTAGTTGAGATTGCATTTCATAATATAAAGCTAACCATTAATGAATATTATTTATTTAAACAAAAAAATAATGAATAAACCTTAATAACATGAGAAGGGATAAAATTAAAATGGCAAAGCATGGTTGTATGCCTTAGGAGGCTTAGCAATTGGAGTTGTTGGAACAATTTTTGGAATGAAAGCCATGAATAATGAATAATCTTAAACTAATAGTTAAAGTAAATCAAATCCGGAGCCTTCATAAATCACTAGTGACGGTGAACAATTCCTCGAGACTCTTTGTTGTCCAATAACTGGAGGTATTAATGATTTTATATCTTTAAATTAGAGTTAATTGTTGATGCAGCCTAACTTAGTACATGTGGTCATACTTTTGAAAAGTTTGTCTTATTAGAATGGTTAAAAAAATCTAAGAATTGCCCTTAATGTCGAAAACCAGCTAGCGAATAAGACATTATTAAGAATTATGCTTTACAATAGGTCATTGATTAACATAGAACAAAACAATAATGATTAAGTTATTTTATCTAATCTAGTAACTCTAAATAATATACATCAAATTCTATAATCTATAAGCTTATTTATATATGTTAGAATAATCAATTCTAAATTATAAATTATTTATAGAATAATTATTAAATGATATTATTATAAAATATTTGCTATTGAGCTTGTAAATCATTTCATGATGGAACAATTTATTACTCTACATAATAATAATTTTTATTTTGAGCTATTTAATTTTAAGAATCTATCTATAATAATCTTAATAAATTATTGACTTTATTTTAATATATATAGGTTGACAGTTCAGATTATTATTAGCACAATCTAAGTTTATGAATTGAGTTCTCATCTCAATATTACAACTACAACAACAAAAATTGACTACTTCTTCTCTATTGATTTTACTCATCTTTTTCTTAATTTAAGAAATTAGGCATATATTAAACACCAATAAACAAATTGATAATTCTAAATTAACTCTTATTCAATGTTAACTTACTTCCTTCCTGAATATGTATATATGTTATTATTATTATTATAATATTAATCATTTTGGTCCTTATGCTGCAAGAATTGCTGCCTCTTATGCTTCTTATGCCTCTATTTTTTACATGTATTCTTATAATTGTTCTGCAGGTATTTCATCTGGCATCATTTGGGTTTATTTTATTTCATATTCAGGCTCTTCAGGAGTCATCAATGATGAACCATCTGCAGGCTAAAATGGCGAATCAACTCCCTTTTAATCTGGGATTGTGTCCTTTTCAAACACTGGGTTAAGTTGATTTTCTACAACATCAACTGGCATTTAATCAGATGGATCTTAGGTTTGAATTTCGACATTTAAAGCATTCATATAAAAGTCATCATCAGATCCTTTGGTGGATGATAATTACTTTTGTTTCTCTTCTTCATATTTTCTTTATTCTTCTTAATCCAATTAATCTTGCTCTTAGTTAGTCAAATTTATTTCAGATTCTTATTGCTCTTATAATTATTATTATTCAGTCTATTCTGATTGAATTTATGTTTCTTATACTAATTCAGCCTCATTTGATTCTGTTTGAGCAGGTTCTTAAAAACTTTTATCATCATCTATATATTGAATTTCTTAAGTCTAAGCCAATGATTTTTATGAGTTTGCTGTATTCTATTTATGGTGACGAATATTATGACCAGCAAATCCTAAGCAAATGATCGCTAATACCAATAATGCTTGTTTCATCAAAACGGATTATAAAATTATTATTAAGCCTTTATCAAAACAATAATAATCTTGTATAAATATGATCACTCAACTTCAAAACTTAACTTAGAAAAATTATTTAGAATTTTTTTTAAACAAATGCCAGTTTGTAATACTCAAGATTTTGATCAAAATTTCTTTCATTTATATTAGAGAATTAAAGTAAAGAGTTGGCTTATAATTGAATAGAAAAGAAGAGTAATAACACATTAATTGAGAAATATTGCATAATTTCATATAAAAAAAAAAAAATATTTATGGATCAAAAATTATATCTTCCAATTAAATTGATAAACCTCAATAGAATTTTGGATACCATGAGTAAATTCAATATGACATTCTTATCAATACAAAATTCATTTACTAAAATCAAATATTTTTTATCATAGAATTATTTCTTATTGAGAATTTATCATTACTAGATAGAATTTTAATTATTGATAATTAAAAATAAATTAATTTCCTTTATTGTAAACACAGTGGTATGATTGGATTTGAAATTAATAGGCGGTTAACTTATCCAAGAATTATTCATGTAATGTTTCAAATTTCCAATATTTACTTATTCATAATTTTAATACCAAACATAAACTCAGCACCTTTTTATTTAAGTATTTTGATCAATCCTACAATATATGATTATCCAAAATCCTTTAAAAACTTATTACAATTTGTTAAACAATATATTGATTTTATTATTAATATTAAATTATAAACCCATAAAATTATAAAATTAATATTAATATTTAAAGGAAATAAAAAGACGATTAAATTTCATACCTTCTCGGCCTTTTGGCTAAGATCAAGTGTAGTATCTGTTCTTATCAGAGTGATATCTGATATCTCCTACGAGGAGAATGATATCACTGCAATTTTTAAATGGGGCTGGGTTTACTTGGGGCTTGCCCCGGTCCCAGCATAGTCGACCCTGACTTACACGACCTCGGGGAACGGCTAACCCGCTACTTTTTAATTTAAACAAACGAAATTTATTATTATATATAACTTTTTGGAGTTCTACAATTTGAAGGTAGAAGCATAGATTTTTAATTTACGTATTAAGCCTTCAAGATAATATTTTGTTTTAAGAATAATGAAATATTTGATGATTCTTATACTTATGATTTATTATTTCCATCTTTGTCAAGAGCTAAGGCAATTTTTATAGAACCATTTTATTCTTGATAATTGTAATGTAATAAGGAAAAATAGCTCAGATATAATTTGATGTATACGGAAATAAGCAGAAAGATTATTAAAAATCATAACGCAGATCTAAATTTTAATAAAACACCTGAGTATTGAGAATTTTACCAATGATAAAAAGAAAGTAATAAGGGAGAGGTAATCTTCTTTAGAATTAAATTGCAAAATTGTAGCAACTCAAGGATGATGATTAATAAAAATTAACTCAAGTGGAGTTTAGTATAAAAATTATAATAATAACTTTGTGTTTATAAAGTGTTAGAATTTTAAATTGGATTTAAGAATTAAATTAAATATTCATAATAAGGTGTGTATCAAAAATTAAGATGTGTTAAAACGAATAATCAACAAAAATAATAAGATTTCTTGGTTTTTCAATGAAAAATAACTGTTTTAATACAAGAAATTGCTTGGATGTCATTAATTATGAAAAAAAAGTTAAATAAAGATTATTTTCTAGTGGATTAATTTTCTAAAACTACTTAGGTATGGTTTTTTTTAAAGTAAGAAGGCCATCTGTCGAACATTATCCAAATGAACTTACAAAAAATAAACGGTTATAATTGTTACAAAGTGCTAAGCTACGTTGAGTCCAGAATATTTAGCTCTTTAGGAGGAATGATTTATAATTCTATAATTATTTAATGTAAACTTCAATCGATCTGCCTTCCCCTTTAGGAGTTATCTAAACTTCTTCTATAACAAGCACAGGTAAAATATTAAGTCCAGATTAACAAAACAATTTAAAGGATGCAGTGAAAAGAAGTGAAGAGGATAAATTATTTCGAAAATAAAATCAGATGAATGATATGGAGGAATTTGAAGCAATGGAAGTTTAAAATGGTGATTAAAAATCTCTAATATATTACTACAAGGCCTTAAAATTTGATGAAGAAATACAGCAAAACGAACTATAAATTAATAATATTGTTCAGATTAGATCAAAATTAGGAATGATAGAAGGATTCTTAATGAAGAAAAGTCCTCATTGGTTTTAAGGTTATTCATAGAGAAACTGTATATTAAGAAATAGAGTGTTTAGATATTATGACTCAGAAAATAAAAAAGTTTAAGGAGTTTTAAATTTCGATGTTTAGTCATTCTAATTATAAGAATTATAGGATAAAAATGGAAATACAGTGGAGTTTATGTATGAATATCTCTATGCTTCTAGTTTAAAGCCTTTGGGTTAAACTCAAAAAGTATTTCAGTTTAAAGGGGGTACAGTAGATCAAACTAAAACATGGGTTTAACTTATAAAATAGCATCTCTAAGATTCAATTGGAGCACTGAAAGTTTTGAAATCACTCAGTACATATGAATATTTTTGGAGAGTATTAAATTCTATATTGACCTTAATTTTAGTTTGAACGCATTTCATCATTACAAATAATGGAGGATGCTGAAGATGGAGACATTTTACTCTTTTAAGGGAAAGATATTAATTGTCACATTCAAAGAACCTTAACCCAGGCTAATTTTGATCACGTTGGAATTTTAATACGGTTAAATGACAACTAATTGTATTTATTTGAAGCATTGCCATTGCATGGAGTGGGACTGTGCCGTTGGAATAAGTTTATTATATGTAAATGGAATTATCTATATCATAAGTAAAGTGTAATTGTATTTTATGATAGAGTTATTTATAGAAAATTACAAGTGAATAGAGATGAAAATTTTATATCAAGGATGCACGAATTCGTTACTGAGAATATTGGTAAATAGTATTCATTTAATCCGACTAAATTATTCAAATTTAAGTCAACAATGCTCCAAGATCCATAATAGCAGTAAACAAGAACGTTTTTTTCTTCTGAACTTGTAGCAGCTTGCTATAAACATTTAAACCTCTTGTCAAAAGATATCTCATCCACTTAATATTCACCAGGATCATTCTCATCAGAAAATCAAAAATTATCACTTCGATATGGAAGTTTAAGTGAAGAATATCTTATAGATTTTGAGGGTGAATGATTGTCTTATTTAATTAATACATCAAAACTTAAATGGTTATATGCCTTAAAGAATACAAATTAAAATATTTAACATAATGAATTAATCAAAGAAGATGTTCATTATTTTAATTCTTTTTTTGAATCTTTATCAAATCCATCACTTTTTTTTAGTGTGAATATATATCTGGACATATTTTCTTTTGATATTTTAATTAATTTTCATTATATTAAACTTTTGCATATTTTAATACACAGTTCTATAATAGTATGAGTATTTTACATATTTTTTGTTGAAATTCCAAGGACGGTTATTAAATGCCAGGAAGAATTCCTAAAGATATTTTTTGTTTTTTAGATTAATAAACGCAAAACCTCCTTCTAAATCACAAGGGATATTTATGTAATCGTATTTTGAATAGAATTTGAAATCTATCTCATTTTGCAGTCTTTTCACAGTGTAATTATTTGGAATGTTTCTAATCATTAGGGTAGTTCGATTATCATTGGCAATCTAACCTCTAAATTTATATTACAGTTTGCAGCGAAATATTGAACTAATTTTAAGTGTTCTCATTCTCATTTGAACATTTCTCGAAAGCTTGATTAAAAATGGCAGAAAACGCCTCAAATTATTCATCAGAGGAAGAGTTTGTTTCTGTTGAAAAGAGAAGCTTCGATTCTGTCGAAATAGAATTTAAAAATAAAATACTATAACCAAATAGGAAAAGATCATTATTAGAAGAACCAGCAGAGTCTTAGTTTTCGATCCAATTCGAGCATTTAGTGAACTCTTCGATTTCTTGAAATAGCGAGGTTTACATCTTTAAATTTTTATATATATATTAATAATCAAACCTTTTAATACTCTAGTTTAGATTCTAATTTTTTGGCCTCTTTAATTTTTCTTCCTGCTTTGAAATAATCCTCCTCAATAACATAATCTCTATCTGCTCTAATGGCAAACATACCTTTTATATAACCATAATATGATACCTGCTTCGGTACAAACATTTCTTAAATCAGCTCCATTAAATTCTTCACACAATTTTGCTAACTATTCAAAATCCACTTCTCCTTTGGTTGTAATAGTTCTTGAATGGATCTTCAAAATATCGTATCTGGCTTATTCATTAGGCAATGGGATCTCCACCTCTAATAGTTATATATCAGATCATTACTTCTATCTAATCTACCAGGTCTTAAAAGGGCTGGATCCAAAATGTCTGGTCTATTGGTAGCCATGACCACTTTGACCTTACCCAAATCATCGAAACCATCCAATTGATTTAACAATTCCATAAGAGTTCTTTGTATCTCTCTATCTGCAGATGTACCATCACTAAACCTTCTTCCTCCAATGGCATCAATTTCGTCCATAAAAATAATGCAAGGCTAATTCTCCTTAGCATATGTAAACATTTCTCTTATCACTCTAGCACTCTCTCCAATGTACTTATCTACAATACTCGAAGCAACAATTTTCAAAAATTTCGCTTAGACATTGCAAGCCAAAGCTCTTCATTTCATCATATATTTTTACCTTGCAATCAAGGTCTTACCAGTACCTGGAGGACCATACATTAAACATCCTTTAGGTGGTTTCACACCTACTCTCTTGAATAATTCAGGATTGGTTATGGGTAATTCAATTGTCTACGCCTTAGTTTTATAGATACTTCTCTTAAAACACGAAGCTGATCATTTAAACCACCAATTTCATCAAATTTAACCTTTCCTGGGTCTTCGTGAGCCATATGGAAAACTTATGGATCCACTTCTCTTGGCAATATTCTAACTATTGTATATGTTTCTTAGTCAAGTGCTATTCTTGTTCCTACTACTAATTTCTCCCTATCTAGCTTAGGTTTGGCACCCACTACATATCTAGGTCCACTATTCAATTTTGAAATATCTGAATTATGATTATCTTTTTACATTTTTCATCACTTATTTTCATTAATATTTCTCCAACTGCTTGACCTCTTATATTCAAACTTTTGATATTATCTTCAAACCTTTCAAACTCAATTTTCCTTTATTTTGTTTATGCTCTCACTAAGATAGAATTACAATGTAAATTTACATTCTTTCACATGTCTTTCCTTATCTTCAACTTCCTTTAAAAGTTTGATGTATTTAGCTTCTAATACATTACGTTAATTTTGATCAGCCATCTTGAATATTTTAAATTTTATATATTTATATTAGATTAGGATAATTTATATTTAATTTATTTCTGAAATACAAAGAAATCAATAAATCAACATAAAACCACTCTGATGTTCTTTCTTATGTAATAGATATTAGCAATCAATCTAGAGGCAGGTTATTAAATCTTGATCTCATTTTGTATTATCAAATTGCAACTCTTAGAGATGATAATACAATATCCTGAATTTTATGTTATTTTCAATATATTTAGCACTCTTTTTTGAAAAAATAAATTCAATATTTTAATATCATTTCTAAAAAATTAATCAATCTATTATTATCGATAGAGTCAGAGTATTTTGATCTAAATATTCACAAACAGTTTAGTTTTCATCAAATAAAGGATTGAGAAGAATATGATTTCATAAATACCCTACATGATCACAATTTGAGAACAATATTATATGATTGCTAGATTTTTTTTTTTCTTCTATTTTCAATTGATTTGATGTATTTTTTCTCTTATAGAAACTTTTAAGTATACTCAAGATTGAAAGATAAAATTTACAAAATATTTATAGGACTAAAATCAATAAACAAATTTATATATAAGACAACAGACACTATTTTTATCATATATCTATCATGATAGCAAGTCTCTGTACCAGAATAGTGGGTATATTTTATAAATTTAGTTAATCCACAGAATTTTAGTTTATAAATCATGTTACTTTTCTAATTTTTTTGTATTTTATTTAAAATGAAAATAAAGGATTTCTTAACATCGTTGTAATAGCGTTGTTTATATTGTAAAAAATCAACAATGCAGTGATTATTAAACATTAATTCAAAATATTAGGAAGAGTTTGAAAAATAAATTTAGCTTTATAATAATTTATATTTTCTATATACATTAAAGAGGAAGTACAAATAGGTATTCAAAATATGCAGCTCTAAGTCATATCGACAGCAGAAGTAGTCTGAAGATCAACTTTAAGATCAGGAATAAATTCACTTTCAGTTGTTGATAAGTCATCCAAAGAAAAGTATTAGTATTTTTTTGAATGTATTTGAAGTATATGCTACATATATATTCAACTTTTCATACCACTTAACAAGTTGAATTATTTAACTTTTTGTAATCTTGAGCTGAGAATATTGATGATCCTACATTGAATTAATATAATACTAAATTCCATCAAACCATATGAAGTGTTTTGCATTTAATTGATTTATTTCTTTTTTTGATCACCTATTGCATTCATCTAAAATGAATTTCGTTGGTATTGTTAACATTGTTGGCTTTGATTTCTAAAAATATTTGGTCTAAGTTCTGTAATCTTGTTTTTCTCCTTCTTTTTTTCTTCAGGCTTTATTGTTTGATAAAACAAGTAAAAACAACCCAACATGTAAGTTTTAAGTAAAACTGATTTCCTTGGGAAGACTCTCCCTAAATCTTCTAATGCGCATGACATTTTGGAATATTTATTAATAATTCCTATTATCTTAACTAAATGAAGATATAAACATTTATACTAATGAGTTAAAATGATGCGCATTTATTGCTTAAATAAAATATATCAATATAAAATAAATATATAATATGTTAGTAAATGGATAGGTTTAGTAGAAGAATCAATGAAATTATTTATAAATGAATATCCAAGAGTGACTGACAGAAATAAATATTAAATTTATATCTGCTAATAAACCCCGATTCAATTTTGCCATCTGCATTACATTGATAAATTGATATATCAACATATATAGATTAAGATGGCTAATTCAAATAGTTGAATTGATATCTTAACTCACAAACAACTTATTACTTGTATAAGTAAGTAATGAGTAATTTAGATTTTAGTGTTTAAGAGTTGTCAACAAATACTCAATTAAGAGTGAGTAAAAGCTAATTATACTCTTAATAGTTTAATTTACGGCATTTACTAATGTATGACAATATTTAATCATCTACAAACTCTTAATGCCTAAAATACAATTTTAATAATGAATTTAATTAATAAAGAATTTAGTATTTGAACAATATAATGATTAATATAATTTGCCTGTCCTTTTAAGTTTAATTCATTTGATATCTATTAATATGGGTTTTATTTTTTCTTATTCTTGTTTATGCTAACAAAGTTAAGATAGCACATTCTATTTTTAAGATATAATTGAATAATGTAATGGTTTTTGTATTTGATCATCTATGGGAAGATGATGGAGATAATAATGATGTTGATTTTGAATTGCATTAAATTTGGGTTCGTGGTTGATTGATTGTAAATGGAAAGAATATCAAATCCAAAAGTTATGGTGGGATATCCAACTGACACAATAAATTTATGGTAATATAATAAGGTTTATGGTAATATAATAAATAAGAATATAAGGGTGTGAGATGATATTCAACTATTATTCTCTATTTGAGAATATACCCTTACAATAAATTAAAGATAATATATTAGACGTACAGAATTATATCATTCGTAATTATAGTTGAATATAGAATTTGAAACAGTTCCTATATTTTGATTAAATATAAGATGAAGAAAAGCTATAGCACTATAATTCATTAAAGTATAATAATGAAATAAATCATAAAAATTTAATTCTGTCCAAATGATTACAGCTTTGTAAATTAAATAATAATTAAAATTAATATGTTGATAGCAATTACATAACTTGAAACACACTGATTAGGATACATACTAATATTCCAAAAAAGAAAGTTTGAAGAATGATGATGTAGAAGCAGAGGATGATGACTATGATAATAATGGTGATGAGTTCCAGCATAGGAGAAAATACAGTAGAAATGAATTATTAAATAGAAGATGGTATAAATGAACTGACTATTGAAATCAATTCATTTGTGAAGTTTATTATATAATGTGAACATTAAAATAATATTGGAAAATATTTGGAAATGAAAAAGATTTTCATTTATATTAAATAAAATATATAAGTATGCTAAGAATCTTGATCAAATTGCAAATTACACTTTTTTTGAGTTTTTAGGTGCTTATGTCTATTATTATTATGCAATCTAGTTCATCTCTGCTTAAAACTTTTAAAATACATTTCCCTGTATTCCATGTTATGATGGCAATGCTTGAAATGTAACAAAATTTTGAAATTGTTGCTCTGATGAAAAACTTTGAAATGAATATTATTATATCGTTGAGAGCTAAGATGTTTTATGTGGTTCCTTCAAAACCCCAAATTAATGTTATTTTCTCTTTGGATATTCTTCTTCTGAATCCGACTCACTTAACATCTAAGGTTATTAATCTCCTTATTTTAAAGATCCTCGTTTAGATGTCTCGGGATGAGAGGTTTCATCATCGTATTAAAAAGTTTCAACCCTTTCCACTTTCTAACAACACAACCCATTTCCCATTAATTTTATTTTAATTAATACTGTATTAAATAGTAATGTGATATCCTCTATAAAGGAATTTAGAGATTATTACAATATTATTCTATAAATTATTACTTAATTAGAGTAGTAATTAGATAAATTAAGCATAATTATAAAAAGATAACTTAACATCAAATATTAGCACAATTTTATAAATTTCTATTGCACTTCAATATATATGATTACAATAAATATTACTTTAATTAATTAAAAAAACAAAACAAAACTCAAATATGTGACAATACACTACCATCTAATATTTGACTATATAATTGCTGACTTAATTGTTCATTCTTCTCTACTACTTCTTAATACTTTTGATATAACTATACTAAATAATCAATATCATACTTAAACATAATCCTATTGAGACTTCTTCGGTATTTTTAAAGTCTTTTTGTTATTAGTTGTTATGATCTTCTCTATTTACAATCTTAAACTATCCACTTCTAATGCAGAGGATCTAACTAAGTCTTTTAATTTAGCATTCTCCTACTCCAAATGAGTAATTGTTCCACTTAAATGTTTTATTTTTTGCTCATACAATGATTTGAATTATTGAATTTTTTATTGAATTAGATCTAAATCTACTTAATTGTTATTTTTTATTGTTAAATCCAAATTGTTCTTCTCCTCCAATTCTTGAATTTGTTGGTTTTTCTTTTGAATTATCTTTTTATATTCCATCTACATTCTATCAAAGCTTTCAATTTGGGTCCTAATTTAATCTTAATAATTTTTGATCTCCTCTTGAAGTGTATTATTCTTGAATAGGAGATCTTGATTATCAATTTATAACATTTATAATTGGGTTCTATTCTATCTTACTTGTTCTTCTGCCTTGATCATTTGTTAATAGTATTCGTTCTGGGATTAGGTTTCCGTCAACTGTTTTTCAATATTTTGTAAATGCTATCTTAATAAACTAATTTCATTGGTTTTTCCGTCATTATCATTGATTTTTGTATTTTCAATTTCTAATCTCAGAGTCTCGTTCTCTTACACCAATAAGGGTACCATTTAACTGTATTGAAGAATCATCTCATTTAACTGTTCAATCTATTTGAAATAAGATTCTGGGTATTGATTTGGGAATAATTGACTTAATTTTTCTATTTCCCTATCTTTAAGTCTACAAGTAATTTACAAGAATTCTATAAATTTAGCTTATTAACTTTGATTCAATTTGATTTTATAATCTAGTTACTGCATTAAATCCATTGCTTTATAAGTATCACTTACGAACCCTTTATTTAGAGCCAACCAGACTTAGTCATAATCAATAGATTCTATTTTTGCCTACGGGATAAAGGCCTGTAGTTATCTATCAGTTGGACAGATTTCATCAAGTGATTAATACAATTCAATGATTTTTGAACCATATATTTTAATCTAAAGAACCATTTTTTCGAAAAGTTCAACTTCTGTTTCGACATTCTCTTAAGGAAGGACAACTAAATTGGAGTTCACTTATTTGACATAATTCTAAATTTGATAAAAGTCTTCATCAAATTCAAGGTACATTGTATAAAAAATTTAAATTTATTATTGTTAATAATAAAAATTCACCATCTTTTTTTTTAATATTCAATACTTTCAAGTAACTGTTTTTGAAATAGTTTTTCTTCTTCTGTTAGATAATCAAATTCATTAGGCAGAATCGTTTAAGCATTGCGGTCTATTCTTTGCTCTTATTGATATGGCTTATTTTATCCAGACCCTTATTTTTTGGCGTTCTCCTCTAACAATTGATAAATTAATTTTTATTCCATAATTTAAGATTGTGTCATTTGCAGATCATCAGCATATATTGATTCTTGTAATGTTTTGGCAATTATACTATCTTGACTCGGAGGATAATTTTCAGGTTTATCATCAAATATTTTACCAAACTCATATTTAGCTTCAATTGGTTTTGTTTTTAATTCTCTTTATTATTAATAATCTTGGGGTTTAGAATCATAAGTGGATTTCTATGAGACTTCATTATATTTTCGTTAATATTCAGTTTGTTTCGGATATGATGAAGGGTTTGAATATGTGGCTTCTTGATGAGCATCAGGATTTCGCTAATAATAAAACTGATTGGTTTATTAATATTAAGGATTTTGAGTAGGACCAAAAGTCCTTTTGTCTTCTTTTCTTTCTTAAATATCCAATGGTTTTTAAACAACAGGTGCTCGTTAATTGTTTGTTTATCTTTAATCTCTACTATTTAAACCAATTTCAGGTCGTTCTTATTTTGTTTGACGATTTAAAAATTTATTCTGTTCTAAAGAAGAAGATGGATATTTGTTTGTTTAGTTTGAATATAGTACTTAATCCATTTATTAAGTAGGTTAATAAGTTTTAGTAATTTATTATGTTTAAGTTGTACCATATTTTTAACCTGATACATTTTTAGAATACATATCATAGTTACTTCTGTCTTGAGTATGTGGGAATCTGCTATCTAAGTTATCTTGACTACCTCGTTCCTATTAATACTTTTGAGGATTTTAAGATTGGGTAGAATATTTTTAATTTTAGTTCGGATTATTAGAAGGCTGCTTTATATTATTAGAGTATTAATAAGATTTTTAATCATTAGAAGAAGTAACTTCCTAAGTATTATTTATTTATTAAGTAAGTCTTGTCTAAATTTAATTATCTTATATATATTTCTTATCTCTTTCGTATTTTTCATCATATTTAGGAATGTTATGTTATCGATTTCCAATTTGTTAGTCAGAATTCTAAATTCTATCAGATTGTTATTTAATTTCTTAAGTTTGATATGTGGATCTTAATCCTTAAGTATTTTTAATTTCTTGATTTTACTTTGGAGCAAGAGCATAAGTTTCTTTGTTTCTGGAATTATCTGGGATTGGATTACTTGAATTATTATAATTATAATTATAATTATAATAATTCCCATCTTTTAGTTAATTTGTGGGAACATTTTTACTCTAATCTCCTCTTCTATCTAGCATACCGTACTGTTAGTCATTAGGATATTCTATTTTTTATGATTTGACAGGGACATAGCTATGTTCGATAGGTTATTGAGTTTGTTATTTGGGATAAGCTTATTTCTATTAAGTTTATCTTTTATATTGCTCATCGAAATTTAGGGGTACTATAGCTTGCTTCACTTCTTCTAGAGATGGAAAGTCATCTAGTATTTCTCCTCTTCCTAACTTATCGAATTTCTTTTAAACACAGATTTCCTGATGAATTTAAAAATCACTCATTTTGACATATTGTTTGCATGATTCACATTTTTCTGTTCTGCTACCGCATTGCATTTCGTGTGCTGTAAATTATCTTTAAGGAATTCCTAATTAACAATAAATACAAATTATGGGTGCTTCTTAACACGAGTGTTTGTTTAGATCTATAATATAAATATATAGAACACACCTTAGAACTCAAGTTTACAATGAGGACATTATTGTAATTTATGAAATTCTTCTTCATGTGATTCTGGATCATTTTGATCATACATTAAACCGCATCTAGTGCACTTAATGCAATTTCTTTCGCAATACATTTCATGCAACATTATCTTGTCCTCATCTATCTTCTTTCTACAAAATTAGCATAAAGCCATTGTTATATTTGATTTTTAATATTTAATATAATATTCATCACTGAATTTCATGTCTCTCTCTTAAATATTCTTTTAATGTGTTGTCTACACCAGATATCCTGATTTTCCACATTTTCCTATTTAATCACTTTTACACTTTGTTTCTCATTCACTCAACCTAATGGTAATTTAGCTTTTCTTTGGATTCTTCAATGATGCTCAAATAATTAAGAACGGATTATTCTAGATTTTGTCTTTGATCTGAGAGATCATTTTGTTCTTTGATGAGATCAATTGAAAATTACTACCAATTCAAAGCAGCCCCCTTTTCAAGATCTTCATCTATGCTTTTGGCATCCACAATTTGGACTTTCAATCCACTCAACAAGAGAAGTAATTTTTTGGCTTCGTCTGTGTTGCTTGCCAATTGGAACATCATTGTTATGATTGGTTGTAAGAGATGAGTAATACCAGAAGATTGCTAAGTGAGTCGATTTATAACTTTATTGAAACGGCCTAACCAGCGTTATTTTTCAATATATTTTCTTCAATTTCCACACTAACTTCAGCTATTTTATTTAATGCTCTTTGCAGATTCTCTGTGTTTTCCTTAAATGAAACCAAGTGTGTATTGATATCTCAAAAACTAGATTTATATCTGCACAATCTTTTGATTTGCTATCAGTTAACTATTATGATATGGATAATTGGATGAGAAATCATGTAATAATCTCTAACATTTTGTCTGTGTTTCCAATATAAAATTATCTGCCTCTTTCTATTCTTATTCAAGCATGAATCTATTATAGAATGATGGTTGGATACCTAAAGTTATTGAGATAGCTCTGAATCTGATGAATAGGTGGTGATCTACTTGCTAGGCCTATTTGCAGAGCATTTAAAAAGGTTTAGCCTAAGTGATGTTGGTCTATTTGGGAGAGGATCACTTTAAAATCAAGAGTTTTGGAACATGAAATGCACAGAATATAACCGATAATAAGAATCAATTTCATTATTATAAAAACGATTCATACAATTAATTATAAATAAAAATATGTTAAATCTTGAAAACATAGATTTAGTCAATAGCACTTCAGATCAAGTAAAAGTCATGAGCTATTCGTTCTTCATTTGGACTTCTATTTTTGCAATCATAAATCAAAGAGTCCATTTGAAGAATCACCCCAAGAAAGTCTAGGATGATATCAAAAACAGAATTGTGTCAATCATTCATGGTGCCCTCACCTTCTGGGCTGCTGCATACATAGTTTTGGGTAATAGAGATATGCATTTGCAGTTGAATAGCCAAGTTTCGGAGCAGCTAACTCCCAGACCATGCAATTTACAATGATAATTAGTGCGTCATACTTTGTCTATGACTTCCTTGCCTGTCTCTACTACGACCTTGCAGACATGTCCTTAGTCTCACACCATTCCTTAGCCATCTGTGGATATGCTGTGGCAACCTTTTCTAAATTCGGAGCTCCATCTTCAATTTGTAAGTCCTGATTTATATGTCTTAGGGGGATTGATGTCGGCTGAAGTATCCAACTTCCCTATGCACATGAGAGTAATCTTCAGATAAGTGGGATTGAGACATACCAAGTTGTATGAGGCTTGTGAATGGACCTATTTCGGTAATTCAATGATTTAAAAAGTTAGCTTTGTATATCATCTTCAGAGGTTCTTTAGTTCCTTATATGGTATGGAACACATGGCCAGAGAGTGAAGTTCCCTTATTGGTTAAGATTACAGCCACTGGATTGTTCCTATAATCAGTATACTTCATCTTCGAGTAATTCCACAAATAAATATTATAGGATGAAAAAGATTCTAACAAGATAATACTTCCAATATCAAGAAAGAAAGAAGAAGAACATCCATCATTATTGGTTTTAGGTTAATCCCAGAATTCAAGAATTATCATATATTAACAACTAAAAAAAAGACAAAGTGTTTTGAGTATCTATTTTTAGCATATATAAATTTAATGTTTGTAATAATTATCAATGTCTAAATTATATTTGCTACGTAAACTCAAGAATAAGTAGGGTTTCATAATGTTTAAATTTTAAGAGGGTAAAATTCACAATTAAATTAACTTAAATAGAATCACAAATTTAAATTCAAAACTACGTAAAAAGGGTTCAATCGAAACAGGTGTATATTCCAAATACACCTCCTACAATTCCAAATAATACAACTATTGTATTAATAGTCTGGTAGAGTGGTTTTAGTGCATAGTGAAACATCATGCCGTATGGGATTATGTATCCGAGTGATACACAACAAACACAACCAACTATTGATAGAACTATGGCGAAGTTAGGGTACAAGAATGCAGTTAGCTAATTTTAATTACATTTAAGTACCATTTAACAGAGCACGTAGATGATTTTCAAAGTGAATTTTTTAATTTTGTCAGGACTTAAATTCACTAAAAGATAGATTGGCATATTGACCATCAATATGTTGATAATCAAGATAGTGACATATCAAATCATTAATATTGAAAGAGTGATATCTATTGGATAATTTCCTTTGAATTCTTCCTGAAAGTTTGTAATGATTGATTGATCAGTTTCTGATTTAAACAATAATGAGCTTGTAATTCCGAATAATAAGTAGAGTATAGTTTCTAAAAACATTGCCATAAAGAAAAGTTTCTTAAATGATAAAGTATCCTCAATTTCAACTCTTATCTCTGTCAAAACCCCATTGATGTCATAACCAAAAATCATAATTCCAAATGCCATTATAATTTTCTTTGCGTCAGGTTCAACCAAACTCCACTTTTGATATTATACAACAGCCAATATTGAGAGGTAAGCAAATAAATTGTAGACCAGCACCAGGGCATATTTCAAAATGGGGGTAAACATCTAAAGGTCTTTGCCAAAAGAAAACCCAAAAATTATCATAAACAAGAACATAACCAATTTACACCACAAAGCGTTATCAAAGTACTCTCCTATTGTTGTTTAGGACAATATGATGTAGGACAACCCACATCAAAAATTCAAAAGGATTGACATCACTTTAGCCAATACGTAGATCCAACTTCAATTTCCGTAAACAGATGAAAGATACTCAATAAGAGAATGTCGTTTGTCCTCTCCTAAACAATTTACCTTTGTACACCATGATTTATATTACGTTGCGCAAATTAACAATTACAAAACAACACCCCACAACAGACCAGCTTAAGAATAGGCAAAGGGTATAGCGAATATTCATGATCCTAATGTGACCTTGATTAATTTAGTGGTGGTTTAAAAATTCGTTGATCTCGGGAGGGGTTGTTCATCTGTAATTAAAAATGGTTTAATGAATTATTATAAATACTAAATGTTTTATATAATTATGTAAAAATGGGGAAATGATAATAACCAGCCTACTTTTGAGTAGACACTCAGTTCGGATTCTAAAATGTATATATATATATTAAATATAAACAGACGTTTAGTATTAATTCTACATTGAGTATTGTATACTTCTCATAAACTATCATTCTTGTTTGCCATTTAAACATTATAAAAGTAACATTCCTAACTTATACTTAATCTTCGTGTCCTTTCCTCTTATATCATCCCTTCACATATCCTAAATGTATATTCAATGTACTTATTATTCTTCTGACATTTTTCTGCTTCTGATCTCCAATCTCACTGAATCTTGACTCAAATAAGCCAAGCAATTCAAAAATCCCCAAAAACTCAAAAAAGCCAGAGAAATAGAGGTCTATGTCAGTCCAATCTAAGACATAAACAGACTCTAGATGTCTTCTACTGTAAAACTCAGAGTGCAAATAAATGTTATTATGGGAAATGACAGAATTTGTTTAATTAACTTTTTTACCTCGATGTAGATTTCCTGTTTTTCTTGATCATCCTTTATTACATGTTTTATCCTATTCAAAATGCTCAAACTATAAATCAAGTATAAACTTATTGGAATAATCCAAAGAATCAATTTTTAAATATTCAATTGCATCTTTTAGAGTAATGGATCGGTCTGTATATTATAAAATAAACAAAGTTGAGAGTTCTTGGAATCATAAATTAAAGCTGTCAACAATGGATATGTTAATAAGAGTAATGGAAGGCCAAAAGAATATAAACAAAACTTCATCTCCAATTTAACTAGCTTGTTAAGAATATCTCTGATATCCATGAATTCTGATGAATTCTAATTATTAAAAACCATAAACAACTATGTCATTGATGAATTAACTACTTATTTTATCGAATATATCAAAATTGAACTCCATATTATTGAACTTAACCCTCCATATAATCTAAACAATCCAAATAATGTACAATTTAACTCATCAAAGCTCGATCCCAGAATCCCTATGGTCTATTCAATAAATTGATATTAATTAATGTACCTATATAATACCACCGATTGTGAGATAGAGGATGATTCTAGGAATTAGCCCATTTCGAAGTTTGGTAAAATAGAAAAAAAGTATTACTATTATCATCTATCCAATTAAGGATAATGTGGCACTTGATATTATTGCAATATGATTAGTCATATTATATAATAAATTTATTAAAAAATTACATCGAAAATTAAATAATTAGCTTTTAAGAATTCATATTAACAACTGTTTATCATGACATATTTGATCATAATACTGCATTATCGAAATTCTTAATTTATAATAGTAATGAATTAAAAAATAATTTTACTATAAGAGATAAGTATATGAGAAGGTCAACTTGAATACTCAACTTTCAGGCTAGTTTATCGAGAATAGTTTTAAATATATAAATAATAATTTTATAATGAATTTCACTTTAGAGGGAAAACTCAAAATAGATTAATTTCTATAAATACTCAAAATCTTCTCCTTTCCTATTATTATATGTGATGATGAAAGTATTTAACTGATTTTAACTAAAAGAAATTCAATTTTCAGAAATACCGGAGAATTAAAGATTTAATGAACTCAATAAATCAGATAAACCTGCTGGCTTTGCATAAATAAATAATGATTTCTTTAATGAATATTAATCGTAAATTAGAGAAAATCATCTAAAATTTGCAGAAACAAGCTGTCTAAACATTAAAATGTAACAAGATGTTTGCTTATTAAATTCTTAATTGAACTATGTTTGCTGTCAAATTCCAATTGATATTATATATAAAGCACTCAAACCATTAGCTAAATCTCACATAAAGGTTTTAAAATTGTCATTTACTTATTTACTTATAGAAAAAAATTATGATACCAAGTTAATTTAGTTGCATTTTATTGTAGGAGCCTATTCAGAAAAAGGTTTCTTTACGATTATGAAACCTGTTAATATGCTTCAATCTAGAGAAATAGAACTGCCGAATTTAAAAAATAAATTAATTACAATAAATTATGAAAACTGTAAAACTATCACTCAGCAAATGAAAACATATCCAATTGGAATGACATGCAATGTTGATGAAATATCCTTCTCTCCGTTATCCGTAGACTCAGAACAAGTGGATATTTGGTCAGGAGCATTGCCATATTATAATTCATCTTTTGTAGAAGAAATATATGGTAATCTAAGTATTTAGTCTATCTATGCTAAAACATATAATCCTGTTCTGAATTACAGTTCGAAAGTTAAACTTGATTGCACAATCTACATAAGTCCAGCTGAAAATGATTCGAAAGCAGCCATTTTATATTTTGTTGCTAGTGAATCGAATGTGATTATTTGCAATAGGTAATAAGTGATAACAAATGATGAATCAAAATAATAAGGCAAATTGTTTTAGGATATTAGTGAGGAATTACTTGAAGACATAGAACAAATTAGTAGCCAATTCGAGAAAAAGTTCTCATAAATCTAAATAACTACGAATGTTAAGGACAATTACAATAGTGGTTATGATAATTAAGCTGTAAAAATGGCATATTCAGCTGTTGATGAAAACAATAGTAAAATGTATAGTACAATCAATTAGAAGGAGCCTTTATTGTTTATCCCACCAAAAGTCACAGGATCAATCAATGATGCTATTTTAGACTACATGACCAGAAATTCTTGTAAATAAACCACAAGCTCTTTACCAAGATACAAATCAAATTATCAGAATTGAATAATAGATATTTTTAATTAAATATAATAATATATAGTTTTCTAAGGGATTAGAAGTGGGATGAATAGAATAAAAATGAACTAATATTCTTGCGACTAATAAATGTAATTCTAAAAATTAATTATGAATTAAATTATTATAATTGATATCAATAGATTTATAATTGAATTTGAATAATATAGCAAAGAGTATCTGATTTTAACTTATTTGTTGATTTAACCAGGGATTTTATGGTAATCGAAAAACGATTTCCAAAATTTAAGAAATTTGAATCAAAGTATTGAGATGATTTTAAAAAATAATATTACTAACTAAAAAACAGAATTTTAGAAATATAATATAATTAGATCAAAAAGTAGAGCAGATATTCCAACATCCAGTATTGGATTTATTGTTTGATTATGTTTGAAAATTAGGATTGCTAACATCAACATTATATATCTTCCAGTTTTCAACGATGATAACATCATCATTTTATTTAAAAGAAACAGTGAATTTCTTCTTGGATTCATCTTATAATTGCTTAGCTTCCAGTTATCCTATGCTTGCACTAGGTCCAAACGTATGACTTTTCCTACTTAGTCTTTAACAACTTTGTTAATGATGTTGTTTATCTGAATCCATTTCGATTTTTAATTATATATATATAAAATGCAAAAAAGACATCAACTAAAATAATGAATTTGAAACAGGACAGGTCCTATAACAATCTACATACCTTCATGTAGGACATGACATCTGCTTGGCAAATACAAATCATATTGTTATTGATTAGCTAACATCACAAATGTACCAAATTAAGTTGGATCCAAATGATTTGATTCTTTCGGTTAGATTACCCATTATTTATTTTTAAATTTTATTGAGCAATGTTCCTTTTATAAAGTACCATCCCGAATTGAAATTGAACATGTCTTACCACAACCCAAAGTATATTCTTAACTGGGATTGAGAGTGAATTCCCTTCCTTTCATTGGACCTCCAATAAATTCAAGTATCAAAGTTGGTTCCTCATCGTGCTATATTAAATTAATCTTTCTCTCTCTGTAATCTTATACAGATTTATATTGATTTAACTATTTAAGGAGATCAGGTAAAGAATTTTTGAGACTCTCCTAATTAGTTGAAATTTGACTTGAAAATTTTGGAATTGGCTGTATGTACTTTATTTAAAATATGGTTTCTTGATTGAGTTTTATAATCATATATGCATCTAAAATTAGTGATTATTTAATTCTTTAACAGGTCCTGAATGACTTTGAATTGTCTTTGATTAGGAACAGATTGTTTGGAGTCCATATTAACTTAGCATGAATAGGATTCACCTTTAAATCATTCAAAATTTAGAGATCACAGTTCTGTCCACTCCCAATAGTAAATACTTCTTCTTATTTTAAGGGAAGATTATTTTAAGTAGTTCTGGTTATTTGTATATCTCTGAATTAATCTGGATATCCATTAGTTATGTAAAGAACCTTTAATTAGATACATCTCAAAGTCTGTTTAGGAATCTGAAAAGATTGAAGAGTAAACTGATGTTTGAATAATGCTTGTCGTTTAGACTATATTTTCCAATACTATGCATAAATTAATAGAAATACAATCTCATAGAATATTATGTAGTCTCCTATTTTAATAACATTTCTATAATCTGGATCTATAATCTATTTGATGAATAGCAATTAGTCGTCATCCAATATTATTGATCCAAACTATTGTATAAACTTAGAGAATGATTCACTAAACTCATCCCAACTCACTTCTATTTGATTATTGAAATACTTCTCCCAAAATAAAAAGGCTGAGTCCATATAATTTTTAAGTAAAATAAAATTAAACATAAGAACTCTCAAAATCACAATAAAATTCATTATCCTGAAAAGCTCAGTCTTTTAAAGTTCTTCATTACCACCTCAACTTCAATTATTACTCTTCCGTTTGAAATACTATTTAAAATCTTTCTCCTTGCAAAGTCTCCCTTATCAGTTGTTAATGGTGCCAACGTGGTCAGTCTAGGCAGATTTTCCATGTAAAAGGACAAGGCCTAAAATCTCCAGTCTAAGGATCGATCAAATTTTGAGAATTAATCTGTATTAGTTGCCAAATCTTCATTAGGTTTTCTTACTTCAAGATCTAAATTCTCTCCAGTTGGAGTCCATGTTTCACTAAATAGATATTATTGATACCATGTAATCTAATGATAACCAGCACTTCTTGGAAATAATGCAGTACCATAACTACAAGCATCTATTTTATTTGATGAGTCTAATCTCCACACTTTTAATAAAGCTTTAGGCCATCCAATTATATTTGATACTGAAAAGTGCAAATCAAATGGGTGACCCCAAGAGAATAATTATCCTGGCTAATGAATATATATAATTGATATTTTTTACATTTGCATAACTTGTTTGAGTTTGAATTCCTTTATTGTTTCCTGGTTGCAATAAGTCCCATCCATCTCCACAATCTATAGCCAATTCACAAAATAATCCATCATCTGTTTGAAAATCAAGACCACCCACAATCTATCCTATGAAGTGTACTTCTGCCTTTAAATCAGCCTTAGTTTACTTGATTTCTTAATAATCTATTTGATTTCCTGTCTATTGATAAGGCATACTCATTTTCAAATTTTATAATATTAAATATAATATAGATCAATACTAAAATATTATTCGTCAGCTCTGTAAGGAGTATTTAAAAATAGTACTTTTTCTGTTATTTATATTAATATAACCTATGCTAATAGAAGAAATTAAACTTATGCGAAATATAATCTGAACAAATATGAGTTTCTAGATAATTCTGGTTGAATTTAAGAAGGAATTTATTTATTAACTGAGTTTTTAAGTCCAAAAGAATTTGTGATGCACATTTCATTATTTATTTTTGAAAATATTATGTGTGATTAAAAACGAAAAAGACTACTTACCTATGACGATATGGATAACTAAAATATAATCCCTAGAGCACCTCTCATTAAGTACATTTATTTTTTATATAATCAAGACCATTAAAAGATTCTTCCATTTTAATACCAGAACTATAATTAGCTTATGAAACCCCAAATTGCTTTAAGAATCTGCCACTCACAATCATCCCTGAAGATGTCAAACTAGAAGGTTTCTAAATTCCATCAGTGGGCAAACACATTAAAAAGAGACAAAGATTTCAAAGCGAGAATCTTCGTCCCACAGTCATCAGTATGATGGAAAGACAATTATTAAATAGAAATTCTTCTAAATTGTAAATAGAAAGCCATAGATATTGATTTAATTGATAACTCTGTATATTATATTAATTTACATTTAAAATTATTTAAAAATTTAAGAATCACTCTAATGTTTATACTTTAAATAATAATACATCTATATATTCGTTAGTTTTTAGACTTTGCCATAAATAATTTATGATTATTAATTCATAATTATTTATATATGCTATTGACATTTCCAATATATTATCCTTCATATTAATCTTTATATGAAAATAAGAATGGCTCTCTAATAATAAAGTAGGGGAATTATCAATAGCAACCAAATTATTGAAACACATCATAGCATACTTGCTAAATTAACGGAAGTATACAATTATTGTCAATTCTAATTTATAATAAATTGAGTTATATATCAAAATTCCTTGATTCTCATCCCCTTCATTGTTCAGGCTATAAATTAGATTGTGACTACCGGTTTCCTGTAATAAAATTAGCTAATAGAGTTCTAGCTTGGAGTAATGTAGTTGGATCTTCAAAATTTATTCTAGAACTTAAAATTCTTAGATTTCCTTAGTTGTCTTTTTCATTACTTGTACTCAGAGGGTATATTCTCACCGTATGTGCTGCTGATTTCATATAGTTTGGGTAATATAATAATTAATATAATTGATGTGATAAATTTCGCTCATTTTTTAGTGAAAAACTTATTAAGGATTCTAAAGATTTATTATAATATTTTCTAAATTATAGATAAAATAAATTCTAAATAATAGTTGAGATATTTTACTAAATTTAATTATTATTCTCTTAGCTTTTAATATTGAAATACAAGGTATTATTGTTAAATAAAGTAATAATGAAATTAATCATTGATTATAATTATTTTAAATTAACAATTAATTGATATATTCTAATATTATAGTGAATATAAATATAAATACATGAAAAATGTTTCAAAATAGTATCTAAAGTCAAAACTTGTTTATGATATTATTTTAATAAATGTGAAATTTGTGATTTAGAAATTATGAAGAAAAACAATAAATTTTAAAATTATAACTAGTAAGTAAGAAAATTTGAAAGTGTATTACAAGTAATAATCATTGTAAATAAATAAAATTATGGGAAATGAATGTAAATGCTTACAAGCTTAGGAAGAACCAACTTAAATATTGATCACAAGGAGTGAGAGATCAAACGGCATAAGGAAATAATTAATTAGCGAAAGGAAACTTTTAAATTAAAGAAGGCATAATACTGAAACAATATATCAGTCAACCAATAATTGTTATCAAAAATCATCAAAGTTTTCACACAGAAACGAAGCACCTTAAGGATAAAATTGTTACTTCTAAAGCATTAAGTCTTATAAAGAGTTTAATTCACTTTAAACTCCTTATCAAAAATTTGAACTTAGTTAATCGTTATAACAATAGAATACAGAGAAGAAAAAGTCTGATAGTAATTTGCTCTATGATGGAGATTGGGTAATTCAATAGATCATAATAGTTAGGAGAGGTTAGAGATGGTTTTGGCGAATAAATTTGGAAGGATGGAGCACGGTATATCGGAGAATGGAGAAACAATTAAGCAAATGGTTATGGTATATTCTACCATGTTGATGGGGATATTTATGAAGGTTTTTGGAGGGATGATAAAGCACAAGGATATGGAGTATACATGCATAAAGATGGATCTAGATATGAAGGAGATTGGGATTAAGATCTATATCATGGAACTGGTTGTGAAACATGGGTAGATGGAAGCAAATATGAAGGACAGTACTCAAAAGGCTTGAAAAACGGTTAAGGAATATACAGATGGGCTGATGGCAGTAAATATGATGGATAATGGGAGGATAATAAAATGAATGGTTTTGGCAAATATACATGGGCTGATGGGAGATATTATGAGGGTTATTGGAAAAATGATATGATGCATGGAACTGGTACTCAAATATGGCCTGACGGAAGAAAATATGAAGGTAATTATGAATTCGATGAAAAACATGGTTTTGGGGTAATGGAATGGAGCAACGGAAAAAAATATGAAGGCTATTGGTTAAATGGTAAACAGCATGGAGAAGGTAAATTAATAAGTGCAAATCAAGAACCAGTAGTATACTAGTGGAGAAATGGTTAAAGACTATGAAAATTATTGATGTAATTAATTATATTATTCTAAATATTGAAAATAAGACCTTCTTTTTTATTATTATAACCAAAAAATATCAGACTTTCCTATTCAGTACAATTTATTCATTAAAAAGTATAGAATTATATTATAAATAGCTGGTTTTTGTAACCTATTTATAGAATTAATTTGAGTCATAATTCGAGAGATGATAAATACGTAATTATTTTGTAGAATAGGTCGAATCCAAGACAATTATTATTGATATGTATCATAAGTATATAAATGGAAACAAAAAACATTAATAATTCATCAATTAGATCTGTAAGAGCTTTAGTTATTATTATCCCATCCTCTAACCGAAGGTAAAACGACTAAGTTTGCGAATTTAAGAGGTTCAAGATTTAGATTAGACATTTTTTTATTATTACGAAAATTATTAGGCTTCGCATCTTTTGAAATTTCAGGAATCCTATTTCTAATAACTTCTGATTTCATTAATTTGAGTTTAAAAATCTTCATTTCTTCTTCTTATTTGAGATGAGTTTATGGCATTTATAATTTGATAGAGAATTTCGATTCTTTTTATTCATGACAATTTTCTTTCTATGATTTAGATTCCCTTCTATTTTTGAAAAGCTTTTTATCATATAAATAAAGATTTCTATATTTTTATATTTAACATCTTTATGAATTTGGTTGTCTAAGAGTTGAAGGGTGATCTTAGATAGAGTTTCTTCTACATGATAATTCTACTAAAATTTTAAGATCTTCAGTTTAATTTCTATCCTAGATTGAATACAATCTATTTGGACGAGACAGTATGGTGTTTCTTCTTGAAAATGACTCCTATCTGTTAAAATTCATGAGAGAAAAATAATAAAATTAATTAGTCATAGTAAAATTGGTATATATAGAACTAGTCATTTTATCTTTCTAATTATGTTATAATTGGTCCAATGTATATGATAGAATTAAATTAATTGTCATTATTGTTATGAGAATTAGGGATATGTTTTATCACATCTGACTGAATTCTAGGATATTCTGAAATTCATAAATTGATTTTGGGTGGTTACTTACATAATAGAATGTTGATAGATGGTAATTTTTAGAATTTCTATAATATTCTTAATGGATCACTTTAAGTTGATTAAGATTATTTTTTTAAAGAATCTCTTAATAAGAACTTGTATAGAGTTTTAATCAGATAGAAAAAAGCTAAAGCTGCCAAAAACATAGACTAGGGAGAATCAAATGAATAAGCATTTTGTTAATTATTTTTCTTGAATAAGTTAAGGGGATTAATTATAAAAAAGTGATATAAAGTTATGAAACCTTTAAATAAAAATGTTTAAGTAATTCACAATTGGCATGATGCTCCAGTTAGAGTGAATCTGAAAAAATATTGGAAAAAGAATCCTCTCGATTACATTTAATTACCTAAACCTTATTCACAAAAGAATAATTAATGACTTCGTTGAGGTTGTCAATAAATGTAAAATGGTATTGTTGAAACAGCCGATCATTTTCAGATGGCATCCTCAAATATTTATGATTGTTTTGCTGAGTTTTATGGTCCTGAAACCATAATCAATAAGAATTAGATAGAGTTTTAGACAATGTCAAACCTGAATTTAGATACATAAAGGCAATAGCACATCAGAATCTAAAAAAAATACATAGCCTATTGAGAAAGTAAAAACAAGAAACACAATATGTTTTGCAACCATTTAAAATAATGACTAAAAAGGATAAAATGTTAATATTAAGTGACCCAAAAAATGCTGATATTCTAAAAAGAGATTCCAGATAATCAAGAACAGAAACTATTACTAATCCTTCTGGAGAAGATAATTTAAATCTTAATATAAAATAATGATACAAAAAGAACATGAATGAGAATAACAAAAATAAAACATGATTTAAGTTATATTGTTTGATAGTTAATTGAAATATTAAGACGATGACTATGTAAAATAGAATATTTTCAAATCAAATATGAAACATACTTACACTCCTAAAAATATTGATAACAATTATTATGTTAATAACTTAAGACATTCTAATTAGGAATCTGTGAATTTAATACACCATCCCACTTCAAAACAGCTATCCATAGTCGTCACCTAAGCAATTATATATCTCCTAATGGTTCTCAAGATCCCTTTATAGGTTAAGACACTATCAAAGAAAATAAGCATAGATCATAGCTCATTCATGAAAATATTAAAAAGAGATCGTATCGCTCTTTTAAAGATGTAATAAACCATCCTAATGCTCTTGAAATTAGAAATATGACTGAAACTAAGCAATATACAAGAACATCATCCTAACCTATACTAATGTGATGTTATAATTATCATTTTAATTTAATTTACAATTAAAAAATACTTATTTTCATAATATTTACAGGATTATCTTAAGTTTTGCTCTTTATAAATGAAAAACCAAGCAAACACTTAATAATTATGTTATAAGAAGCTTATTTTATTTGTGTGAGTGCCCAATGCAAGCAGGATAGAATTTTAAACGATTGGGAATCAATTGTGGCTCATCAAAATGAAGGCCATGAGGTATTGGAGAAAGAAGATTTAATTAATACCATAAATACAAAATTAAATAAGAAGAAAGCCACTTTGCTTTAAGATTTATTGGCTAGAATCCACAAAATAATGATTAATCAGGAGGATGCCTTAATATCCTTAATAAATCAAACATTTTTTGAAACCTATAAAAATTGGAAGGAATAAATCTAATCATATTAATAATATCAAGATTACCTACTTCCGAATCAAATTGATGAGGATACAAAAATTTAGAAATTAATTGATGTATATTAAAATTTGGATAATGAATAACTTCACTTCTTCAAGGATTGTTTATATTAGACCGAACATTAATATAATGAACTATAGAAACAAATTAAGATGCATTTTGTCAAGACTGAATAAGAATTAAAATTACTTCAATAATCTTTGTTTAATTAAATAAAAGAAAATAAAAGATAAAGGGAATATAAATTATAACATAAATTAAATGATAACAAAATCCTAGCTCATCAATAATATGCTTAATAACAATCTATCCCAATATTTTAAAAAGATAAATTATTGACTAATACAATTGAAAACAACAACATGCTAAAAGAAATTTAATTAAAATGCGATTTTCAAATCTAAAAAGATCCCCTTAATTTAGGAGACAACAATTAACAGAGAGACCAACCATAGAAGAATCACTATATTCATTAAGAAAATGGAAATGGTTTAACAACTAATATCAACAATAATAAATTAAATGACAAACCCCAAAAATATATAGTATTAACTAAATAAAAGGATGTCCGTAAAAATCAACACTTTGAACAATAATCATCTCTGAAATAAGATTATTATGTACAATCTTAAAGTCCAAATTTATTATCAGAACCCTAAGAAATTCAATCAACAGACAATATTATTAGAGCTAATTCAGCAAAGTAAATAACTGATATTATCCCTTAAAATCAACCATTACCCTTAAGAGGGTACAAAGATAATTAGCAATAATATTAAAATAATATTATTTAATAGAATACTCAAAATATGAATAGTAAGATCATACCCCCTCCTGATTAATCTGTGAACAAAACTAATGATATTGTTCATGAATTAAGCTTATCGCCCCAAAAACCTCCACCTTTAAAGGGTTATAAGGATAGGTAAACTGAAGAATAAAAAGTTATAAAATTGGCAAGATCTAATGATAAAAGAAATTACTTAGATACTGATTAAATCAAAGAAATATAATAAAACACATCTAAAAGATTCGATATTGATAAATCTGAAAAACATATGAAATACTCCAATAAATTTAGCACAATATTTAGTATAAAAGAGTGTTTTGCAGTTGTGGAAGGTGTTTTTAAATTAACAGAATAGAATTAATTTCATATATATATAAGGTCTTCAGTGGAAAATTACGAGATTGAAGCAGGAATGATTAACTTAACTTAAATAAAATAAAAATAGGTATTTCCAAAGCTTTATGGTCTCAATGAAAAAGGAGGTAATGCATTAATTAATATTATTAGAATGTTTATCAAGCTAAACAAAGACTACAATTAAATTGCTTTTGAATTGTTCCTACTTGTTCGCATTTAGAAAAGAGGAGAAAACTTTAGTGTGTTTAGATTTAATGAAAAACATCTAATATGCAATACAAATACCAAATGATGAAAATTCTGATTATGTGTTTTTCATCAAGATGAGCAACCTAGAAGTTTAACTTATTTGAATTATACAAGTATCTATAGAATATTAATCAAGTATATTTATTAATGAAACTCCTATTCCTCTAATATTATGATAAAAAAGAGAAATTTTAAAAATTAAAAAATTTGATCGATAAATGTAAAATTGTATTTGATTTTGTCAAAATTTATTTGTTTTTTTAAATGAACTACTATGCTCATCAATATCCATGATTTTAGTAATACATTTCTATGATTTTTTAAGTTACTATTGTAACGAATTATTTTTTATGAAAGCTGAATTAATTTCAATTAATTAATGAATAACTTTAGAACAGGAATAAAGGTATGTTTCTGTTTTAAAGAGATAGTTTGGGAAAATCAAAGTACTCAATGTGGCAGAGAAACCCTCTGTAGCCAGGTCGATAGCAAACGTGCTTGCTCGTGATCACACAGTAGAAGAAACCCAATCTCCATATAACAAATTATTCAAATTCAATTTTAAGTTTGGAGACTAGGAGGTTGAGATGTGGATAACATCAGTTACAGGGCATTTAAAGAGTCTGAGATACCCTAAGCAATATTAGAAATGGGATTAGTGGGATCCCATCATTATATTAAAGGATGCAGAAATTGAAAATATAATTCCTAATGAAAAGAGTATTGTAAGATACTAAAAATAGGATTTTTGGAAGGGAATTTAAAATAATTTGCACGGGAATGTAGTCAATTAATTCTGTGGTTAGATTGTGATAGAGAAGGTGAAAATATAGCATTTGAAGTTCTGGAGGTTTGTAAGGATTCAAATCCTTAAATTTAAGTACATCGAGCTCATTTTTCAGCAGTCACCTATATTGATATTAAGAAAGTAGTTTATAGTCATTATATTATATTTTAGGCTTTGGATAATTTAAAATAGCCAGATGAAAATTTATCTAATTCTGTACTTGCTCGATAGGAAATCGATCTTAGAATAGGAGCATCTTTTACTAGATTTCAAACTCTACTATTATAATAGCAATTTCATTTGTAATCTGTCATTAGTTATGGTCCTTGTTAAATTCCAACATTAGGATTTGTAGTATAAAGACAAAAAGAAATTGATTCATTTGTAAAAGAGAAATTTTGGTTTATCTAATGCGAAGATTAAACAAAATGTGGGTATAATTGGAGTAGAGGCAACATTTTTGATGAAATGATTGTATTAATATTATTTGAAAGATGTTTTACAGAATAAGCAAAGATAACGGATGTTTAATCTAAAGAAGTTCAGAAATGGAAACCCTACCCTTTATCAACCATAGAATTTGAAAAATTGGCTTCAAAAAAGCTAAAAATATCTGCTCATAAAGCTATGGAATTAGCTGAGAAATTATATAATAGAGGTTTTATTAGTTATCCAAGAACTGAAACCAATAAATTTCCACCTACTATTAATTTATAAAATATCATCAGAGATCAGGTTAATCATCCTGTATGGGGAGAGTTTGCATAAAGTTTGATTAATTGCAACTTTGATTAACCAAGAGCAGGTAATAAAGATGACAAAGCCCATCCTCCAATACATCCAGTTAAAATGATGCGCGAATCAGATGCCTAAACATAATAAGAATGGGAAATTTATTAATTAATTACAAGACACTTCTTAGCATGTTGCTCTAAGAATGCTAAAGGCTCTGAGACAACAGTTAATCTTTAAGTTTAGGAGGAATCCTTCTATAAACAGGGATTGGTGATTCTTGAAAAAAATTATTTAGAAATTTATCCCTATGACGAATGGTCATAATCTTAAGTACCAAATTATAAAAAAGGTGATATGATATAAATTACACTAAAAATTCAAAATGGTAAAACTTCTCCTCCCAAACCTATGACTGAATCTGAATTGATTGGATTGATGGATAAAAATGGTATAGGAACTGATGCCACAATTCATGAACATATCAATACAATTTAAGAAAGAGAATATGCAATAAAAAAAGGATAAATTATAAAACCAACTAAACTCGGGTTAGCATTAGTAGAATCCTATGAAATGTTAGGTTTTACATTGCATAAACCACACTTAAGAGCTGTTATGGAATAAAGAATGAATGAAGTAGCATAGGGAACAAAATAAAAAAAATAAATAGTTGAAGCGACAATAGCGGAGATGAGTGATATTCTAAAGCAACTTTAAGAAAAAAGAAGTTAGATTATATCTACATTTGGATAGTATTTAGAAGCATTAAAAGATTATGATGAAAATAATGATGATGATAATACGTAGAATAGAGACTTAACCTAACAAAATTAATAAAAATAAAAAAAAAATAAAATACCAAAAAAGCAACAATAATACCAATAATAATAATAATAATAATAATAATAATAATAATAATAATAATAATAATAATAACAATAATAGTAATAATAATAATAATAGTAATAACAATAAGTATACTAATAGAATTATTCGTAATTCTGTAATATATGTGGTACATAATTAGTTGAAATTAAATAAATTAATGGAACATTCCTAGAAATTTGTTTAAAATGTTGTTTAGGTTAAGAAAAATCTTAAAATTTTAATAGTATATAGAATTATCAACCTCAATCTTAAAATTATAATAGTATGTCTAATTTTTAACCTAAATCTTAAAACAATAATACATCTAATTTTCAATAAAAATTTTTCAAAAGTTCAAATTTTGAAGAAACATTTAAATGCAACTAGTGTTAAAACTAAATGAAAATAAGATAATCCAAATTAAAGAATTCCTATTTTTTTGGTTGTCTTGGTTATCCTTAATGCAATTAAGCAATATTTTTACCTGATTACATTAAATCTATATAGAGAACAGATAAAAAATGTAGAAAATGTAATTCGAATATATTTCAAACTGAATATTCTGAAAATTCAACTTTTTAATAAAAATCTCAATTACTTTGTTTATATCCTGAATGTTCTGAAGGTTTCAAGACAGAATGGAAAAATTAAAATAGAGAATCACAATAAACACATTTAAACAATTCAAAATCAAAATAGGGCTTCTTAATGAGACAAGTTTAATGCAAAAAATGTAATTAGTTTGGACATTATGAGGATGTATGTAATATCAACAGTAAAACAATCCCTTCTTTAGCGGATTCTAATTAAAAAGAAAAAAAAGATAAACTCTGCCCTTCATGCGGTATCACAGGAAGGCATCCTAAAGGCTCTGATTGCCCTATGAAAAAGGTTAAGAAGAAAATTTAATGATCTCAACTTAATTCATTTAAATTTATGAAGTAAAATTATAGCTTCAATTACTTTCATCAATCGGTATCGGTATTCCAAATATTCTGGGTGTTGTTAGCAAAATTCTATGGCTAACAGAGCAGCATCTGTTTTATCTTGTACTTCTATCAAATCAACCTTCTTTTCTTTAAACTTGATTGATATAAAAAAGTTTGGATTTTAGTTCATTCTATTTATTATTCTTCTAGAATTTAATTTAAAAAATACTTTTTATTAACACAAATTATTGTCAAAAACTAAAATGAATTTAGATGATCAAATGGAAAGATGTGATGTTTAATATTGCAAAAGAAGAGATTTCTTGCCTTTTAAGTGTACTTTATGCAATAGAAAATTTTGTTTAGAACACAAGGAATTAAAAGAACATGAATGTCCATTTTAATTTGCAGAAAGGAAAGCTCTTAAATGTAATTAGTGCAGTTAAGTTATAAATTACCTTTCTACTGAATTTGAAATCGATGTTTTGAAGTAACATGTCTGTTAGAAGATTAATATAGAAAAATCAAAATGTCCACAATGTAAAATCACATTAAATGACCTTAATAAATTTTATTGTACTTCTTGTAAAAGGTTAGTATGCTTAAAACATAGAATGAAGGATGAGCATGAATGTGATAAATATGGGAAATTTAATTACTGTAAACTTATGTGATTTATAAGTAATTTGTATATTTCAAATACTTAATGTAAATTTAATTGTCAATCTATTTGAACTCATAAGCATGACTGTTTCTTGCATTAATAATGATGAATTCTCTATGTTTAAAATCTGTAATTTATAATTTAAATTGATTCTTGAGCTATATAAAAAATTAATAGTTTAAATAAAAAAAGACCCTAAGCTTAAATAAATATCAATTATTATTTTCAACCTTTTCATTATGCAGATTATTTAAAAAAATACTTTGATAAAATTTATAGTTATATACATGCTAATCTCACTTGAATTATCTTCCTTCTGATTTATCTAGAGATTTAGAATAAAACTTAAGTGTATAAAATGAATTGCAGGGTTTTCTATTGATCCTTTATAATTTAGCTTAGTTTTTATTCATTGTGAATTGTAAATTATAAATAGCAGGTTATTTTTATGATATTATTTTAGTTTGAGGAATTATTGTTGTGATTTTTGAATTCTCGAATCTAAGGGGGCTCTAATTCCTTCGAGATATATTCCATTAAGACGCCTCGACTTCTATTTTGTGCTTAACCTTCTTCTTTGAAGTAAGTTATCAAATAAGCTTTTTCTCTCCCTTAAAGGAGTTTTTAGCATAAATTAATATATAATCCTATAGATTTTGAATATAGAAAAGGTATGTTAAATGAATTATTAGATCATTAAATAATGAATTTGATGAAAATTTGATAGGGACATCTCTTCATCTTAATGAACATATCGTTGCTACCCTGACTTAATGTAATATTTAATAGACTTAAATTATATTATATATATTTATGATACTTATATTGTTGGATTGGTGATATTAGTCATTGTAAAAGCTTAGAATGAAATCATCTATAGTGGTATCCTTAAAATTACAGATAAATAAGATATTATGGTGAATGAATTGAAATGAAACTGTTAAGATCAAACAACTAATTTATTTATGAAATCAAGTTAGATGAAAATTGGTTTACTCTATTAAAATTGAAAAAAATGTTACTACCATTGTCAATTATATTATTATCATTTCACCCTAAAGTTGAAGGCTTTATGGCCAGTTGAAGCTAAATTTATTAAAAATTTTCCACGAAATCGTTCAATGAAGCAGGCTCTATATGTAACAAATAGTTAAAATTCTAAATAAAAGAACGGTTATTTAAAACCAATACTAAAATAATTATGATAAGAATAAAGAACTCCTATTTAAGTCGATTAAAGAAAAAATAAAATAAATTAAATATGTTATCAATTCAATAAATAATTAAGTAGTTAAAATTCTGATGAGAAACAAATTCTGAAATAGATAAGAAATAACAGATAGTAAATGGATAACTTAAAATTATTTTTATTTTAATAGGATAAGTAGTCTTTGATCAACAATTCACTCAAGCAAAGAAATTTATACACTAGCAAATCTTTAAAAATTTTAACACTGTTGATGGCATTTCAATTCTATAAATTTAAGGAAATTTGGGTTTTCATACCTACTTTGAAGAATAGAGTTTAAAATTATAATTAGTGTTGAGAGAAACTAAAGAGATTAGAAAGTACAATTGAGTAATTATATTCCGAATAATAAATATCACAGGTTAATTACTAAATAGATAAATTACTGTTTCACCAGTAATGTTCGCAATAAAGAAGAAAATATAATCAAAGGAATAAAAAAGGCAGGTTAGGTATTTGCTCCATTGCTTATTTTTGATTAGTTTTTGGCTATGTGTAATTATGATAAAATATTAAAAAAAAGATCATTTATATCATTTGTTCATTAATCTATACATATATAATAGATATATATATCCTAAAAATCAAACCGCCAATTAAATCTTCATTTATTAAAACAATTAATAGATTTTCATTGAATGTGTATCATGTAGTTTATAAACTTCATTATGGATTTTAATTAGATCTACCTTCAGCTAATTAATTCTCTTGTTGCAAAACGTTTTCTGTAGCACAGTGCAAATTTCTGAAGCTACATGACAATATTTCCTTATTTTTATACACCTTTCATCATAGTCTCTCATTTAATTAGTTTCATAAACTAACAAGTATTTGAATTTTCCTATAAATTCGGAAAAAGTATTTTCATATTTTAAAGTCTTACAATGTCTTTAATGGAATTAATTATGATTGTTCTTGTACATTCTTACAAATTATTAACATTCTAAACAAAACATATAGAAATAATCATCATTTTCATTCTAAAACTTAGATTCAGATTTATTTTACTTTCTATCAATACACTACTCTTATTACTAATAATCATAATATCTATCAATATAAGATTGAAAACTGTGATTTTAAGATTAATATTAATCTATATTAATACTGTATTAAACTGATACGTTTTGCTGCTCTTGATGTTCTATGGTTTAATTAACTTAAGTTCCAATTGAGGATTTTGGTTTTTGAATTGGAATTGGTTGAATTGGAGTATATAGATTTAGTTTATCTTCTTTAAAATTGGTTTAGCCGTTCTTATTTTCATGAAGTTGCTCGAGAGTATTTTGTATGTAGGATGTTTTAACTAAACTCAATATGAGGGGCTGTGGAAAATGAGGTGGATCAAATATTCTTGGTCTAATTTTCTTAATGGTTGAGTTACATGGTTCTGCATTTAGAGGTATTATTTAATTATCTCTTTTTACAGAGATTTATTCATCTTGGAATTGAGAAAGTTCGACTAATTTTTGAGTTGAATTTAAGAAGGATCTTAATGATTGTTATTCTGTTAGAAATATTGTTCCTTCATGGAGAACAAATGGATTTGTAAATTTTTGCTCTTCAATTTAATCATACATCAGCTTAAATTTTTCTTTCAAACTCTCTTTGTATTTTTGAAGCGGATCTCTATGAGAAGATACAAATCTTGAATTGTTACTATATGTAGATTGAGAGTTATTCATTTTAGTTTGATTTTATTGAAATAAATATAATGATCAAAATCCAAAGTTTTTATGAGTAATTTAATTAATTGTATTATTATAAACTGATTATAGTGACTTACTATCCTAATTAACTTCCACAACATGTAATTCAATTCTAAAATCTTTTTAAAAGGTTTTACCAGATTTGTCCTATGTGAAAATATAATACTACTTTGCAGGCTTTATCCAACATAAATTTATCAATCATTAGGACACCCGTATAATCGAAGAAATCACAATTAAACCAAGCTTGGAAAAGTTTCTCACTTCTTCAAAATTAAATATAATATTTTTTTTATACCTAGACCAAAATCCTTAATTTAAAAATTGTAAAAGAACATCTCCTTATAGTATAATATCCTTGAGTTTGAATTCAATATATGGTTCTAACTTATATTCTTTAACAGGGAATTAATTTTTAGAATTGTATTCTTTGTCTTTATTTTAAATTCTAAACCAAGGAGCACAACCTCCAAAGACTTAAACATTTGGTACTGGAATCAATCTAATTTTGACTAATTCAACTTGTTTATTTGGCATATTGTCAGGAACCCACCTATTATTGAGAGCTTTTTCAAAATAAAAAATATATCTGATTTGAGAGGGGATGGTAACTCCCTTTAAAATTTGATAAAAAATTACTTTCTTATTTTTTGTCCTTATCATTCCATAATATCTCATTGAATCATAGGCATTAGTAAATTATTTTGCATAAAGCATATAACAGCATATCATGACACCAGTACGACCCTTAAATCTTAAAAATATGTAATTACTTTTCCAGCTTTGCAATGGATGCCTGCTACATTTTTTTCATGTGTTTTAAGCCAATTATCCTTATTGATATTTTAAGAATAAATACTAAATCAAGGCAGAATTCGTATATAAGAGAGAATGTAGGTGCTTGATGATCTTGGAACGGAAACTCTGCTACCTAATTAAAATTTGAATGATCATATTTTCTTTCTTCACAAAGATTGTATACTTTATAATGTCCTGGATGCACTGAATCAAAAAATCTTCTAACATCCTACATTGAATTTCTGTATATCGATTCTATATTTTCTGCAGGGAATCCCATGGCTATAATTTTTTCAGTGATATCTATACTAATGGTTATTAGTACATGTTAAATCTAAATTAAATCCATTGTAATTATATCTTCTTTTCTATTTGGAAACCAGTAACTTAATCGGATTCGGAACACTCGTTATATTCTAATGATTTCCACTGATATGTTGATTCACTTAATTGACTTCTTATCTCAGTTATTGGGTGCTAACTCTTTCTCTTAAATTAATTTCCTATCCTTTTTAATCATCTTAACTAATTCCATTGGCTAAAGCAGCAAAGTCAATTTGGGACATATAAAAATTGTAATTTTCAGGATCGCATTCATCCCCAGAATCAGATAGCAATTCTTCTTCTCCAGATGATATCTCATTCTATTTTGCCCTCGATTTTAATTCTTCTTATGTGGCACTATGCATTATTAATATTATAAATGACTATATAGTAAAGTGTATTGCTATATTTATATTCAATATATTATGAATTTAACCATTAGCAATTTCTTAAATTCAACAATTCAAACACTCATCAAAATTTGTGAAGTTTCATCACATCCTTTGGTTTTTATTTCATTGATCAATTTCATTATTTTACCCATAAGAATTGTATAAACACAATGGCTACATCCTTATTGCTAACTAAAACTATAAATAAATTATGAGTCTTATTTAAAACCTTTGAATATTTCTCTAACAACTCTTTAGCGACAGCCAATCCCTAAGAAAATTTGATCTAATAAATTTCTCAAAATAATCGAATGACTAAAAATTGATTTAAAATAATATGAATTACCATTCTTGTTTAACATAAGATTTGAAAACTAAAAGAAACTTTTTTAAGATGAGTGTAAATTGATAAATTTTTGCGTTTTTAATAGAATATTAATAGGGCTAATTAATGTAAGAGCATATTTAAATAGATTAGAAGTTTGTATTATTACAAATCTTAATGATTTTTTTAAACATCCAGTTTATAGGATGTCGCTTTTATACGATTTCACATAAATTAATTTATCCTTCAAGTAAATTAATAAAATAGAAAATTGAAAGAGAGTATATATATAAATCATACATTTTCGATAATATACATGTCAAAGGTAAACATATAATATTCTATGAATTTATGCTATTATCAGACCAACTAAGATCTCTAAAATATAAAATCATCAAAATCTATTATATTATGAAAATCACATAGTGTAAATTATATATTCGAAATATTTGTGGAAGTATCTCTTGAAAATCTCTGAAAATCTCTGTAAGTTATTTTCAAATACACTAATGGGTTGAATACATATGAATATTTCTATGTCAGAGTAAATCTAGTAAGAATGCAATTTGTATAAAATTCTAAATGAACAGCACCTCAATGATTTAATACCCTGTTAAATTATAAAATAAAGTTTGCCTTTCACTGAAAAGTGAATATCTTGGATGAAGTTTATAATGCTGTTTATTTTTATATTTTAGATACATTTTACGTTTTTCCATTTCTTAATGGAAAACTCTTAATCAGTTTGAGACTATTTTTAGACTGCAATAATATTTAGAACTATGCTATCATTCTATTTGAATACCATGAATATGGTGGTAGGGCGATTATTAGATAAAAATAGTAATCATGTTGATAATTTAGTTATGAGTTGAAGAAAAAATAAAAATAGTAGAAAACCGAATAGAGATGTTGTTGTATATATGTTCATTATATATAATAATAATCAGGCTGTGACAACGTCTTTTCTGACTGTTTCAGCAACAGCGACAGTCTAATCAACCAGAGCAGCAGCAACACCGGCAGAAGTCAAGGCACTTCTTAAATGTCCGATGACTGTTGTGAATTGGGCATTTGTGACTCCCATATTGGCATGGACATCTTTTAAGTTCTATTTTTATATCAATATAATTTTGTACTCTTCCTCCCCAAGCCTTTGGTCCTCCAAGAGCGGCACATAAAAATGAAGCTGTCTTGTTTGTTTAGTCAGCCATGTTGATTCCTTTGAAGAAGTTGGCAACTGTTGGATCAGCTTGGATGTTAGCGTAGAATTTAGTTGTGACTGCTGTGACGGCGGCTTCTCCTCCCAATTAATCAAAGAACACATGTTAGACAGTTATAATTAAGTCTCTTGTAAATGAATTTCCTGTTGTATTTCCATTGAATGGAGATTAATTATCAATTATTAAGAACCTAGCAATATTGATTAGCATCTTTTATTGTGTCTCTGTTTCAGAATTAATCTTGGATCATTCCTTCTATGATTTAATCTTTTTAAAAGACTTCTTTGACTTTCCAATAACTTCTAATCTTCACTAATCCATCCATGTTTCAATGCAGAATCAGGATGAGGTCTTAATGCCCAATCTTTTTAAAGTAATTGAGTGATCAGATCTTTGGCTTCTTCTGAAACTCCTTCAAATAATTCAACAGGGAAGTTAATCTTGGCCTCTTTAATATTATCTATCAAATCATTGAGACTAAAATTATATCAAAATTTACTAATCTGCATTGAATGGTAATTATCCCGATAACATTGAATATAAAATGCACCCTGCACTCCACATATCAACCATCTAACTAACAGTTTATCAATGATCTATTACTTGTATCCTTCTCCTGTGAAGATTTCAGGAGCAGAAAATGCCACTGTTCCAGTATATGTCCACATTTCAATTTTCTCTCTGTCCTTCAAATCTCCAAATTCCTTATATGAATCACTAAATTTGCTCACATTAAAGTCTGTCACTTTGATTTACTTTTTGTCTAATAACAAAATGATTAGTACTATTTACACAAAGAATATTGTTTGGTTTTAAATCTCTATGACAAATTCCATTTCTATGCATATATTCAATAGCACTTAATAACTATTTAAAGATTTCTTTAGCATCAGCTTCACAATAATGTCCCAAAGAATTTAAAACTACAAACATTTCCTATCCTTCAATTAATTTCCATTACTACATAAGCTTTACTTTCAGATTAGAAGCTGTTATCAAAATCAACATATAATTTATGTACTTTAACGATGTTTTCATGTGACAACTTAATTAATCTTTTAAACTCAATGATCATCTAAAATTGAATTCATTATTACATTTCTAATTATTTCATCATCTTGAGTCTATACAATTTTGACAGCATACAGATCTTAAGAAGTTTTATGAATAATCTTCTTTACTAACCCTAAACATCCTTCTCCTAATACTTCTAAGATATCATAATTCTCATGAAATTCTTTAGTATTCGGACAAATGAATTCAGAGTCCATTGTATTAATTTCTATATCTAATTTTTTGCCTAAATCTAGTAATTCTTCAATTTGATCTTTGGTAACAGGCAAGGGTCTATTTAGAATGTGCAGAATCTATCCTATCTATTACCAAAATTCAATACCTCTTAAATTAGATTTGATGCGATCTCTGTTATTTTGTACTTACTATTAACAAGTATTTTCCTATTGAGTTTTAAGAAAAGTAAATCTCCCACTGGGTTTCTTTTCCATTCTTGCTCTAAGAATTTCATTTGGAGAGTCTCGTTTTTAAATGGAAGGACTTAAATGCATAAATTAATAATTATAATTTGATCATAGTTTAAAATTGTAGTATTATATATTAGTTAGACAATTTAGAATTTGAAGAGTATTGTTATTGATGAATCTAATAATAATAAAGAATTTAAATTATAAGTTAAATCAATAATTAAAGTGTGCAATGAAGGTTAATGATATCAACAAAACATTCTTAAAGGAGAGTGATGAAGAGGAGAAAGAAGATGAACCAAAAGAGTCTAAATTGAAATATGTGATAATGATTCTTGGGTGTCTCTTAATGTTTGGAAATAACTATTCATTTGATAATCCCTAAGCACTTCAAAAATAGTTAACTAAAGATCTAGACATATCCATCTCAAACTATAACCTGTTATATTCTGCATTCTCATTTCCAAATATTTTTTTAACTTTGATAGGAGGAATAATCATAGATTTTTTGGGTATAAATTCTGACTCAATATAAGGTGTTAGATTTGGAATTATTCTCTTTAGTGCCATAGTAGTTGTGGCTTAGACTATTGTAGCATTGGGTGGCGCATTTAAAATATTCTGGATCATGTTAGTAGGAAGAATAATATTTGGATGTGCATCAGAAAATTTAATTATAGCATAAGCAGCCATCATTGGTAAGTGGTTTAGAGGAAAAGAGTTGTCGACCGTATTTAATTATTCAAATCTATATTTTAGGCCATTGGTTACATCATGACCATACCTGAATTAGCTAGTGCTGCAAACTCATTCCTTACTCCAATACTCTATGAATCATATGAGGGATTGACCTATCCACTATTTTTTAGTGTGATTTTGTGTGTCTTTTCATTCATATGTGCAGTAGTCTTATGTATATTGGATAAAAAGAATGAACTTAATAAACTGAGTATATTTTTATAATATGTAGAGGGCTAATTTATAATAGAAGAATAAGAAGAGGAAGAAGGTGAAGAATAGAAAGATGATATTGAAAGAGTATCCTTTAAAGATATCAAAAATTTAAATGGAACATTCTGGATCTTAGTTTTAATTTGTACCTTGACATTGGGATCCTATATTCCATTTCTTGATGATGCCAATGATTTTTTATAAGAAAAATTTTAATTCACAAATGTGTAAGCAGGAAAGGTCTTGACGACACCATATTTAATGGCAGGTATTCTTGAGATAATTTAGCTATCACCAGTCCCTTTTTTGGGCCATATATAGACAAAGTAGGGAAAAGAAGAAAATTCATTTTAATAACCTGTGTTCTTTTCACTCTAACCCATTTTGCATTTGGAATCATGCCTAATGGAGAGCATGGATCACCTAATTGGTTCTCAATTATACCTTTGATGTTCTTGGGATCCAGTTTCGCCTTATATTCCTGTGTTTTGATACCATCCATATAGTACATAGTTGCAGAAAAGGTAGTAGGAACAGCGTTTGGTTTATTAGGAATGTTCGAGAGTGTTGCCTTGGCTTTCTTCCCTATATTAGCAGGTTATATTGTTGAGTTATCTGATAATCCTGAAATTGGATATTCCAACGTTGGATTCTTTTTTTCAGGAATCTCATTTTTTGGAATTATATTTACACTCTCCTTATATTTTTTTGATAAGAAGGGTTCGATGGTCTTAGATTTTGTGAATCCAGAGGATCCCTCTGAATTGGAAAAGAAAATGCTTAGAACTACTAGATCTGAATCTAGTAGTGATGAGGAAGATGATGAATCAAGTGAGGAAGATTCAGATGATGATTAGTCAAAGGCGAAAAGGGTTTGTAAGAGTTTTGCTAGTTTGAAAAGTAAGAAACTATTAACATCCCCTCAACTTAGAAGTAGAAGCTTATACAATTGACATGATTGTTTTAGTTTATTCATAGAGGAGATTTTTATCCATAAAATTATAAATTATTATTTATATTAACCATTCTGAACTTCTATTTAGACTTTAAATTTGGATTATCAAAAAATAATTTTCAAAATAATGTATTTTTGTATTTCTATTTTCTAATAAGTGTAAACAATTGTGCCTTTTCCTCTATTTAAGGGATAGGGTAGATATATTTTTCTAATATTTAATAATATAAGGTTATTTCTCAATATCTTAAAATTTGCAATTTACCCAAATTTAATGTTATTAATGCAAATTGCAACCTTAAACGCAGAATCCATCTTTGGCAGAATTCACTTAACCATTATTAAAATAGTATCGATATTAAATATTTTAATAAGAAGAAAATTGAAAATTAATTAATGCAATTTATTTAAATAAATATCTTGAAAAACAATATTAAATAAATACTTAAAATTTCACAATTGCAGGAATGAAAAGCAACATGGCAGTGGTTTTCGAGAATAAGGATGACAATCCAAAAATGACTATTCTTATTGAAACTCAATCTAAATAATTCAAAAAGTAATGAAACTAATGAAAATTAATCCATAAATGGCTTAATAATTCAAAATTAGTCCTTAAAAAAGGAAATATATATTAATCTCTTGAAAGTCTTTAAATTTAATTTATTTTAGGAAGAAAGATTTCTTCTTACTAAGTTTTCTAAAATTCAAGTTATCCTTCATTTAGTGACATCATATCTACCCAATGGCCATCTCATTTAATAGTATAGTAAAGGGAAAAAACTCGCAACTATTACAGATAAAATTCAATACATATAAAAAATTAACAAACTGTTAAATAGAAAAGAGTAGTAAAATTATGGGATGCAAAAGAAGATGCTCAACTACGCATCCAGTTCTAAAAATACAACGGAAAATGGAATGAAATTGCTAAGCATATGTCAGGAAGAAATGTATCATAATTTAGTTAAAGACGGAGAAGATTGCAACCTATTAAGATTGTAATTATATTTGAATATATTTGTCGTTTAAAACAATGGACTTAAGAAGAGGATGAAATAATAGTCAAGAAACACGGAAAAAATTGGAAAATGATTGCTTCCCGTAAAAATTAATACAACTATAGTTCCTTAGATTTTTCAAATAATTTTGAGTAAACAAATTAGAGAACGGTATATAAATAAAAACAAGTAATCAATACTGGACCATGGACTGAAGAAGAAGATGCAACACTGTTTAAATTGTATTAAGAATATGGGGGAAAATGGAGTCTCATTTCTTCTTATTTCAAAGGGAGGCCTGTATCCTTATCTCTTAATATTTAGGAAAATATGGTCAGAAATAGAATCTATTGTTACATTGTTGTTTAGTCAAATTATTCAATTCTAATTAGGAAATCTAAATTTTCAAAGAATACTACAATATTAGAAGAGTTCATCTTGGCCTCATAAGTCCCTACTAGATTATTTATAAAAAGAATAAATGAAAGCGAAAATGAAGATTACAATGAATATATCAAGTTTGAATGAAATATTATAGCCATTATAACATTATATTCTATTCTATAAGATGGAGGTTTATTAAATTTATAAAAACTAATTTCATAATTTTGTAAATTTAGCAAATAATCTGTAGACTAAAAATATATTCATGAAAATTTCTATCCTCTTAATCTTTATTTAAAAATACTTCATGATTAATAGTTTAATTCGAAATTATATATTTTAAAGTATTGATTTGAATTTTATCTAAATATATTGAATCATTTCTGTTTATTCAAATTGAGTAAGTGTTTTTGTTTCCTATCAATTTATGTTATAATAAAAGTTAACATAGAAAATTGAAAAATAGTTTAATTAAATGAACTATTAATCGTAAAAATTGGATAGAGAAAAATGTGGAAAGGATTCAAGAATTCTAAGTATCTTAGAAACTGGTGGTAAAATGCGAAAATGTTATATAGAATCAATATTACTCTCTACTTGCCTCTGGAAATTTAGTCACATTAATAAGCAATAAGAAAGGATATTGTTAATAACAAATAAGAACATATACAATATAACTCCTTAAAGTACGCTTGTAAATTTTTTTTCAAAAGTTGTTTCAAGTGTTCGAGTGAAAAGGTATTGATTGAAATAACAATACTTTAGAAAAATTGCAATATAAAATATAGCTGGTATCACTATAAGTAAATGCGGATTTGAATTTGTTATTCATGTGCCAGACGAATATGATTACAGATACTCATCATTAGATTTGTAAGAAATTGAATATCTAGATTAGTCGAGAAAAAATATTGTCAACACTTTCTGATTCTTATTAAAGACTAGTAAAAAAGTATTTGGCAATTTATCTTACAGATGATCTAACATTGATCCCTTATACTACAACTAAAGTAGATGCTAAAAAAGGAATATGTAGAATGCACGGACATCCTATCAATATCGATCCTTAGACACTAGCCAATTATGATTTTTCAACATTGAAAGCACCCGAAGATAATTAAAAGCAACCAATAAGAAAAAGTTACGATTACTCCCAATAATATAGATTGCTCAAATATTTATATTAAGGAATGTTAGGATAAGTCATCCTAGTTTAAAGCATAAAGACAGATAAATATTATGTCTTCAAGTTGATGTAAAAGCAGGATGTTATAACTACAGATCATTTAAATCACGCTTTGATTGAAAGAAAACTATTAGAGATATTTGATCATCCTTTTATAATAAAGTTGGTATAAGCATTTGAAACAGATGACTAATTAATTTATGTATTGCCTTTTTATTAAGGAGGGGATCTTTATACACATTTAAAAAAGGAGACAAGATTAAAAGAGGAAAGAGTTAAATTTCTTGTTGCCTAATTAATCATGGCTTTAGGGTATATGCACGATAAAGACTATGTGTATCGCGATTTGAAACCTGAAAATATTCTCATGGATTCTAGCGGCTACATTGCATTAACTGATTTGGGATTGTGTAAATAATTGCCCAACAATCAACTATCTTATAGTTTTACGGGATCTGTTGAATACATAGCTCCTGAGATGATTACTGCTGTTGGTTATAATAGAATGATAGATTGGTGGATGTTAGGAATATTAGCATATGAATTGATATTTGGGATTACTCCCTTTTATTGTGATAATCAAAGTTAAGTGTTTGAGTCTATTCAAGAAAGAGAAGTTAGATTCTCAACTAATATTGCCATTTCTCTTGAGTGCAAAGACTTTATAACAAATCTCTTAAGAAAAGACCCAAAAGAAAGATTGGGATTTAAAAGAGACTTCATTGATTTATAGCTACATTAATGGTTCAAAGATATTAATTTTGGAGAAATAATAAGGAAAACAAATTTAACTTGGAAATTAAATTTGAATGACCCTGTGGATTTAAAGTTTTTTGAACCTGAAGATTTTAACTTGGGTATTGAATTATTAATATTAAAGAAACTTTGAATTCTTAATAGCAAGATAAAGCACTTATACAAAAGTTTAATTTAGAATTTTAAAATGTTGAATTTAATCTGTGAAGTTTATGTTGTATGTATGTTGATTTCAAATAGAAGTTCAATTATTTAATAATAGACTGCTCAAATTTTGATCTCAGATTTAACATAAAGATCTTTTATGTTTCCATTTAGATATATATAAATTAGCAAATTCATAATAATTTTACTTTCACTCTATGACTTAGTCTTACGATAATGTAATAACTTTTTGAATTTTTTATTTCCTATCACTTTTTCAGAAATTCCTGGACTAACAGGTCTAAAAGGTAATAATTATAATTAAGATACATCTCTTTTTTAAGAATTGCATTTACCATAAGTGTTGCATTTCTCTATGTTTATCTACGAACGAATAAAGCTTGTTAATCATTATTTTATTCTGCTGAGAACCTTATCTAATCAGTCTCTTTTGTTAAGAAACTTAAACTAGATAATCTTCTGAATTATGGTCTTTTTTCATTGACTTAAATATTTAAATTTTCATATTAGAGTTTGTCAAATTTATTTCTTTCCTCTTACATAATTTTAAAATCATTGTAATCTCTAGCGTATTTAGTTTCTTAATTTTTCACTATTGAAAATCTCTTTGAAACTTTATTGAGAATTCCTCTCATTGAGGACATCTTATCAAATTCTTCCTTTTTACGTTTTTACTCTCTAATGTAAATGATTTAATCTAATAACGCCTTTCTTTGCACGTGATTTTCTAGAAATTTTAATGCTTTAGAAACTTATAAAGGATCAAATGGATTTTTCAATTCTTAAACAGCATAACTTAACATATCCTTGTTTCTTTTTTATTTAAGTAGATGTATTTTTTGAGAAAAATTATATTTAGTTTCGGAAGTAGGAGTAAGTGATTTTTTCATATTAATTTTATAATGAATTAACAAAAGCCCCCGACAACCCAAACTAAAAAAGTAGATTAATCTGTTTCAACAATTACAAAAAAATCCCAATCAGCTTCAAGAAAGGATTCCTCGTTTCAATAAGCGGCTGTTCGATAAGTTCTAGTTGGAGGATAACCAGGAGTAATATAAAATTTAAATTACTAAAGGATGGCTTATGGTGTTATGCATAAGATTAGCCTTCCCCAAATCTGGCTAGCATAAAGGAAATTAATACTCAGATGAATTAAAAGTTCAAGTAAATTGAATCCAATATTGAATCTGAAATAGTTGAAACAATAAGATAATAATGTCATAATTTAGGGTTAGAATTAGAGAATGTGAATGTTTAGAATTAAAATTTAAAAATTGACATAGCCTAATAAAATAAATATATAGATTAACAAACTAAAAAGCTTGAAACAGCTATGAAAGAAATTGAAAATTTAAGGAATGTTAAAGCATCTCTTCAATCTCAATGTGATACAATTAAGGATCTATATAATAAAACCAAGAGGGAATTAGCAGGAATAAATTAAGAATTGGAATAGGAAAAGTAAGAAAATAAAGAAATGTCTTAACAAATTGCTAAATTATAAGGATTATATTAAGAAATGTAGAAAGCAAATAAAGTTGAAGTTGATAACCTCAAGGAGAGACTAGAAGAATTAGAAGAAGAAAACGAAGAATTTAGAAGAAAATTTTAGATGAAAGGAGAAATAGATAAGAGATTGGATTAGGAAAGTATGGAATGATTTTTAATAGGAATTATCCATTAGAATTAATAGAAATTGAATTAGGTGTCTGAAAATGAGAGGAAGTTAGAAAAGATGGGTAAGTTATTAGAAGAAAATGCTACGTTAAGCGAAAGATTGGGAGAGAGCGAAACATTAAGAAGAAGGTTTATGGAGAAGAATAATCAATATGAAAAGGAAATTAAAATCGTAAACTATAATTATAATACTTTAAGCTTGTTGAAAGTAAATTAGAAGTAGAGAAGCAAATGGTGGCTTTAAAAAAGAGAGTGAATGATTTATAAGTTATGAAATCAACTAATCAAAAAATATTGGAAGATAAAATCAATAAATTACAAGACTAATTTACCCAATCGTAGTAATAAATTGAAAAACTAACTTAATAATTAAAAAGAAATCAAAAATTGTAAAATCATCAACAACAAAATTAAGAGGAAGAAGTCTCAGATTATGAAGATGTGTAATCAAAACCATAACTCTTTGGAGCTTGATTAAAAGAATCTTATTATATAAAAATAATTATGTTATCATTAAAAGAATATCAAAGTTAGACTCTAACTCAGCTATCTGAAGATCAGTAAAATTTGGATAATACTAAACATTTACTATCGCCATAACCCATTGTTAATCGATATAGTATTAGAAATATCTAAAAATAGATAAATTCAATTGTAATATTCAAAATTTACCTTTGAAGTCTCCAAATGAGAATTTTTTCAAATCCGAATCTCCTAACAAAAATTCTTAACCCAAACTTGAAAAATTATAATACCCCCTCTAAAAATCTTAAGGAAAACTCTCAAATCGTAATCTTAGAATGAAAAAAAAAAATAAATTGCAAAAGAGTCAAAGTCATGTTGAACATGTGTATATTTACTAAATTATTAATAAAATACGAAGAAGAAGTGGTTATGAACCTCTTAGCGATAAACAAGTATATAAATTCAATATTATTAGGTTAGAATGGCTTTTCTTTATCCAATTACATATGTAGCTTTTCATTTATAATAAAAGGAGTCAAAAAGAAATGAAATGAGAAAGAAAACAATATTTAAAAGAATGTCAAGCATATTGATTAAGCACTCCAATAATTTAAAATCTTAGACAATAATTGGAGCACTCTAATAAAAGGTTATTGATGAAACTCCTTCTAAATTGGTTGTTAAACCATCAAATACTATCCAAAATCAATTTTAAAAATCAATTAAATGCTTGAAAGAATCTGAAGAGTTATTTTATAATATTGAGAACTCTGAAAAAGTATTATCCTAAAAGGAAGCCTAAAGAAATTCTTCACCTAAAATCAACAAAAATTAAAAATCATTGCAGAGATTTCTTGATTATCAAAAAGTAGTCTTAGATATCAGTAAAAAACAACGAAAAACATTTATTTCTATTTAAAATTATGTTAACGAGCGATCAAAATGTAATCAGACGAAATCAATAGGTTTAATCGAAAGTTAAATTCATTTTTAGTATTAAAATTTAAAAAGTCTAACAGAAACTGACACCTCTTCACCGATAAAATTGCAAACGATAAAAACTTAAAGAAAGTATTATCATATAAAATCTCTTTCAAATCTCCAAGGAATAAAGGAAGTATCAAAATACAGATTAAATAATTTTAATATCTAATAATCTGCTTAAATATTCAAAAATGTGTACATATTAAGTTCAAATAAATCTAAACAAATTTCAGATAAATTATCAACTTGACCCAATTTATATTTTACTTTATATCATTGCAAATCATTTACAAAGATCATTAATTTATCAATTAAAATACATATTTAAATATTTAAATGTATATTCAAAGTAATAATTTGAAATCTTAATGATATAAATTAACTTTAAAGCATATGAGAGGATCCATGAATTCAAAATCTAATAAGTTTCTCAATAATTCACTTTTTGTTTGTTAAATATTTTCTTTTGAAATATATGTTCTATAAAATTGAAGTTTTCTTAAAATACAAGTTTCATTCGAAAAACTATTCTTAATTTAATCATAAATAAGAAAATCAAGGTTAAAAATCGTTTTTGTTGAAGTTCAATTCCTAGTATATTTGAGTTTACAAGGAATGAAAGAAATTTTATTTTATTAATATTTTTATTAAAAAGAACAAGAACAAAAAATGGGATTGTATTTAATTATAGTTATGACATATTAGAGATTTAAAGATGAGACTTCTTTTAAGCAATACATTTATGTCTTTAGTGGTGGTTGTAAACTTAGCTTTGGTTTCCTATTTGAAGGAAAATGATGGAGGTGATTATACACAATTTTCATATATCACTAATATTAGCACGACTGACCACGATAAATATAGAAATTATTTAAACCTTGCAATATCCGCCTTTGTTTTGATGTTGGTAGGATTTCTTGTTGGAATGGTCTAACCATTTTTGAAACAAGCTGCTTTGGCTTATGTGATGGCACTCTTAATATTAACAGGATATGTATGCTTATTTGCAGGTGTATTCATAAATGACACCTTCTCATACAACTTTGCAGATGGGAAATCCTTTAATTACAGTTTGGCGTCATTCTTTGGTATGGGAGGAGTATTTGTCTAAGGAATGGTAAATTCTTGGAGATAAAGATCAGTTGAGTGAATATTTATCATTTATTCATTATATTAACCATACATCTTAATTTATGAAATGTAAAATGAAAATATGAATATGAGTATTTAAAAAATATATATTCATGATAATTTTAATTCTTTTTCTTGAATTAATTTAAATACTTAGTTATTTGTATGAATGATTGTCATTTATTATTAACATTAAAACAATTGAAATTTTTTTTTTAATTTTGGCTATGCAATTTTTAATTCTTGTTCTTCCAAATATTTAACTTATATTCTAAATATTATTATGCTTTACTTATTTCTAAAGAAAAGGAGAAATACATCATTTTAATTTTAACCACACAACATTTGAACTAAATTATCTAAAATATTTTTCTTAAAACCTTCCAAATAGTTCACTCAGATCTTGTTTAATGGTGAAAAAAGAAAATCTCATATAATTTGGATACAAACATTTAATTAATTGTATATTTTTTGAATTAATCTTATTATTTAGGAATCAAAATTTGCTTATAAATAGATTATGATTGGTATACTATTTACATTGGCAAGACAATTTCAAATAAAGTTAAAATAATTGATCTATAATTTTGTGCAAAAAAAATTCAATAATTATGAATTGGAATTTTCTTAAATAAGTTTAAATGTTTGTTTGCCAATATAAATGTTCTCAAATCTTCAATATGTCTCTCAATCCAATTTATGTTCAACTTGAAATGATTAACACACAACAACACAGCTTAGCACAATAAATAATATTTAAATAATTACTATTCTATTTTCAATATTCTCCTCAATCATAGTCAATAATATACTAGATAGGGCTTTGTTGCATTTTGAGATAGATCTAAACTCCAAACCTATTTCCATATATAACAAGTTATCAATAATTTTCTATCTCAAATATTCTACTTTTTCTTTATCATAGATTTATTCTATTAAATCTCTTAAATCCATTAATATTCTATGCACTAATTATGATGATGTAGTGAAACATAAACTATAATTTAAAATCTAACACATCTTTCTCTCTTGTTATAAGATATCGCTGTTATAGTATTTAGATTGCAAAACCTTTATTATTTTTAAAGATATACTTCCTAACACAAGTCATCAATGTAGATTGGATACAAATCAACAAGTTTTGATGAAATGTAAATACTACAACCTGATATTAATTCCAATTCTTTAAATGTCAAATGAAATGTGTTTTATAAATACTAATAAACCAATTCGATCGCTTTGAAAATTGTCTCAGTAGTAACTTTTTTAAATTTTTTCATCTTATAAACCATCCAATCTAAAGCCCTCTCCAACTGCTCTCCTGTAAAATCATGTTAATCAATATTCAATTTATTCAACTTATGTTAAATTTTTCATCTTACTTATTATTCTATTATTAATTCATATTAATAAATTTCGCATCGGAATTTATCAAAATAACATAGAATATCTTTCTCTGTCTCTTTTCCAGACCGTATTAAATAATTGATCTATTAAAACTCTGCATTTTCCACTTAAATAAGCATCCTCCCGATGCTCACAGGTATCAATGCATTTCTTCTTTTGCCCTTCTAGATTTTTAATTCCTCCTTTTATTATTTCACACCCTTCTCCTATACATTAATAAAGGAAAAGTTCAAATTCGAAATATCCTAAAACGCTGATCTAACTCTATTTCTAGAACTTAGAAGTAATTCTTGGTTCTATTCTATTTTGTTGTGTTTGGTATAAAAATTTTTTTAGTTCATAAAAATATTTAATAATTAATAATTAACGTATATGATCAATTCATAAATAGCTAACTTAACAAAATAATTAAAAATAAAGGATGATGCAATTTAAAAAGCATATTTAATTATAGAAGCTCAATAAAAAGAGATATTGAATTTGTAATAATTTTCATAACAATCTGAAAAAAAATCATCAAAAACTCGAAATGTAAGTAAATCAATGCATATTAACAATTTCCATGCATAAATTGAGAATTATAAATAAGAAATTAATAACTTTCTTGACTATGAAATAATGATTGAACAATTTTTTCGTAATCAGTTAAAAAATCAATAAGTTATTGTAAGCAACTAAAAGTTAGCCTAATTGGATTCTGAGTTAGAATATTGGTAAAATTTATATTAAGAAACAATCAAAACTTTAGAAAAGGCAATTAAAATAAACACCGCCATTGAACAATAAAATTTTGAATTATAATAGTATTTAGAATAAGTTGTATATGAAAATAAACTGGCAAGATAATTCATTTTATAATTAACTAAATCTGAAAATAATTCAAGTTAATAGGTTGATGTATTAGATTTTATTAGCTCTTCATCAATATAAGCATTAAATTAATCCTTTTAAACTTTCTCGAGTTTTATCTCAGAAGTAGTCGTATGTGCCACTACAAAATTTAAATTAAAATAATTTGAGGAAACATATCAGATCTCAGATTTTAAAAAAGAGTTTAAACAGCTTCAAACTAATTCTTTATAATATGAAAATATTCTTACAAGGAAGATAGTTAATATATTGGGAATCAACTTGGAATAAAGATTACTTTCATAATCTCAGACCCAAATTGTAAAAGAAATTAAAAATTTAAAATATTAAAGCCTAACTCAGTGTGAATAAAATAAAGAAAATGAAATCAACAATAGCAATATAAATTTAAATTTCTAAAAATTGTCCACAATAATTAATTAGTTTAATAATATTTTCAATTAAATCCTATAAAATGTTAAAGAGGATCAAAAATTGAATGAAATATTATCTAAGATTCTAAATTTAATTATTTTACTTTTTAATGAAATTACAGAAAACAAGCTTGTTACTGTGAGATTATTAAATGGTTTAAACAGTTCATGCCGTCAGCTCAGAAATAGTTTTTAAAAAATGAATATTTGATGGGATTAGAATAGAATTTTTATAAAAATAATCTGTATTAAAAAATTAGTTAATATTTTAATTTTCATCTAATTTGTATAAATAATACATTTATATAATTTGATAAGCTTTAATTTATCAATAGTTGTTAAATTTCTGTTGTGGAAATTACCTATGAAGATAGTAAAGAAAAATTTCCTCCTCTAACAAGGTTTCCTTATTCAATTCAGCATGAGATACTTGAACATTCTTAGGTTACAAAATACAACAACAATATCAATATCTATTTTATATTAATTTCTTTATTTTAAATATTTATAGTAGAATAATTTTTTGAATATTATATTTGAAAATAAAAAAGCATCTATATGGAAAAATATGTAGAATTCGTTCAAACCCCAGTTTATATAAAGTAGTTTCCAAATAATATAAATTAAATGCATTCCATCTTTATCCTTTTAGGGTTGATTTTTATATGTGTCTCAGAGTTTCTAGATGTAGCATGGATGAATGGAAGTTCAAAGCAAGCCAAAGTTGCATTAACATTTACAGGAAAATGCTGCTATTCTTCTTTATAATAAGAAGAATGCTATTCTTTAGAAAACTGCAATACTTATATTTGCACTTTTGAAAACTATCTTCCTCTCATGAGTGGTTTAATAATTGGATTTGCTTTAACTTCGATACTTTTAAACCTCACAATTTATTAAATTATCAGCAGAATTGAAAAGAAAACAAAGTAGATCATTGATATTTTCGATATGTTTTGCACTTTGTTCCCTCCTGTGATGGCCTTGTTTGTAAAAACACCTTTTGGTGTTGGGTGGCTGCGTCTTCGGTAGAAACCTTCTAGGTTTCAATCA